CGTACGGCGACTGGGGCTCACTTGCCATAATATCATCTCAGGTTTCGCTTGGCTCCCTAGTTTTGTTCAAACTTTTTGTTGTTGTGCAATATCACGAAAGCTTGACCTGCTACAACTTGCTACGATGTCTACTCCAGTTGCTACTGCCACGCCCTCCCGCGAACGAAGCTCGACTTCACAGTCAGCATCATCTCCAATGACAATAAGACCTCAAGCATCCTCTTCCGCTGCTTCAGTCACGGCCTCTACATTGGGTCAAACTGCCAACACCACCACATACCCTATTACTCTCGAAACACTCCTTGCCACGCATGCCAGCGCACCCAATCCAATACTCGCTGCATTGGATCAAGTTCTATCAGAACGCAATGTCCTCTCAACTCAAAATACACAGCTTTGGAAACTTATTGAGAAGCAACGTGCCGCATACAACCAGGTGCTCAAGGAAATTGAACGTGTCCGTAGTGAACGAGATACCTACAAGACTCGCTTACAAGCAGCAGGAATGGGCACTGAGCTAGCAAAGAAGGAAAAGGATCGCGAGAAGGACAAAGCCAGGAGTTTGAGGTCGTCAGGATCCAATGCTACAATGTCGAGTATGTCTGTCAATGGGTCCAGTGACTTGCGATCAAGGATGGTTCGCAACCAATTGGATGCCACATGTGAGTTATTATTTCATTTCGTGCTGGTCACATTTCTGAATACTGCCTTCCCAGCATCACCGTCTCGTAACGACGACCGCCCCGTTACTCCACCTTGCCTCCCAGAAACTAACACTCGTGATTCCGATCTCCAAATACCTCAAACGCCTCAAACCACAATGTCTACGCGTCCATTCAACTCTCCTTTGGTTGTACCTCCTCGAGGTATCTCACTATCACTTGCTGCGGCATCTGCCGCTGCTTCCTCTAGTGGGGCCACCTCGCCAGGCTCAACTTCACAATCAAGTATTGACCTAGATAGGCCTCCAGTACCACGTACAACCGACTCACGACCTCCCTCACAGCAACCCTCTGCACCACCACCATCTCTCCAGTCTGTTCATCTGCCACCTCCTGTCTCCCTTCGACCAGCCCATCCTCTTACCGCTACACTCCAGCCCCCTACATCATCCATCAATACTCTCATCACCATTCATGGTTCAGCTGTGTCTCCCAATGGCTCAGCCATATCTCCTACAAATATCTCAAGCACTGCATCTCAGACAGGCTTGCTCAGCCCAACAGTTGATAACTCACAGCACCCATCACAGGCGTCCCGAATATCTTCTGTTTCACTCCCAGATGAGGCGAAGCTTTCTATTACCAACATGGGTGAGAGTCCATTGCCAAGTCCATCTATGTGCCAGCATATGGCTGGGTTTAGCGATGATATGCAGTGTCATGCTGGACAGGAGTCTCTTGCGCCCCGGACGGAATCTCCCACGATCATGCTGACAAAGGAGCCAAGGGATGAGGTGGGAGAGTTCCTAGATATGGATGATGATGAACGTGAAGATGAGACGATAGCAAAGCACTCAAATTCGAAGAACAAGCCTCATGCAGCAGTAGAAGATTTTCCAATGCCTCCCTCGCACGGCGCTATTCACATTCCTTCATCTCATGTGCAACCCTTGGATCCTGCATTAATGCTCACGCCGACACAGTCAAACCCACAGCCATCTGCAGCGGCGAGCGCGCCTTCGCGAACGCACTGGCAGCCGCAGCGGGAGCTGCTACAATCCGACAATACTTCTGTTGTTATCCCTGAATCTCCTCTACCTACTTCCTACTTGTCGCCGATAAATCCGACTTCATCCGGTACCAGTGCAACGTTCCGTGCACTTCCTCTTTTACCAGACGACCTCGGGACGACGCGGGTCGCTGTCTCGCACTCGTCTGTAAAACCAAATGACCGTGGGAAGGAGGTTTTATCATTCGTCGTCGATGTACACCCGGGACATGGTAAAGAGCCATGGAAAGTGGAGAAGTTGTACTCGGATGTACTGACGCTCGATAATCGCATGCGAGCTAGCGTTGGGAAGGGTATCGGGAAGAAGATGGCGGTGCTACCAGAGGGAAAGATTTGGAGGGACCATGCACCTGCGAAATCCGATCAACGCAAGGTGAGTATAATACGCTCATAAGTGATAGTCATATCTATACACGATCGATGCCCAGGTCGCACTCGAGGTGTACCTCCAATCATTGGTCGATCTACCTGTGAAAAATAAGGATGAAATTATTGCCTTCTTCACTTCCGACATCGTTCGAGAGACCCATAAGCCCGTCATGCAGGCTGGACACAAGGAAGGATACCTGACGAAACGGGGGAAGAACTTTGGTGGGTGGAAGTCACGATACTTTGTCCTCCAGGGACCGGTATTAGAGTACTATGAAAGCGTAAGCAACCTCCGTTTGTCATCATCCGCAGTTGCCTTATTGTCTCCCTTAGCGTGGAGGCGCCCATCTTGGCTCGATCGTGATTACCTCTGCGCAGATCGGGCGACAACAACGCACAGCTGACAATGATGACGAAAGAAATTACCGTCATGCTTTCCTCATCATCGAGGCAAAGAAAGCTCCAAATGGATCTCACTCGCGCCATGTCCTCTGTGCAGAAAGCGACGTGGAACGTGACAGCTGGGTTGACATTCTTGTGCGATATGTATCTGGAACGTTCAACGAAGATCCTGCCACATCCATTTCCGCTTCCCCGAGCCCGATATCTATCAACGTCAACGTCCCTCCTGGGCAAGGACTTGGATCTGCGCAGCCAAGATCGAGCACGAGTTCTATTCAAGATGGTTCAGTGTCTACGCCTAACGGAAAGCGTGCCATGCGGACAATGTCTAAGGATGATATCTTGCGCGGTGCTGCAGTCCCTATCAGCCAGCTTGTTCAAGACGGTACCAATGCGAAGCTCTTCCACTCTGCACCAGTTCCTGTGATCAACCAGGATTCGCGCCCACACTCGGCTAGTCCCACCAAAGAACTTGATCCTTTAGCTCATCACGAGCGAGACCATTACACTGCGGAGGAGACTGCTCGGCGGATTTTGGAGCGAGGGCTGTCTTCTGGGAGCACAGAGCAGCTTTCAAACTCGTTGCCTACCTCCTCGCCGCTAGAGGGAAGCAGTGGAAATCTGTTCTATTTGAGAGCGAACTCTGAGCTTGGGCACTATTCGGACCTACAGCGTGGTTCTCACCCTAAGCTGGAACCATTTTCACCGGAGAACAAGTCAAGGGAGCAGCGACGTGATAGGAAGTCAGTCCACCCAGGATTATCTGCTATAGTTAGTCCTACCGCAGCAAACTTTGGTGATCGTGCACCATCACCCGAACCTAGCGCCACACCTCTAAAAGGTGATCGCGCGAAGATATCTGCTCCAATGAACGGAGCACCCATACCAGCAGGATACAAGTTTGGCGGCAAGGACCCTCTTTCCGAGAGTTCCGCATCTTCAAATGACAGACGAGAGAAGGCGAAGTCACGGTCCTTCTGGAACTTTGGACGGCCTGTGGACAAGGCGATAGTTCATATCCCCAGAGCTGTCTTTGGTGTGCCACTCGAAGAGTCCATTGAGGTCGCAGAGATTGCTCGTCTGCCTGCAGTAGTTTTCAGGTGTATCCAGTATCTGGAGGCAAAGAAGGCAGACCAAGAAGAGGGCATATACCGTCTCAGCGGGAGCTCAGCTGTTATCAAAGGGCTCAAAGATCGCTTCAATGCTGGTCAGTTATATGATACTCTGAGTTCTAAATGAATGTCTGACTTCTTATTCGCAGAGGGGGACGTAGATCTTGTTGCATCAGATGAATATTGGGATCCTCACGCCATCGCTGGGCTCTTGAAGAGTTTTTTGCGGGAGTTGCCCGCCAGTATACTGACACGCGAGTTGCATCTGAAATTCCTAGCAGTCATCGGTGAGTGACCTTATAACTTGTTGGCCTGCCTGTGCTGACATCTGTAGCAGATTTCGTCGACGCTCAGGAACGCATTCGAGAGCTATCTGACCTCATCGCCTCCTTGCCGATCGCCAACTATAGCCTGTTGCGCGCTCTCACAGCCCATCTCATACTCATCGTTCAAAACTCGTCGGCGAACAAAATGACGATGCGCAACGTCGGCATTGTCTTCAGCCCTACTCTTGGGATCCCTGCGGGCGTGTTTAGTTTGATGCTAGGCGAGTTCAACCGCGTGTTCAATGTTGACTCTGAACAAGGTGATGAGGACAACGTTGAGGAGCTGAGTCGCAGGAATAGTCGACAGTATACGGATGCTGCTGCTGATCAGTTGTTGGGCTTGTCTGGAAGGACCTTGAATGGTATGTATTTGTCCAAGTTCATCTTCCACTCCTTACAATTATGTTTAGCTCCTTCCGACGAAACACCCTCTGAAGACGGTGACAGCATTTCCCTTCATTATGAAAGTGGAAATGATACCACCGAGGATGCAACCATTGAGTCGAACGTAACCCAGTCAAGTGCTCACCTATCTTCAAGTCATCACTACCCACAAGACTCACAACAAAGTGTCGATCATGTCTCGCTCCTCCGATCTGAAGGATCTTCGTTGGAGCAGCGGTCACGAGCATCTAATCTTGCCGCCAGTCGTGGCTTAAACATTGCGGTTGGCAAGAAAGGCAACAGACACAGTCGTATGATAGGCCTTCCTGCGTCGGCCCGATTACCAGTTGATGCACCATCATCCCCTATACATTCACCAATGCACACGGCCAGACACAGTTGACGACCTTACCCTTGTTACTTTACCCTGCGTTCGAGATCAAGGCTTGTACTCTATTTACCTATCTCGATCGTGGTCATCTGTTTTCATTTATACCCGTCTCATATGTTTGGTCCGCCAGCTCGTTGATTTTTTCGTAGATACCCTGCTTCGAAATAGCTAGCGATCTGAAATGTCCAATGTATCATATATTCTTGGCTATTTGCGATTATTTGTAGCGTGTTAGCACGTTTACGCGACGTGTTTGAGAAGGTTCTCACTCTACTTTCTCGGTCGTCAAATCTCCCGTGTGATGTACACCATGATTTTCTGAGCATGACCTTGGTTCGACTAAACATGTTTGAGCAGGATGGCTAACGAGCAAGCAAAGCAAATTCCGTTTTCTTTGTGCGTTCAGAAGTTTTCAGTTGGTCAAACTTATGAAACCCCTGACTCCAGCTTTGTTTCTTTGCTGCACCAAATTGCCGATGTTCCAGTATATATTACATTGTCCCGGGTCAACAAAAACACTCCTGCTTGCCGTTCTCCCTCCGGAATTCTTGCAAAATGGGTCGAAAACCTTCAGAATAACTATTCACCCTTACCTCGGGATACTACTACACACGTTCTCCGTCTTCTATTTCCTGAAGAGGACTCACACAGAAAGTATGACCTACAAGAAGCAAGGCTTTCACAGCTCCTTCCAGACTGCCTAGATACTTCTACCTTTCCGCCTATCTCTACTGCCCGTTTAAAACAGTGGAGTAAGCAACAGAACTCAGGATGCCTCGGCCAGGAAATTTTTGCTTTACGATCACCAAATGCTGAGGTATCTCACTGAATATTTGGTCTGAAAGCTTCAGTTAACCAAAACGTAGTCATTCATTGGGCCAAAGAGTCTCCAGGATATCAACGTATTGTTGGACGAGTTGGCATCTACCTCCGCGTTTTCTGATAAGACTCTCCACGCGGTCCATTCGCTGTCGCCACCTCGGTCTAAATCTGCTATTTTGCGGTCTTTATTTGAATCTCTTTCTGCCCTCGATGCTGCATACCTCACGCAGATCATTCTGAAAGATCTAAGACCCATCCTATACGCTCCCCCTGTTGCATCCACCAGCCGCGCTCTTCTTGACTACAACACTAATAGCAAGTCGGCGTTGACAAAGGAGCAGTTCATGAAGACTTGGGACCCAAGTGGCTCCATGTTGAAGATGTACAAAAAGCGTGCTAACATAACTGAAGCTGCCCTATGCTTTGAAGCTGGAGGTGCGATTTCACACCCGAGGCCGCGCTGGGGTGTCCCCGTTGAGGTGCGCTCTTTGAAGTATGTGGTAACTCGCCAACTAACTCAAATCATCTGAAGATACCGAAATCTGCCAAGGGCCGGAGCCCGATGCATGCACTCAATGTTCTCGAGCCAAGTGACGCTATCTGGGCGGAAACCAAGTATGATGGCGAGCGTGCACAAATTCATGTAAGATTTGGTGGCCAAAGTGATCCACAAATCACGATTTTCAGTAAGAGCAAGAGGGACTCTACGCTGGACCGCATTGCAGTACACCCGTATGTTTTTTCCATCTCGCAATACTCCCATTTCATGCTCTGAGCGCGTCTTGGAAAGTATCATCATACAGGCTCTTGCCGGCTATAGCATGGGAGACATCATACTTGATGCGGAGATGGTTGCGTATTCTGATGAGCGGCATAGAATAGAAGGTAATTCTACTCTCCACATACTGTGGCATCTACATAACCTGGATCTATTCCAGAGTTTTGGCACATACGTGGCATAATATCGCGCACTGCTGAGGGTGCCCGGGCGGGCGGATATCGAAGGAGTGAGACCCAGCATAATTCGCACACACAGTGTGTATTTCTTTCGTGCTCGTGACTCTCAATTCACCCCACAGCCACAGAGACTCTTGCCCTTCACTTCATTCGAATTCAACAACGGCATCCACTTTGCATCTCGCACTCGTTTTCTTTGATGTCTTGCAGGTGGGCGCAGCTTCCATGTTGAATGCTCCATATTGTATGCGCCGGTCACTACTTGAGAGTATCATCACCCCAGTTCCAGGGCGTTCTATGTTGGCCGAGCGGACAGTTATCATAGACGGACGAATACAAGAGGCTGAAGGACAAAAGAGACTGAGGGAAACATGGGCTAAATGTATCACGGAACACGAGGAAGGGCTGGTACTCAAAGCTTCAGATAGCACCTATGGAGATTGGAAACTCCCTTGGGTCAAGGTAGGTCAACAATTCATTGACCTATGTATAGCATCTTAAGGTTTCCTGAAACGCATGCACATAGCTGAAAAAGGATTATGTCCCTGGGTATGGTGACACTATAGACCTTGTCGTAATTGCTGCTGCTTGGGAGAAAGACAGAGCTAGAGAGCTGAGAGGTGTGTTTTCTCTCTACGGGACCTTGAAGTTGCGATGATGAACCACGACTGTTTAGTGTCGCCATCAACTCTGACTACATTCTACATTGCCGTCCTAAGCAACTCGTCGCAAATTAACATCGATGTAAGTGCAGAAATCATCATTGTCATGCAGTTTAATATGCCTCTTTCAGCCTGGTTGCAAACCTCACTTTGTTGCATACTTCACTGCCTCATATGGTTTATCTCGCGAGCAGCTTGAGGAATTCAATTTCTGGATACGCGCAGATGCGGTCGATGGACCCAAGGTGATCTATTTGTGCTAGGGCTTAGGATCATAATGAACACTGAACGCCCAGCCGTCTATTGGTGAATTGTGCTACACGTACACCATGTCCCAAACGCTGCCAAGGCCATCTGTGTTCGTTCGAAACCCGATTCTAGTAGAGTTATGTGGCGCGGGGTTCACCAAGGCGCCACAGAATAAGGTACGTCCACACCTTGTAGTTGCAGTTCACATTTACAGATAATCTAGTACTACGAGCTCCGTTTTCCACGCATCACGAAACCCTTCCGTCCGTCTGAGAGGTCCTACATGGAGTGCCTCACCCTCAGAGGCCTGCGGGCTATAGCTCTCGAGACGGTTGGGCTGGAGGCCCATGATGCCGAGAAGTATCAGGACCTGGATGAATGGGGCAGAGAGTTGTGGGGGAAGCTGGGAGACAAAACTGTCGAGGAGCAAAGACGAGAGCTCAAAAGACAACGGTCCATTGCATGTTGGGAAGAGAAGCTGGAAACCATTGATCGTGAAAGGAGTAGGAAGAGAAGGAAACTTGAGGAGGATCTGGAGATGTCCCTATAGCCGGTTTATGTATTGTACATATGCATTATCTACGGCGATCACATGTAACAATCGACTGAGGTTTAACGTTTATCATATATGCCGCTATATGCTACGTTGAAACAAGTGTTGGACTTGGACACAACTGGATATATATCTAACATATTTAAGCACGAATAGCCGCCGGCTCGGTACGTATCAGTTGTGTTCAGCTTTCAAGCTTCAAGCACTACCAGTGAAAATTCCCTTGAATTCATTGTACATATAACCTTTAATTCACACAATAAGTACTCGTACATTTTACAGGTCTTCCAGCCCTGATCATAAGTAGATCTTCGAAACGTCGTCAAATAACAATATCTGCCTTATTCAAAATACCTTCTTCTATTGCTTTTATTTCTACATTTTCGGTCATCAGCAACGCCCTACATATATACCACAAGGAAGGAACTCACGCATGGCCAAATGGAGACTGTGGAAGCGCGATAGAGCCAAATTACCTGTTCATCGAAATGAAACTGATGCGCCCATAACAAGAACGACGCAAAATACCATTTGCAAACCACAAACCATCATGCCCGCAGTACCTCCACACTCCCGCAGATTGCCCTTCTTCGTCTAAACCCCAAACCCTGGTGATTTTTGATGCGATTTCATTTCCGCAGACTTCGCGCATGAAGTCACGGGGATCGCCGTAACTGTAAGCAATTATAAGTTCTGCTCGTCAAAGTGAAATATGATTATACCCCGTAGAAAATACTATGATATCTGCCTGTAGCTCGGTGCCATCAGCAAATTGAAGGCCGTTTTCCGTGAAGGACTCAATTGCGGAACCGTTCTTGATTTTAATATCCCCGTCGATGATAGATTTACTCGCTCCGGTGTCTGGAAGCTGTTGAGAGACATCTTCGTTGTGCATCAGAGGTACACCCACCGATGTAGTAGCCACCACCGCGCTCCAGGTAAAGGGACATACTACCCGCTCCATGTATGCCAAGATTGGTCTTAAAGCCAACCTTAGCCAATCCATCTAGAATCGCCCTGCGATTGTGATTAATGCATCTGGAAGTGAGCCTTCGAATCGTCCAACATACTTGTCTGCGGTCTCAGCAACCATAGGAACCATACGTTGATGCAGCCGCCTAACAACTGCCCAAGGTAGCGAGGTATTGTAAGTATCAGCCAGCTCAGTGGGGAAGTCGTCATTATAGACAGCTAGGCAAGGAAAGTCAAGCCAAGCTACCGACAATCACAGGAACAATTACTGCCTAGCATTGCTGCTACTGACTCCGTCGAGATCACGAATGTCGACGATCGTTGATACCTAGTATTCCTTGAGATATGAAAATGACATAACTTGAACCAAAGAACACACATTGTGATGTCGACACCGTGACTACAGAAATCTTGAGCAATGTCATGTGCTGATGAAACATTTAGACCTCGTTCGATACGGGAAGATATGACAGACCAACCAGAATTGCAACAGCCGACTACGATTGCTTTTTGACCGATATGATTAACCGCGGATTTGAACTCTGACGAGTGCACGGCAGACCCTTTGAAGCTTGCCTGCGTCCATGAGTCACGTTTCGGTCAGTTCGAGCGTTACATACCTTCCCAGGGATGTCGGGAACTTTCGGGCGACCGCCAGATCCAGTGGCAAAAACGAGGTGCTTAACGGTCAGAACCCTAGTACCTCTACCGCCGCGATTGACTTCGACAGACCAGGTTTTCGTGCTATCATTCCAAGATGTCTTGGTGATCGTCGAGGCCGTCCAAACGTCGAGCTCAAGGAAACTTGCATATGCTTCTAACCAGTCTGCCAGCTGCAATAGCTGGAATCAGTGAATTTTCATTATGTGGGTAATATTGTACTTTTGCAGCTGGGGTGTAAACTGGCCATGTTGGTGGAAAGCTGCAAACCGGATTACAAAAGAATCAAAGGAGTTCTGACCAACCACTCACTTCAGGTAAGGCGTTTGGTTGTACCCTGTAAGTTTGTTAGTCAATCCCTTTCCGTAGAAGAAAATGCACGAACAAATCGTATCATGCAGACAAAGAGCCTTGTAACGGTCTCTCCACTATGAAACCGCCCTCAAGCCTTTAGCCATATTTGAATACCAAAATTGTAATGGGACGAACACTATCCCCAACCCGAGGCTTCTTATCGATGACAAGTGTGGGTACACCAATGTACTTTAAGCGTGCCGCGGTCTCCAGGCCACTGTGCCCCGCACCGATGACAATCACTGTTGGGTCATTGTTTGAGAACTCAGTCTCTTGGCGCCGCTTCTCTTCCCAACTGCCATGATCAGTCTCCCCGTTTCTGAAGGGATCAAGCTTCCGCAGAGTCAGAAAGTGCTCTCAAACGAATGCGATTGCACACCTTTTGAGGGAAATTGGTCAACGAATTAAGACAGGTCAACAGAGTGTAGGCCTTCCACTTTGAATCTGGAAGGGGAACGAGATAAACGACTGCAGTACCCTTGCCATGCTTGGTGGTAAAACCAAAGCAAAACCGCAACCAAACTAAATCATGATAAACTTTTTGCAGAACAGGTCCATTCAAGGGCTCCTGTAGAAGACGCAGTTCATTAAGACCCGTAGCAACGAGACGAGCATCCAAGAGTTTCTTGATATCCTTCCTTCCTTCGAATGTCCTGAAATCCCACGTCAGTGCGATCACGTCCTTCCAGAAGCCATCCTCGAGAAAGAGGTCGCCAACAGCTGCGGTATCACTTTGAGTTATTGCAGCTGAGAAAGCGTTAAGCCACTCGGTGACTACCTCAGATGAGGAGACATTGGAAGGATCAGTGACCCCAAGCCGATCTAGCGTAGGTAAGCGTTGGGGAAACGAGTCAGTCGTCATACTGAGACAGAAAACTGATATGTGCGGATCGAGGGTCTGAGATTTAGAGTGCCAGCACCATGGTTTTTACATAACTTGAATTGAATTTGCGAGTCCAGGCCTGCCAGCTGCAGGACCCACTTGATTATAGATCAATATTAATTCTACGATTTTCAAGTAAATAATCACAAACAGTAGGTAGACGGTTTGAACAGTTCATAGACAAATTATCGGAAATCCATGAAAATGATCATTCGTAGACGTGAGTTAATGTGTCCACTCGAAAGCAATGAAAATGTACCTGTCACCATGGTAAGAGGTGCATTCATGGCATTTGGCATAGCGCTCAAATTCGGACTGGGTGGGTAACGAAATGTTGTGTTTCAATTTCAGAAAGACTGAAATATCAAATGCACTCACTTCGAGAATGGCTGCGAGATGTCACGGTCCGTAAGTGTGTGCTGTGGATGATATACGATGATTTTGATGTCGTGAGCGATTGTTGAGGATGGCGAGGGCGAAGCAAAGATAGGTTCCAAACACATTAGCGGCAAACGCTTCTACTAACAGCGTTGCGAGAATGGCCAGTGAGTCTGCGAAAGACCTCACTGCAGGCGGCCTGCACTTGAGAAAGCACTAGTGGCCATAGTAGGTGTCGTCGCATGAAGGGTGCCTGCTTCCACATGGGCCATGTCAAAATACTGCGCATCCTCGAATGTAGGTTATCTGCGATGACCCGTCGACCAGTGCGGCAAGCGAAGTATATACTCCTTTCTATTTATAGATCGGTATCGAGGCGTCAATTCCAGGGTAACGTAGCCTGCCGGAGTTACCCGGCACCACACTTCCAGCTGAGCGGTAGCGCAGTCTCCCACGTTCGTTTTTCTTCCTCCCATCGTCAACAACGAGCTCGCCACAGCTATAGTACACTCACTCGTTGTTACTTTCGTTCTTTGAGCCCACCCGCCACTCCCTTAATTCTAGTCGTAATTCCATTCCTTCCGTATATTATCTCGTCGTTGGTCGTTCACAAGCTAGAATATATTCAATTTTATCACGTATGAAGGTTCATGAGTCAGCGCACAATCGAATTCGTAAGCAGGTGCCCGCCCTCCCAGCGGCTCCACCTGCTTGCGTCCCACCCCGAGCTAACGCTCGGTCCAGCCCAACATCACAGATTGTAGCATTGACTCTATAGCCAGACGAAGCTGGAACTTAAAGTCTATGGCAAGAGGGACGCGCAATTTTACGATATATTTAATCCGTTTCGACATGGCCGACTAGCTCAGTTGGTTAGAGCGTCGTGCTAATACCAATTCCTGGTACGCGAAGGTCTTGGGTTCGATCCCCACGTTGGCCATATTTTTTGTTCTATTTCTCAGTACTTGAGCTTGATGTCCGCAATGCGTCCTTTGCCTAAATTGATTTCGCCTGGCGCCTGGTAAGCTCCAACGTGACTGACTCCTATGGCAAGAAAATAACCCTGAGCCTGGATGTTTCGTAGACAATGTATGCCAAAGATTTCATTTTTAGATAAGCTAGAAGGAATAATTAAAGCTGTTCGAACGATATAGAAATTGATGCTGAAAAGAAATGTTCCAAACTTGTGGCGCTCAGGCCTCAGGCTGGGAACAAAGCTATATTTATGGATGATGGGCTGAATGTAAATCGTTAGGATATCAATCATATCATAGACTGAGTATTCGACAGCCAACATCTGACCATGCCCTGGTCAAGACCACTATTCGGTAAATTGTGCTGCCGTAATTCGTAAAGGACTTCGGCCTTCGAGTCCTTGATGCACGTCCTGTGCTAGTGAGATGACTGGGTAGTAAGTAGCGGGTAGCAATTGAAATATCAGAGGTTGTCATCTGAGATTCCTAAGGGCTTCATTGACTGTGCTTCGCTCGCCAAGCAGAGCAAGTATCTGCCATCGCTGATCTCGGACCTCCCGATCCTTTAGTAAGATGACATCTTCATCATCCATAATGTCGTTGTCGCCAATAGCTAGGCGCATAGCCGCGGCTGATTTATTCGGCAACACAGCAGGCGAAATTGTGAATAGGGTATCGAAAGATGATGCAGTGAGAACACGGCTATGCGAGTGACGTGTGGATGGAGTTATGGAGGCGATTGCGTGCGACGTCGAAGTAAGAGAAAGTGCATGTGTTATGAGTTGCTTTAGTTTGGCCTGCGTAAAATGTGAGGATTGCATGCCAATACTTCAACGATGACGGACCTCAAATGCAAGCATCAATAGCGACGCTACGGCTCGTGATGGTGCGCCAAGGTTATGTTGTGCTGCTATGAGATTGACTCTATCCGAAATATGTTGTAATGTCGGAGCTCTTGAGACCGATGCAAGATTCAATGATAAGCGACTACCAGGCGGATCTTTGACGAACTAGAATTTCAGTGGTCATAGAAATGTAACGAACCATTATGCGCACCTCCGCGCTCGCCTAACAACAACACCCCTCTATCACATGCTATCTCATCAGTTTCTTTCCGAGGTCTCGGGCGTTCGGTGGGAACAGACTGGAGTGTTCGTATGCGGTCGCGTTCGCGCTTCCCCAGAGACACAGTCCATCGCTTAAGTCTCGACGATCGCAAAGTATCATCGTTGTCATCTGGGCCTTGGTAAGGCAACGTTCGGCGACGTTTACGTGGCGGAGGCTTCGATACATCAGGAGGGGGTGTGGGTAGTCGACGGTGCACGGTAAAGTCGAATAACGAGATGATAAGGGAGTTGTGTAGCTGGACTAGAGTGATGTCAGTGTCATTGCGAAACACCAAGAGTAATTGCACTTACCTAAATTCGGAGCATCCAGCGCCTGGCGAACGGATTCATCAAATTCTATCCTGGATACCTTGCCAGAAACAAACTGGCTGAGTGTTTCAAAGTAGGCTGGGGCCTTCTGCCCCAGAGCAGCATTGAGCTGGTTCTTGATTGTCGACGTCGAGGATAGTGACATTAGTAACTAATGGCTAGCCGTTAGAGCAAACTTGAGCAATTGAGTACTGAACTAGTATGGTGGTACTGTGGCGTCTCGCTGAGTTTGAAATCCTCAAGTGCTCCCCTGGATCCTGCCACTCAACCCACGAATTAATTACTTATCTCTTAGCTTGTGGCATCTACATCTGCAAAACCACTGAAATGAACGCTTAACTTACGCGCGTTACGGACACTTACGAACGCTTACGACTTCAGTAGCGCACTCATGCGATTGGTGGAGATGTATTTTACTGTTATTATTTTATTTTGTTGTTATAAATGTACGAGAGATGGACAACCGAATGTTTTGATCAATGATAATCTTTTACATCTCTTTCGATCTCAAAGATAAGATAGATAAAACAGACGATATATTGAACCACAAGCTAAGACCATAACAAAAAATGTAACTACTGCAAATCTGAGCGCAATGCATGATATATCTCCTTGTCCGAGAAATTGTTCAGGTAAAAGTGTTCGTACACCTCCATACTCGTTGCTGCACTCACCCTACGATCAGCTCCTGCGCCATACACGGGGATAAGCTCTACCGCATGCGTGACATCTGTGAGAGGGATGACTGCGCCCAATCTCACCCTCTGACCGTCGGACCCATCTTGATATTGTTGAGCCACCGTATACATGCCGGTGGCAGGATCATCGCGTGGATGACCAACGATCTCATAATATTGCACATAAAGGAGTGGTTGATCTGTGAGGTAATGGGGAAGTGTGACGTGGCGAGGCGGAATGGGCTGGAAGATAGCCCGCACTTGCATAACAATATCTGCTATAGAAACCACAGTGAGTGACATGTACATAGGCATAAAATAAAACTTACTTGCCCGGTCACCGTGTATTGACTGCGCAATAACCGCATCACAATTTCCCAGAGGGAATGTTTGTGATGGCGGAGCAGCTTGAATGACTTGACTGGGCATAATCAGCTGCGAGCGAAAAACGGAATGCAACTGTAGTCGAAATTTGTTCCACGTCTTGACATGACCACGATCACAGCTCCATGATGCTGTAGGTTGACCGTTAGAAACCTTTGCGATGTAATCAGACAGCGCTTGTCTAAAATCTGGTAACATGTAGAGTTGCTGAACTTCGTTGATGGACATTTTGGCTCGATCAGGAGCGATGGTAATGTGGAAGGCAGTCGTCGCAGTGGAGGACAGTATACCCTTCAGAAAATGGTTTCGAACTGGACGAGGTCCGACAAAACACCGTTGATTCGGATCACCAGGTGCGATGCGGGCAATCCATGCAAGAGCAGGGTCAGTTTCAGTAATTTCTTGCTCTTCTGTGACTATGGCATTGGTGAGGGGGGTGTCATGCATCCGCAGGAAGAGGTACAACTGAAATCGCCGCATTGATTCCTCGTGGTTGAGAATATCGACAATCTGCTCTGTAAAGGTGTGTGACTGGCGAGATGTCCTGTCAAAAGGAAGCTTGCAATGAGTGATGAGAAGACGCTCGGTGACGTCTGCAGTCCATTGGATGAGGGCACCTATATCCTCGGTGAATGCAGCAAAACTCTGCAAAAGCTCGAGTTTGGGGATAAGGAAGTTGTCGATTGTTCCTTTGGTGCCTCGTCTAGCTCCTGCATCTAAGATTGCTTGCTTATGATCATGGAACTCTCTGAGAGACGCAACCATGGAATCAATGGAGCTATCAGTGTAAACAGGGCTTTGGGCCTTATAAATAAAGTCGATCAATGTGCGAATTGCGTGAATGAACTGGGGAGGCACGACCCCGGTAATGGAAGGTATCAAGGTGCATTGCAAGTCCCGGTGTTCCCGGCCAGTCATTTGTTTCATCTGACATACTCCAGATGAAAAATGGCGCATTCCTACTCGCTTATGGTGGCTTCGAAATCGGGCATCGAGCTCGTCCTTACCCACCAGTTCTTTCGACCACTTGAATGGGTGATCGAAGAAGAATTTATGGCAGGTATGGAGAATTTCCCCTGCTAAGAAGCGAGCAGGATCTGCGAACCGCCAATTCCACCAAAACGGCTGGTGAACACCACTTAGCGAGTGAGCCTTGGCTTCCTCCTGAAATTCTCGCAACCTCCATGGATCAATGCATTGACAGATGTCGTATATCACTGAAAGGGTGTGTTCTTTCGTGCGTGGCATGTGGCAGTGACTGTCGCCAAAGGATTGAGATGTGGCCAATGTGATAGGAGAGGCGACCTTTGAGACACATGCTATAGCTTGTTGTTCTGGCAAATCTGCAGTGTAAGCAGCCAAAGGCGTGAAGCAGTGTTGTACGTGGCCAGATGGATCGGGCATAAACTTGCCCGCCATAGCTGCGACCTTAGCATCTGCGAAGATGATATCCATGCACTTGTGGAATAACCGTTGACTCAGAATAGTTTGGTAGTCAGTATGGACGTCAGAAAATTTCGGAATTGGCATGAAGCCAACACATCGCCAAGCGTGGCTTGTTGCTCTCATCCACACGTCAGACTGGATGTTGGCGAGCGAGACGAAGATAGGGTGCATTTCGAGCCCTCTGGTGTGCCGCGTCATGGGTGTCTTGTCAGATGCAACGATTATTGGAACTATGGTAGCACCTATGGGAAGCTGGTCCTGTACGAAAGTATCGATCAACCACTACAAATACGTGCATAGAAAGTTGCCTGAATCTCGAATGCTTGTTTCGCTGTAAAATATTCACTATACTCGCGCTCGTCTCCATCAACCACAATGTGTGGGTCATATGTCATGTGGTTCGCGAAGATTGGGTTAGCAAAGAGATCTTCTACTACATCTAGGCCATTGCGCCAGATAAGCTGTATCGGTTGAACAGTTGGGTATCCTGTTATCTCGAGCGTCGTTGAACGCCATTTTGGTCCAGTGGGAAGAGAAGCCATCCATGCAAGTAGCTGGTCTTTGGAACTGAACGATGGTTTAGCTTGGTGCACCTGTGTTCTGGAAGTTAGTTCTACGTGCATATAAAGGAACTTCACATCACACAAACCCATTCAAGCTTGAGAAACCGGTCAATATCACTTTGTGTGAAGTGTTCACAGAGGAATTTTCCCAGTTCAAATTCTGCTTGGTCTTGAAAGGGGTAAAATGGAGTGTGATGTCGCTGGTAAGCAAGCTGGTCACTTTCCATGGCCTCAAGGATGTTTGGCGCCTTTCCGAATATATAGCCAGACGATGGGTGGTACTGTCCCAAAATTTGGTCTTTGCCTGCTTCCTTGGTAGATTGGAGGAATGCGGGTGGAACAGGAATACGACAATCTTGTGCTTCAGGCCAGCAACCATTTCCTTGCTGCAAGTGTTCTAATACCGCCTCATTGGAAGGTAGATCAATTGAACACTGGGGGCATTTCGCAGATGATGATCTGCCAGTTGATTCAAGCGTCACTAAGGTGAGTACTTCAACCTGAAGAAATAAAACTTACAAATTGGTATCAAGAACAAATTGCCCAGATTGTCCTCGCTGAGGATTGGACGATACAGTGGGATGATTGGCCTGCATGCCAGCGCTATACTTACGCAGCACTGACAGTATTGACGCGGACTACACAGAAGAAAGTCCCAAAGTTCTTCAAACTCTGCTGTTGGCACTTACTCCCGGTGAAGGTTCAACGATACAGCGAGGCACGAACAATGCTCCTGGTTGTATCTATAAATGTTGTAAGGTCGCGCGTTGCCTAGTCTGCTATACTTGAGACGACAAGTGCGTTCGACCCTAAAGGGGAAGCGAGTGCAGCAAGGATCTAGAGGTATGCGCTGAAAGCGCTACTGGTTGGCCAATGCGAAGCGCGAGAATGCGCAGGTGCGCGCAAGGCGCGGGAATGCGCGCGTGTATGGCGCGAAGCGCGGGAAAGCGTGCGCGTGTATACAGATATGAGAGAGAGTAAGAGTGAGTTTGCTTAAGTGGTGATATGATGTAAGACAAGAGAAGAGAGATGCGAGGTGTAAACAAATAGATTTCTACTATGTTCTGCTAGGTAAATAGTGGGTAGTGACCAGTAAGTCCTCTGTCGTTCTGGTGGGAGAGTAAGTGAGTCCCAGTGGGTGAGTAAGTCAGTGTATGTACTGCTGGCGCTTAAGTATGGCGCCTAAGCGCTGTCATGCGGAGCCGAAGCGCTACCGAGTAAGGTATGTAAAGATATATGTAAGTAAGGGTCCATGATAAAAATAAAGATGGAACAATAAGCAAATGTGAGAAATGGAAATATACGCACTAGGGAACTTGGTGGACAGTGGATGGATGCTTCCGGATGGCTGGCGCTATAGGGCGCTCAAGCGCGGGAAAGCGCGCGCGCATATACATCGTGAAGCGCGGGAAAGGTACGTGCGCATGGCGCGCGTTGCGCGGGAAAGCTGCGCCTCATATAGAGATAGCTGCGGGTAGCACACAGAGTGATGCTACAAGTTCGTGCCATGTACTCCCCAGTGAAAACTGCCATATTGCACAATGAGAGGCATGAGTCTCTACACCGGATCACATTGTAACCCCCCCCCCCTCCGCAGATTAGCTAGAAAACAAGGTATGTGTTGACTATCTATATTAGCCAGAATATTGACGTTACCAGCATCAACATGGACGCTTATACCGAGCGTTCCACGCCTCCTCTGTCCGATTGCGAGACTACAAGCTCAACTCGTGTTGACCTCTCTTCACCTCCTTTCGCTCGGACTGGCTCTAAGTTGCCGTCCCATCGTAAATCACTCACATCGTCCAGTGTCACCTCTGCCTTGGACTCTGAACGTTTGATATGTTCCAATGCCAAGGGGAAACTAGTTCAACGTAGCCGCAACCACAGCCGCAGCAGCGGCAGTGGCGGCAACCTCCCCTTAGTAGGCCCTCTTACGAAGTGAGACCGTATGTCTCGCTTCCACAAACAATTGCGTGCCAAGTATAGGCCACGCATTGTTCATCAGGCCCCCCCCTATGAGATCCAGTTTGCAAAGAAGCAGATTCTTGATGGGTCATACAGATCTTTCAACCTCCAAGACTTGCGCGAGGTAGGGAGATTTTACTTATAATTTGATATATCTTGATTAATAAGGTATGTAGGGCAGGGAACTTCTCCAGAGAGGATTATCTCTCATGTCCGATGATTCCTTCTGCAAGGCTGTTCAACTTAAACAGGCCACTAAGGAAGACCTCCGACACCAGCTCATGCACACTACCTGGTGGCTCGAACGTAACAGGAGAGAAAAGTCTTTCCTGAAATCTCTCAAGCGAGAGCAAGAAGGTGAATTCAAGATGGCGGAGATGGAAATGGAAATATTCAGGGGCTTCATCACTACCCGGGGGCTCCCGGCCTTGCAAGATGATAAAGACTACCTTGAGGCAGTCTTTTTGGAGGACCTGGATCAGTATGACGTTGCCAGTGAGCAGTATGACCAATTTTTGACTCATGCAGAGAAGCGTGCCGCCCCTTTTCCAAACAGCAGTGATACAGAGCCGTCAGACTCCCACAGTGATGTGGGGTCTGATGATAGCCTCATCTACCAGCTGGATGAATGAGGAACGTGACATGCAGCCTTATCGACGAATAGGAAGTGTGCGAGACCCTATTTCCATTTACCTCGTTTATCAATATATTGACGACACATGTACAGTGCTGCTGTCTTGTTACATTCAATTGAATTCCCAGATCACATGACCGACCCTATGACCTGTCGTTGCTTTCATTTGTACGTTTTGTGTATATCATTTCCGATCTATATACTTGTTCGAGCACCCTTCGTTTACGCGTGATTCCAATCTGGTTAGTCAATTTATTATGCATACAGATACCACTAGGATGGCTATTCTTAACCCATGCCCCCACGAAAGCCAGCCCAGCAAAAACGACGCACATCTAACAAGAAAAAAGTAAGTGTTTATATTCTATCAAAACACAGATGCTAACACAATTGCTTAGGAACCACCGCGACTGAAGAAAAACTCTAACGTCAACGCATCTGGTCACGATATTGTGACCCAACTCGGTCTCCCTGAAGATCGGCCAGAAACCCCCCAATGTCTCCGCCACACGTCTTCTGCATCAATGGCTGCACATGCAGGCCACAGTCGCTTCCAATCTCCCCCCGTAAATCACTACCCTCAGCAACACATCCATGACCCCCCACAGCAACACGATTACGCCCCGCAGCCTGATTTCTATGATCACAACCCCCCACAGCATGATTATGCCCTGCAGCCTGACTTCTACGACCACGACCCCCCACAGCATGATTATGCCCCGCAGCCCGACTTCTATGAACACGACCCCCCACAGCAACATGATCACGCCCCGCAGCCCAACTTCTACGACCACAACCCCCCACAGCATGATTACGCCCCGCAGCCCAACTTCTACGACCACAACCCCCCACAGCAACATGATCACGCCCCACAGCCCAACTTCTACGACCACAACCCCCCACAGCATGATTACGCCCCGCAGCCCGACTTCTACGACTATGACCCCCCACAGCAACATGATCACGCCCCACAGCCTCAATATGACGAACTATTTACATTCGGAGGCTCCGGCATGCCACGCTATATGAGGTGGGATCTCGGAAGTGCCACCGCACCAGCGCCTGCGCCAGCACCAGCACCAGCGCCAGCTGTCGTCAGTGTGGTGTTGGCTTGCAAGAGAGAGGCAGAGCGGGGCGAATTTAGCCGTGGGGTAATACATGTATGTTCTTCTTCTTTCGTTGTTAGTATTTGTCTAATATTCTACTAAGACGCTGGAGACAGAGCGTTTGGTCGGTCGACAATGTGCCATCGAACACCATCTCCCTCCTACCCCTGCCCCCGGACCAGCACAACCAACCACGCCGGCCTCTGCCATCACCCCTGCAGCTACTCCTCCGGCTACTCCTCCAGCTACTCCCCCAGCCGTTACAGCCCCAATCAAGCTTAAAAAGAAGGACATCAAGACGATCAAGACTGAGGCGAAAACATACCTCCGTCGCACAATGCTGCGAACGGAGGATGTTTCCTCAACGCGCAAGCAACGAAATGTGCATATTTCGAAAGCCTTGCGGGATGCGAGAGTTGACTTAATTGGCGAAGGTAAGTCGTGAATGTATTGATGATGTCAATAACTCTTTTTCATAGTTCCATATGAGAAATTCGAGACGCCGAAGGTTCATGAAGAAATGGTAACATTGATGTCGTCTACGTGGAGGTTCTTCAAGACGTACGCATCCCACAACATTCTCAATGCCCTCGATCTACGCCTCCCGCCTGCGGAGAGGGCCGATGCAGTGAAAGGTCATCTATCTGGACTCAACTTCCTGCACAAGGTTGAAATTGTAAGTGTCTCGTTAAATAATAATTGCGCAACTTATAGTCGTGCCAACAGGTTGATGGCATCGAAGTAACACGTTTTCTGGAGGCTGAGTACCTTATCGACATGATCGTTGATGTTGTGTGGAAAGAAGGGCTCTATGTTGACATCGACATTGAGAGACTCGACTGCGTATTCGGCCTTGCAGGAGCTGCCGCAGTCCGGTTCCGAACCTCGGTTCGAACCTGAACCTTTCCGAACCGGACGCATGGTCTGGTCCAAGGTTCGGCCAAGACTCAGAACCGAACCTTTCTAGAGGTTCGGGGTTTGGGCTGGTAGTGAATAGGTTCAAACCCGTTCGAACCTCTCAATTTTTGTCACACTTTTTTCAAAAATGTGTAAGTATTTAAATATTTACCATGTGTGAATATAATAATATATACAAATGCATGTGTCTGGAACCACAGGTTTGGGCCATCGGGTGAGATTGATGCGGTCTTGTCGTGCCTGCCGTGGTTGTGACGCGCTGTGTGACACAGGACTGCACGGTCACAAATTCATGTCAAACACTAAGTATCTTATGTCACTGTGAATTCCAACCATGCACTCTAATTTCAACGTACCCGTCGCTCATCACAGCAAGTCACCGTTCTCGCTCAAACAAGGCCATAGGATTTTCGTAGTTATAGGATGTCATCAGGTCAGCATAAAAAAATACGTTGTCTAGTCAGGCATGAAGTAGATCACGTCACAGGCTGCAATGGATATCATGGAAAAAGAGGGAGCACATGTTGCTGACCGCCCACGTTCTATTGCAGTGCACGAGACTCTGTGTCTCTACCAGGTGCGATCAGTGTATTTGGGGCCGGTTCTGATGTGGTAAGTTCTTACATTGCATCGCGTCTTCACTCGACAACTTTTGTAGACTGCATCTGCAATCACAATTATGATGATGGCTGCTGCCACTCATACAGATGCGCAGGCTCACGTACAAGAGGAACTCGATGACGACATACCTCTCGACGCTCATTATCATGATTCTCGCCCATTCATGGTTCTCACTCATCATCATCTGCATGGTGCATTTTTAATGCAATTTATTTTTATTTCTATTTTACAGATTACTCGACGTCTTCCTACTTGTCTTGTCCATCTCCTCTCTCTCATTCTCGTCCTCCTCCTTGTCTTCTTCCCTTCTCCTGCTCTCGTCCATCGTCTGTATTCGTCTGAGCCACGTCAGCAGTTGCTGACGTGTGCTGGGCGTTTGCGCATGGCGTTTGTGGCATTTGGAATGGCATGGTGGAGCTCGGACATTGATTCAGCAGGGCTTTCCGCCTTTCGCTTAGTCGGACCTGGTTCGACCAAATGGCTGAACCGAACCCATGGTTCGGTTCGGTGTTCAGAAAATTTGCCCCAAGAACCGGACCGAACTGGACTTCGGCAACACTATGCCGTTCACAACACCCTCAAGGCATATCGTGAGGGCACATACGAGAACGTCGACGCATCCGCTGAACAATTCTACGACGTTTACAGTTCAATCATGGCGTTGATCGGTAGAATCAGGCTTGATGACGCGTTGAGGGAGAGGTACAAATCTTTGTGCAAATCAATCATCAGACGTGGAGAGGCAGATATTGGGCTGTAGATTACACGGATTTATCTAATAGTACAATCTTGAGATCATCTGCTATCTGTAATTTTACAATCAAATATTTACAACGAGATTATCTGTTTTTCACGCATTTTTTCGTGTTTGCAACGAGCCGAGTCTACTTTGATGCAATAAGTACTAAAAAGGTGCGCGAGCCGACGTCAGCTATTTATGGCTCCCAGAAGCGCCTCAAAGGCGCGTTTGCGGATTTTGGCTTTTCAGATGTACTACTAGATGGTCCCACGAGTCCGTGTGTCCCAAGAGTCCGCGCATTGACTCTAGCACACGCAATTCTGCACAGAATCCTTATCCATGATAGATCTGGATTCGCCCAAACATAATACACACTGCCATATTTTTTTTTTGAAGAAAATCGAAGTAGATCTTGTTCCATGGGCAACTTATCAGTGTGAGAGGCATAGAAGGCTCACTCTAAAGGTCAGATCTCCACATATAATTCTAGAATATTGTGAGATGGTTATATACATGATTAGAGAATACTAAAACAAATTTATTCAGGGCACATGCTTGTCAGGATCATCTGCGATAAAGAAATAAGCCCCAGACGTGACAATCTGCCCAAAGCGTTACATAGAGACTGTGTAATCAAAACTCCGCAATGCCGAAATGCTTTACACATGCACAACTTCACAACATCTAATTGGCCTGTGCAGAAGGCAGAGGAAGCGCGGAGATAACCGGTGCAAACGCGACTCCCTGCAGACGACAGGGAGTCCTATGGAGATTTTAACTAGTAATACATGAATAGTGAGCCTAGCCAAAACCTGCGAGAAAAATGGAACACTCCGACAACTGGCAGGATAATAATAATACATAACGATAGGAAAAGACCAAGAGAAAGAAATTAAGTCTCGACCGCTATACACTATAAATAAGGGAGGGATGGGAGGGAAAGAAAAATAAATGATTGTGGAAAAATAAATAAATAAATATTGAGCGAAGCGATGAAAGAGACACACCAAAAAATCAATTTCCCGGTCCATCGTGAATAGAATGCCCACCAAACAGCAGGGTTTGCAGCAAAACAGGGTTCTTCCGAACATAGCGTTCCCATGTATCCAAACGCCAGCGCCCAATCCGCTGAATGCTGGAGGGTGAGGCACCAGCAGCAGCCAGAGAAGTCGCACCACCAGCGTGCAATGAATGTCCCGCGATGGACACATCAAAAAATACGCGCAAACGGCGCATAAACCATACTGGCGAGGGAGGTTTACCATTGTTACGCAACCAAAGGAAAGGTTGCAGTGGGAATTTGAGATTCCGAATGGCCAGGTAAGCCGCGAAATTTTGTAGAGGGTCAATGGGGCCCTCACACCGTTGAATGAGAACTTCATTTTTTTCGAAATGAACATCCGCTTTATCACGAGGCAGAAGAAACGAAAAATAATCAGCATTTAAACGAACTGAGTGACACAGAGACAACTTTGCATAATCACGAAGTTCCAGTTGGTCCGGCCACACCAATTCCCCTAAACACATGAGGCCGAAGAAACCACATAAGAGTTGAGACAGCCAGAGGATGTCGTCATACGACAAAGGACGAGGCATGGTAGAGGCCACGCGAACAAGGTCGTCCCGCAATAGAGGATGTTTCCGATTTGCAGGCCGCCCAAACCGACGCACAGATCCCTGCAAAGAGCGTTTGACAAGATGAGATTGACGGATTTGACGAATGGAAGGGAAATAAGGTTCCAATTGACTGACAATTCCCGACAAATAGCATTCAACAGACCGAGGTTGTATGTGTTGGCACATGTAGACCACGTAGAATGATAACGTATCAGCGTTGGGCTCCACAGCAAAACGATGAGTCGCGCAGAAGGACAAATAAGAGTTGAGATGAGACGAGTAGGCTCGGGAAGTCGCAGGATCAAGAGCAAAACCGAGGGAGATAGAACGCTCAAGAATGAGACACTCTAGAGACCAGGCCTCCCAGAGTGGCTGCCTGGCGTTAGTGGACTGAGTGATCATTTTTTCGATGCCCCCAGCACATTCCGAGGGGGTTGAAAAGGTGAGATGATTAAGCCCGGAGATACCTGATAAGCTTCATCATTCTTCCAGCGCGAAAGGCAATCGGCAACGGTGTTGTGTATCCCCGCGACGTGAAACACACGTAGGTCCACATGCAAAGCCAGGATAGCGTCCATAGCGACCAACAATAACCAATTATATGGAGGAAGTGCAGCGAGGGTGTTAAACATGGCGACCGAGTTCATGTTGTCCATAAACACTGCTAGACGGTCATAAGAATGAAGCCAGTCAACCGCATTAAGAATAGCGGCAGTGATGGCTAGAGCTTCGAAGAAGAATATGGTGCCGGAAGGACATCCTTCAGGTAGGCGAGACTGAAAACCAAGGTTCAAAGAAGGGAACCAAAATCCCATTCCATCCCCAGAGGCATCAGTATAAATGGTTAACGTAGCCTGGGACATATGATGAAAGTCCCAGGCAAGAGAGCGTATGAAATAAATTCCATCCGACGTAAGGAGATGATTGATGACCCACGTAAGCTCTCGAACGACATCTCTGTTCACCCAGATTAAGGCTCTCTGCTCCAGTTTGCCTGCCATTTTGGCATATACTGCCGAAAGGCCAGGACATAACAAAGGATAAACATTCAGCGCACAATTGAGATGTCCTGCAAGACGTTGAAAGTCTCACAGGGACCGGCAAGTGCCTTGAATGGCAAAACCACGAAGATTGTCAATGAGATCTGAACGAGATTGGTCCGACATCCTCACGCACATGAGGTTGGGGTTGACATCGAAACCAATGATAGGTAGCTCTACTCTGAAGACTTGCTTCCGTTCTTCGTGAGGAATTCCAAGACGGTCCCAGAGACGAAGCAGCTTGCAAAGATTACGAGGTAACACCTTATGGTAAGGCGCATACAGTTCCATTTCCTCCTTTCGTTGGAAGGAAAATGAATCGTCGACGTAGATATAGATGTAGAAGATGAGTATTTTAACGATGGCAATCCAGATCACGAGAGCCATGAAGGCATGATAGATTCGTTGGGAAGTGCGTCCACCGAAGACATTATGACAATCGACAAACCGCTTATTCTCCCAGGATGACGACTTGCTTTATCTGCCACAGCAGATGCATTGGCATGTGACGATACGCTTCGGAGACATCAGCCTTCCAAAGCTGCAAGTCTCCACCTAAATGAGACCGACAATAATGTCGGAGACCATTCCCAAGATGGTGAACGTTGTCCAGAGTCACCCCAGCAATGTCATCCCGAGATATCATCGAATTGAGGGCATACAATCCAGCACTGTGATCAGTAACCAAGTGGAACTTGCTAGTCCCAGGCTTAGGCACAGCATGAACCAGCATACTATACATCCCCGGCAAAAGATCAGGTCCAAACTCTTCCGAATAACGTCCAAGAGCGACTTCTTTATCGATTTGAGATTTAACAAACTCTTTTTCAGCATCAGACTTGAGAGGACGAGAGGAGTTGTCGAAAGTCAAGGGCCATTCTCCATAATGTGTGTCGGCGAAAGGCCAGAAACCTTCACGAAGACCGAGACAAACAGAATTAACAAAAGCAGGATTGGGATGATCCGAAAGCAAGGACTCAAACTCCTCGATGTTGATACAGGTAGAAACACGAAATAGATGAGGAAAATCTGAGATGGTACGAAGCGCTGAAAGATTCTTGAATTCTTGTTTTGGAGGTCGAGGTAACGGTTTTGCAGTTTCTGTCCACGTGGCAGTCGGACTTCGAGGATGAGAACGATCATTCCATATATTCTTTCTCCTATGGCTAGGAGCTGCCGCAATAAGACTATTTTGATCCTTCACCGCTCTTACCGAGCCGCGGACAGTCAGTTTTCTTGTGGGCTCCGCGACAACCTTTTCGGTCACAGCAATGGGCGAAGAAACATTCCGAAGAGGACTTGGGACACGTCCCTCTGTTCCACTTATGACAAGGGTCTCGTCTTGTTCCTCCCCTGCTCGACCGATCTGACTTCCCTCCTCCGCTAGAGTTTGATTCGGTGGAATTGGGACCCACGCCAAAGGAGGACAAGAAAGTGTATTGGAGTTCCCCAAATGCGGAATGATCAGTGAGGCGTAAGTGTCGTTGGAGTGACACCAAGGTGCGGACTGCTTTGTCGTACTCGATGACACGGTGATGTCGTGAGCTTTCGAAAGCGTGAAAGAGTCCCGACATGTGAGCGTTCCAACTGGTGTACTCTTCCCAATGTTGTGGAAAGACGAAGGTGAGGGTGTTAATGTACTTGGTGAAGGCGATGTTATGATCTGAGGCAGAGTGGATTCCGACCGAAGATTTGTTGGCCCGAAATGAGAGCTCAACTTTGTCGTCGATGATGTGGGTCTGCTTAGGTTCAAGGTCTGTTGAATGGGTGGCTTCAAGGACCTTTCCCAAGTCGACAACTTTCCATTGGACGATATTGAGCCACTGTTCCGGAGGGAATGGTGGACATCCAGGTGTGGATAAGATGTCCCGAACGACTGCTTTGGGGTCAACTGCGAATCGTTCAAGTTGGTCGAAGGTCTGCTTGATATCCGGCGCCAAAGAGGCAATGGCAGTGACACGCTTTTTGTGCCATGGAAATTTAGAGGTGTCAAGGTGTCCTCGAGATCGTTTGATTCGAGGTTCATCCTCGTCAGAAGACTCGGAGTCTGCTCGCTCCTTTCTGACCCTATTTTCATCTTCTTGAATCTCTTCTCTTGGTGGTAGGTCTCACTCTTCCGCTTCTTGAGGAGACGTTCCCCTAATTTGATTTCCTCGTTCGGCAGCCTTCCCATTCGCTCTATCAACGGAGTCGAGCATGTCAACGTATACTGCAAGGGCTTCAGGGAGGCTTCCTCCGATTCTGATACTGGATGATTCAAGGAGGACTTGATGTAGGGCAAGGATGGTGTCTGCCTTTGCATTCTCTCGTCGACGATATTGCTCGACAAGTTCATTACACTTTTCAACGCATTCTGAGTCCGAACGTGCGGGAATTTCATCCGCTCCGGATGAAGCGGTTTGAGAGGTACCAGAGATAGCTTGTGATGACCCAGCTCCATTATTAGACATGAGAAATTTATTTCGATGGAAACGAAGTGACAATAAATAATGCAAAAAACGCTCTGGCGAGACGACGAGAGGAGGTCAGAAAGAGATTAATCGTGTAATATAAAACTACAGGCAACCTACCTGGCGAGACGACGAGAGGAGGTCAGAAAGAGATGAGAGCCCCTTACAATCGTTACCCACCAGGCGAACCTCAAACTCCGCTATAGGAGAGGAGGAGTTTGAAAGACGATCGGGAGTGTTGCCCGACGAAAAACAGGCCTAAAAAGAATACATGTGGCTGCGCGACCATAGTAGGGCTTAAGCCAGCGCACACGCAGGCTCATGAAGTAGAGGACGAGTCTTATTCAAGACTCGAAGTTCCGCGACAGACACGCAACCGCTTGTCGGCCAATTAGCTTCGTATAACTTATATTAAACCCAATTAAACGGTGCGAATTCTGCGGAGCGTGAAAAGGCATCGCGGCAGACGTGTGACATAGTGTGACGAAGTGCGCGAACTCTAGGGAAAATGCACTTTTCTGCGCGGTAACTCTCCGCTGGACTCAACACGTCAATTTTCGAAAAAGAAACTAGCAGACGTTGTACTTTCGATGTCACGCTATCGAACTGTCAAAGAATTAATTTTGTTTGTTTGTGCGATGTGGAGTAATGACCGTTTTGCCAAAAATGCGCGAACTCCCGTGGACATCTAGTAGCTCCCAAGTCAGTGCATACAGCAGCGCGCGCCCTCCACCGTACCAAACTCTACTGGTCCGCCATCTTCGCTGCCCTCGTCCTTCTTCGGTGATTGAGGGCACGCTTTTAAACTTTTGGCGCCCGCGCTCTCGTATGGCTACAATCGACGTTCTTCGCCAAAGCCTGCCTTCTCTCCGCCAAACTCATCCTATATTATCCTGCCGACAATGCCAGACACGTTGTCACTGAGTTATTTTGCATCGACTATTAGGCTTCAACCCCATATTTTCCTGGACCGTACTGCTCATATCTTGCCGGCACCCATTATCCAAAACATGAGCCTGCGCCGGACTACCCCTATCAGCCATCGATATCACCCCTGCACTCGCGGACAGCAACGATGACTTGGAAATGACATGTCGTCCATTTCGGGATCCTTCGTTGAAGCCCAGACATGGATATAACCGCCCGTGCCAAGATCTAATAGATACAAGCAAGCAGTGTTGGCACCAAATGTGAACACATTTACACGAATGTCACCGATATCTGGTGCGGCGATGAATACGTCGTATCGCCATTTTTTTCCGTTTGGATATCTGGAAGAGCAACAATGCTGTGACTCAGAGGTCGCCATAGTAGTGAGGAAAGAACAATGAGCAAGAGACAGAACTACTATGAACGCGGCGCAACGCATCATGCATATGACGTGGTGGACGCAATTGCATGATGGAGGATGATGGTCACGCAAATGGAGAGAGTAGGGTTATGTTGCTGTTAAGTGGCCTTACACAAACTTTAGTTAGCAACTCTCGACTGTGAAACGAATGCAATGCGAGGTGAAAGCGAGACGGAAGCGAGATAACGTCGCGTTTGTTCGCTTGCCTAGTGAGCGGCAGCACGGAGTACTTTGGAAGACTCCTGTGTTTTAATGCGGGTAAGACTAGTACTTCTCGTACGGTAGGATGCTATTAATGGGGGTTTCAACATGATCTGGACCATCTTTCGAATGTAATGTAATTTCAAGGTCAGTTTACCCGCTGTGTCTGCTGATCATCGGAGAAGATACATCAGTCACATGTCCTTCATTTGTGCCAGTACTAGTGGCTCGAAGTTTGATGCAGATGCATGCAAATTGTAATACTTATTCTTCATTATGAGTATTATGCACACATTTCAATTATGTCGGAGGTCTAATTTAATTTGAGCTTCTTCAGACTTTGTGTTGCAACTCACAGATCCAAATTCAAGCTCAAGGGCTATCTTCCACTTTGTTTTGAACTACGGAACTTTCCTTGAAGTAGCATCATCCAGATCAATGTAGGCCAGGGTACACGGGCGAAACGGTGAGCCACCGTCATGATGTGATAAAAGCCTGAACCGAGCGTGATTACATTAATGGCTCTATGTAGATATTGCTTTGTCTCCTATGAAATGTATAGGCGCTTATAAAATGCCGCGATACCTACTACTCAGGCTAGTGATATCTGCGGCTCACGAATTTAGTGACGCATCTTGTTTCCTTAGACGGCATTCTTCTTTGGACCGCGCTCTGATGGATCGCAGCCATCAAGGATCGATGTCCATTCTCGGTTCTCAATACCAGTCCATGGCATACGGAACGTCTGAATCTGATTATTACGACGTAAAGGCCTCGCAATCAGCGTAACGCACCCTAAAGGACTCCTCGGTTCACTGATAGTCAGTCCACGAACAATTGACAGTTCGTCATTTAGTAATGGAACTCGTGCCTGTCTCCGCAGCATGGGCGCGAAGCTCTACTAGATAAGTCAAACACTACGCCGGATCAAAGCATTGCTGTGTGGTACGTGGACCTTATAAGAAAACCCAATCGAGCATTTTAGTCTACAACACATCCGCTGGCTGAGAGATCCTTCTTCAATCCACAAACCTTTAAACCGACTTATTCACTATCATGATTCTTGTATGTTTTTTGTATCGCTGAGTTGGTTCACCACTGGCGACACTAATATTGTTTTGTGTTGCAGCATCTTGCCAGTGGTGCAGGATCCAACGATTCGGCTGATTCGGTATGTCCCTGATCGCACCAGCTTTGATTCGGACTTCCAATTTGATTTGCTCTATAGCAGGTTAATGGTGATGTCCATGCAGGCAGCGCCAATTCAGATGGCCCAGTGCGCCACTCACTGCAGCGGCTTTTGAATTCTAACTCAAGTCACTCTATCGTAGGGAAATGCTGGAAATCACTCCATAGCCCAAGGAATTCATGCCTCGATTGACTACAATGACGAACCGGATCAGTCGGACAACCACAGTGACAGGGACCCAGATGCTAGTTACGACACCGATTTTTGGTCCGAGGAAGAATATGTCGAAGCTACCAAGGAAATGCAGAAGATTTGCAAAAACTCGAAGCATGTTTCGCAGTTTTTACGTTTTGGTAAAGCGTTCATTTGGCCATCACACCACAGCATTGAAGTATTATGTCAAAGGTGGCGCTGGTTATAATCTCAGTGTCTCTCACCAATTCGAGAGCAGCTCCGAAGTAGCCCGCTGCGCAGTTCAACCTGGTAACATTGATGACTTGAAAAAGATCGTCAGTGCTCGATTTCTGATTGGATTTTGTCCGATTGAATGTTGTTTAGATGAAAGTCTTCATGAAATATGATAAAGTGAAATTTGCGGTGCGTATTTTATTATCAGTTCTTCTCACCATTTCATGACTTTACTATGTAGGTCAAAGGGGGTGGACATTCCACCAATCCTGGATTCAGCTCCACTACAGGCATCCAGATCTCCATGGCCAACTTCAATGAACTCGAATATAACAGCAAAACCCAGAATCTGCGCATTGGAGCGGGATGTCTCTTCGATGAGGTCTACAAGGAAATAGCCCAGTATAAGCGAAACATCGTCGGCGGGGCTACCGCTGCTGGTGTCGGAGTAGCTGGTTGGCTATTGGGTGGTGGTTACTCCCTCTTGACCAACCAACACGGTCTTGGAATAGACAATCTAGTCGAGGTTCAAGTCGTCTTGTGCAACGGAGAATCAGTAAAGGCATCCGCTGAACGCAATAGTGACCTTTTCTTTGCTATAAGAGTGAGTCTATCAAATACACAGGTATAATCCTAGTCCTTACGGAAATAGGGGGGCGGAAACAACTTCGGCATTGTTACTTCGTTCACTGTCAAAACCTATCCACTTGGGCCTATCTACGTCGGTGTCAACATGTTTTTACTGTGTCTTTCATGCTGATCTCGTATAAAAAAATTAGCGGAACATGTTGACGTTTCCAATAGATAAGGCCGCAAAGGTGAAGGAAGCAATTATGAACTTCATTGACAAGTGCAAAGACAAGAAGGCAGCGATCGTTGGCGCATACAGACATTTCTGTATCCGTGGAGAGCGGGAGGTATGTCCAACCCTTGAAGTTTACTGCGCACTGACATTAACTGTCAATACAAGGACAAGATTACTGTTGACCTTTTCTATGATGGGCCGCTTCCTTCTGACAATCCTTTTGAGGAGCTCCTCGAGCTTTCTGACGATAAATGGATTCATCACGAGGACCACGACGAAGCGGACAAAAAGCTTGCTGAAAATTTTGCATTCATGGACCAGCTTTTTTCACACATTCATGATCCGTCCCGCATCTCTGCACCGCCATCGCACCGTCAAGTTGATGGGACACAACTCTCTTTGCAGACGTACGCGAAGAATCCCCCTAAATCTGGTGTCGGAGAAGAGAATGTTAGGTATGTCATAAAACAAAAATTTTGACGTTCGGCTCACTCACATTTCTGCAGGGCGCGTTGGGGGACTGTGATGGTTTCGCACTTCACCCAAAAGCTCTTGGATGAGATCGAGGTCCAATCGAAGGTATGATCATCCTTAGCATCCAAATGTTTCGATATCTTTCTCATCGTTCTTATTCTCAGCTCGCTGCCAGCAAGCTGAAGGAATACGAAGGAAAGACAGCCGTCATCGATATTTGGCCATTCCTACCGTCCATGTTTGACACAAGCACTTCCGCTGGCTGGCCGCACGAGAAAGGCCGGCCGAATGGGCCATTGCTCGCCTGCTTCCAATGGGAAGGAGAGAACAACGATAGTTTCTGGATCGGGCTGATGAAGCAGATCCTGCAGTCTATTCAAAAGGTGGCGGAGGCAGAGGGGTGCACTAATGACAAGTTGCCAAAGTATTGCAATACCTCGCTCGCCGATACTCCAGTCCAGGACATCTACAAGGAGCATTTGCCAAAGCTTATAGCAATCCGCGCAAAATACGATCCTGACAACATGATGGGGAGAACTGGTGGATTTAGAATTCCTTTGGCGTTGTAGGCGTTCATGCTCGGCGCGCAAATTACCGATGAAACTTATCGCTTTCCGTACCGCATTGCTTGTATATATCCGCGAACACTTTGTGTAATTTTAGTTTCACTATGGACCCAGTGTTTGTCTAACAGACGAGTATTTAATGCCTCAATGAAGCTAACCTGTGCTTTGACTCTGGAATGGTTTTAGACTACATAAAAGGAGGATGGCCATCAAGATTGTTAGACAAACGGTGACAGTTCCCTGCAGGCAATATGAGGCTTATAAGCTCGGAGCTGCTAAATACTTTGAGATTGCCACGACACAGGATCCATCGTTCATCGGTTCATCTGACGCTCGAATATCTAATATAATCTGATATGACCGCGGTGTACAATTTGAGCTTAGGACTCAAACAACATCGTGGGAAACAGGACCTTCCAAAGTTTCTGTCATCGTCCCACCAATATTAGTCGTCCACGACTGTCTACAACTGATCATTTCCTGGCAGTGGAATATTCTAATACTCATCATCTGTAGGTTTGAAGGATAAACACCAGATGTTCACATGGATCGCCCGGTGACCTCCAAGCCACGGGGAATCTGTCGATACTACAAAACCCCCAGGGGCTGCTACGCTGGTGATGATTGCAAGTTCCTTCACGGTGCTGAAGAAAAGCTTACCCCGTACGACAAATCCAAGGTGTGCAGATACTACATTCAAGGCAAGTGAGGTGCAGTTTGATGATAACGTGGTGTAACTGACCGAATTTCAGGACACTGCACTCGGGGTACTCGGTGTTGGTTTCGTCATGAACTTGTGAAGGACCCTGTTGATGAGGAGCTAAAGCACTTGGATGAAAATATGTGTAACATATGCATGGAGAAACCTCAAACATACGGTCTTCTAAGCGAGTCACTATCTTGGCTTTTTGAACGTCTTCTGACATCGTCCCCCAGTTGGCTGCGGCCATGTATTCTGTCTTCAGGTCGATCCTATCATTATTTTTCTTTCGATGCACAAACTAACACTGTCACTCAGTGTATTCGCCAGTGGCGAGAGCCACAAGGAAAGTCGCCGGACATGGTGATGTCAGGAGTGATAAAACGTTGTCCTTACTGCCGCAGTCCATCGCGTTTCATTACACCTTCCACGCATTTCTTCCCTCATGATCACCCACGCAAGCAGGAGATAATAGATAGTTACAAGAATAGCATGGCTCGCGTTCCATGCAAGTCAGTACGATCTCCTTACATTGCTCTCGCCGGTCTGATCACAGTCATGCAGATATTTCGTCGAAACATCAGCTTCTGGCAAGCCCTGTTGTCCATTTGGTCTCGATTGCTTCTACCAACATCTCAATCCTGATGGTACACCACACGTTTTCCAATATGGAGCAAATCACTTCATGAAGGTATAGCGTCATCTGCATCTTGTACCTTTATATTTATGCCTTGTCAGGTATTTAGGAGACAACAACGGCAGCGTGGCCATACGCTGTTCGGGTCTGCTTCAGAAGCAGATCTCGCAGATCGCCTTAGGCTTCTACAGAGCATCCTCGGAGACCCAACGAATAATCTACATGTCACCCTCAGCTTCGTCCGACAACATCTTCCAGCATTATTGAATGGCATGGATGCGGAGTCTGGTGCAGCCACAGATACTCTAATGGATGATGACGACGAAGACCGTCAGTCCTTCGAATTACTGGTGAGCCTTTTTAAGATCACTTAGTTGCATGACATGTGTATGTTTAGTAGCTTTGATTCTACCATAGGCGGAGAGTATAGCTACAGAGCAGTCACTAGAAACTGCGCATTTTGTGGCTCCTGTTACCCTCGTATCCTTCACTGTCGAGGAAAGTCCACATCCACCTGTCGAAAGTCTTGTAACAGTACCCACTGCTTCAATACCACCTAGGGCTAGGAGTGCATCTCCAATTGTGGGACCCTCAACAACACATCCGGTGCCCTTTAGGCCATCATCCTCTGCGGAGGTTTCTGGACTACTTTCTCACAGCTTCCTTCCCTGGGCAATGCCCCGCACACCGTCCCCCCGTCCCTCATCTGCCTCCCCAGCCTCCATGACATCTACCATTCAGCAATCAAATACGTCCAGATTCAGTACCGTACTGAACTCCCGCAGTCGGGAGACCATGGTTATTGACATCTCGGACGAGGACGAAGAGGACGAAGTAGAGGAGAATGTTTTGTTACATCCTCTCAACGTCGACGATGACAATGACAATGATAACGACACTTGCCTATCATCTACACTTACAAGTACTGTGCCTGACCCACCAGAGAGCAACGGGTCGTTAGCTGTGTCTTCGGGAGCTGCTGAAGCACCAGCAGACTGTACGGAGGAGCAGACAACGCCGACTGGCCGACCGCAATGCGAGCATGATGCGGATCCCCCATTTGTCACTGATGGCAGAGGCAGAGTGGTATGGAGCAGGACTGTACGTGGTCCATCTCATGCTCAGGCTCAAGTGGAGGCTCGTGAGCGACGCCATTCGAATTCTGCTATCAAAGCTCGACGTCAGACATCTGAGACTGGAGCAGTTGCGACAGATGGAAGAGGTCGTGTTGTTCCGACAGGACAAGAGGGATCTGAAGTCAATAGCAGGACCGGTGGCACGGAGACCGAGACCGAGGCGGAATAATAACACGTAAAAATGTGAAGTGTTGTAGTTGTATATCATATACTTGTGTGTATCTATAAACCTGTAGTTGTGCAGCATTTCCAACAAATGCGTATTGGGTATCCAAAAGTAGCGTAAAAACATTTGTTCACAGCAAAATAGTTATTAGGTGCGGGCCTAAAGACTCCCGACACCAACGACAGCAAAACAAAACAAAAGGTTCACGGTAAATCACTTTCATCCACATTTAAGATAAACTTGGTGTAGAAACGAACACCTTCATTCATGCTGTCTGCACGGAAAGCTAGTTTGGGGAACTGCATCAGCAAGGAAAACAACGTAACACTACAACGCTTGCCTTCATTGACAGTGTGTTCTCCATTGAAACGATCCGTGTCAAAGGACGGCGAGAAGCGGAAAATATGCTTGGTCAAATTCCAGTAGAATTGTGTGTCTGAGATTACGTGAAGGGACGATTTGTTATGAGTAGATCACAGTTGCTCACCAGTGTTGCCTGGTTCATATCATTCATTAGAGTCGTACAGTATAAACCAGTTCAACCAACGTACCAATTGATAGAGAGGGTACAACCACGACCTTGCTGCTGTTGCGGGTGGGGGAGCTCTCAAAAGCAGCTTTAATGCTTCCTTGTAAGAGTGCCCAAGGACCATAACCGGTGGGCGTCACGGGCGAAGGTTCCAAGGCTGTCCCGAGGAAGTCAGACAGAACGACTTCACCAGCACCACCACGAGTCACGTTGCTACCAAACGCGACGAGTGCGAGGTCATACTTGGTTGCCAATGGGGTCAAAAGGTCGATCATGTGCTGCTGCAACTCAGCAACAGAACTAAAAGTAAGAAGTGAACAAAGTCCTAGAAATCATACAAAAGAAGTAAGACCTATGCTCTGCGATGCGGTGATTCACCACTGCGTTAGCACGCTCTGGGAGAGCGTTGACTTTCACGCCACCTTCAATGAGATCTACTGCTTGTGTGGTCCCGAGCACTGCTTTGTACAGGGGATCCGAAGCCAGAAGTCGCTCTTGGAGCACCTTCAGAGCTGCATCATCTGCAACCGCTTTTCTTGCGAGCTTTCGCAAGTCTTCGGGGTACGCTGGATCGTAGGCCGCAAGGCACTGCGTAGTCGCAAACGGGGTTCCTCTTCGGGAAAGGCTAGCTTGGTGTGGGTTATCTTCCACCGCTGCTATGAAACGGGAGAGGAGACCAATGCTCTGTACGGTATTGCTGATTAGTTATTAGTAAGAAAGCGTGGCAATCAACGCGCACCGTATGAGAAGGTGGTACACTCGAATGACCACCCAGAGTTGAAACAGTGATCTTCACATCAAGATATCCCTTCTCGGATGTCGAGGGAGTCGCAAAAACAATGCCACCCGTGTCCGTGTAAAGATCTAACGCAAAGTTGAGTTGTACCACTTTGCAACATTTAGTCCACGAACCTCCTTCGTCAAGAAGCAAGGCAAAAGAATCGCGCCCGTACGTTTCTTCCAAGTATCGAGCAAGATGACCAGCACCCTGAAGCTGCTTATCAATAATGGAGCTCGTATGTAGAGGTTTACTGACCTCTATGCCTTTGGACTCTTCGTCGAATCCATACGAAAGTATAAGGGTGCGTGCAGGAGAGAAACCTTGCTTTAACAAGGAATCGATGGCTAGCAATTGTCGTATCAAGTCGCCTTTGTCATCACAAGTACCACGACCCCATATCCATGTGCCTGTGATGATACAAATGTAAGTAGCACCTCGGGGGTTAAAAATTTGCCTACCGTCATAGTACCCTGAATACGGATCGTGTTTCCACTCTTCAATTGTTTGTTCTTCGACTGGTACAACATCTGGAACGACGTCAATGAATATTCAATAGGACGTTCAGAAGAGAATAACCTTGATGAGCGGTCAAGATGTAAGGCTTCGCAGAAGTCGATCCCTGCCAGTGAAAAATCAGACCATAGGTGTTGACTTTGGTGACATTTAGGGACTTGTAACTAGAAATTAAAAAAATGAGCTAAAGAACGTCAACATAGACTTGAAGAACCCGACGTACATGCGAGGAAACGAGGCTTCAAGAACTCGATGAAGTTCTGCGAATGTATCCCATCGGCTGTCTTCACCGACCGGTCCATTATCGTCGTATGATTCGGTCCTAAGAGCCCGTCCATGTTTCCACAGTGATATGCAACATTAGGACTTACGGTACACGGACTGCATCTCCGAGGGCCTGAATAGCTCTTTGCTTGAAGTCTTCCGAGTTGTACGCCACATCCAAGTCTTCGCTGAGCCCACGATACTTAGTCGGATGTAAAGCCGTCCACTGGGGGCATGTGGTAGAATTAACGCCCGGAGATAGCAACTCAGCAAGCCCATTACAATGACCTGCAAGCCAAAAACGAGGAAGATAGCAGATTGGAAAGAAAGCGGAGTCGCAGAACGTATAGAGCACTAGTGAAATGATTGCCAGGCTGTACATCAGCACTCGAAATGTAAGCAGCGACCTAGACCAGCCACTTTCATGCCAGTGCTTCCTCGGTGTTTTGCCATTGGTGGGACGACATACTACATCCAAATGTGCGGGTGCCATATGCGAGGTATGATGACTCTTGGGAAAGTTTGACGCATTATGCGCGATGAAGTATAGCTCGGTTTACTGACTCAATTCAATACTGCTGACGGTAAATACGTGATCGACGGAACCGAGAGTTTTATTTTGCAAGAACGTGACCTCGGACGCGTCTTGCCTCAGTCTGCCACGCACTACTCAGTACTGCCCTCGGGCCTCAGGCTCGCGTCACCGTACTTTCACTTTTTCCATGTATGCACGCGATGACTCCATCATCTATATCAATAAAGAAAAAAACTCGCTCCCTCGAAGTCATCGTATTTCTTTAAAACGACGGTATTCGACTCTTGCCTAATGCTCTACTAAGCAGGTGATGTACTGCTTGGCGCTGAATCTCAACTCTGATTGCCAGTGCAGATCTATCAGAAAATTAATTAGATTCCTTAGCCTAACTGAGGTCGTATACTAGTACTATGCCGAGCTCTTATACTCACATCATAGCATCCGTTGATAGATGAGAGTCATGGAACCGCGGAGACCCATGAAGGGGATGAACTATAACACGGCAGACATTCCTTGTGAGGCTCATCTATGTATATCGATCCTTACTAATAACTGTCTACTATCTCCTGCTGTCAGTGCTCAGGAAGATAACGGCCGTGTCTCCCCCCTCTCCGGCCAGAAGTTTGACTAGACGCGGCAGAGTCCCTGAAAGCAGGTGTGACACCACCAGAACAGATTGACACCGTTTTCGGTCATCTTCACTGGGACCAGTGAGTACGACACTCTTTGAAGACTATTCCTGATCAACCACACTGCCAGTGGTATCGGAGATCCAGAGCCACTTAAGAATGCTACTTTCATCTTCAGTGAACACGGCAAGGGAATACTCGCGACAGGTTATACTGCGACAGAAGACGCAGATACCAGATTGTCGCATGACATTTCATTGACATTGCAATCACCTTGATGTACGCAGGACACACACGCAGGGGGAACACACCAGCGCGTACATCTACTGGAGGGTCATGAACTCATGGATACTGCTCTGGGGTAATTCTGCAGGAGACTTCAGATCAATCGCAGGAGAAACCGACATCGGACACTATGATACCGATGTCAATGGGTGCTTTAGACGCATCCACGTGAACAAGGAACCGCCCTGGAGAATATTCGGAGAATCAGGGGATTGCTCAGCAATTCGAAGGTCCAGGTGCTGAATGCCCCATGACGTTCCTTTATCAGGGTGGACAGCTTTCTACCCTGGAGTCATTCCCAGAAAGCATGACCTTCAGAAAGAGGATATACCACGGCCGACTTTATTGGTCGCTACCTGATTAGATGGAAGCATCATTCCACTGAAAGAAATTACAATTTCTTTGTCGCAGTTACAAAGGTCATTCGGTGCAACTCAACTGCGCGGTACAGCATTGAAGATACGGCGGAAATCGGGCGGAGACCTCTGAAGTCGATATCCCAGCTCCAAACACTTGCTCAGGAGTGACCAGTCCCCTCCGAAAATCATCGGTTCCCGGATTCGCGTCACTTCAAGGTACGAGCATTGCTCCTTCGAGTCCATGCAATATTCTAAGGAGCCCATCTTCGTTGGTTCCAACAGTCATTCTTTCGCTGACGCCGCGTTTCTTGCCTCCCAGCATTACACCTGCTGCTCGCTCTGTTATCCACCTATGCCGAGTCAGTTCAACACTCTCGTTGGACAAAACTCATCTCCCTTTGCGTAGTCCAAACTCTAACTCATCCAAGCGTCCACTGTTCACACTGTTCGAATCACAAGCACACCGTTGACCCGTCGCCATCACGCTCTAGTCTCCACCGCTCATTCGCCCCTTCAACGTCAACCATGCGAACGCTTCGCGGCCGGAGCCTATGAAGGACCGTCAATCTTTATCTTATATTATCATATCACACACGTAGTCTTCACGTTAAAGAGATATGCAGATGTACTGCGGACACGACAGTAAATGCCTCGCTAAAAGCGGGGGGCCTATACGAGCAAGAACGGTCTTGTGTATCGCGTGTCAATAAAATTGCTCGTACCTTGGTGCAACTCTAGGGAACTGAAGTCTTTCGCACGAGTAAGGGGAGACGGTAGACTTCTTGCCCAGGCATCTGAGTCATGTTCCGAGGGGGTATATAAATGGGGAAGTCATATATGTGAGCATACTGCCACTTCGCCTCCCACCATTAATCAAGTCAGGGCAATCGACTGGGCTGATGCTTCCTCCGCCCAATGCAGACCAGCCTTTTATGTACGTATCGGCGCTTGAGGGAGGACACCTTCGCATCCCCTGCGATTTGGTTGTAGACGACAACTCGCAGGGAGAGTTTGTGTCGTGTCCATCTCTTGCCTTTGCGCTACGACACTCCGAGACCAAGTCATGGGTTGTCTTCGACTTAGGTATACGGCGCGACCTCGAAGGATACACCCCTCTGTCCCAGGAGCGCATCAAGGCCGTGGGGTTCGCCCCTTTTGTGAACCAGACAGTCGCGGAGTCACTGGTTAAGGGAGGTATTTCCCCTGATGAGGTTGAAACTGTCATCATTAGCCACTTACACTGGGATCAGTGAGTGTTAGGGACAGCTGACAGATCCAAAAAAAATTGACTGTTCGGTATTAGCATCGGGGACCACGAGCCATTCACCAGAGCTACATTTGTTGTGGGAGAGGGATGCAGGGAGCTCCTGGCTTCAGGATATCCCATGAACCCGGACTCCTTCTTCTCTTCGACCGCTCTTCCGCATGAGCGCACTAAATTTCTTCCTCTATCCGACTTCAGTCTCCCGATCGGCCCATTTCCGCTTGCATTGGATTTTTTCGGCGATGGCAGCATGTATGTGATTGACGCGCCAGGTTTGTGGTATGGGAACCCTTAGAATGTATGACCTGACAAGTCAGCATTATAGGGCACGTCAGAGGACACATAAACATACTTGCGCGCACCAGCTCAGATGGCGCATGGATTCTCCTTGGAGGAGATTCTGCTCACGACTACAGATTGATTACGGGCGAGAAAGATGTCGCACATCGCATTGATTCGTCAGGTTGCGTCAGGTGCATGCATGAAGATAAAGATAAAGCTGTGGAGAATATCGCAAGGATCCGGTCGCTGTTGGAAATTCCGAGAGTGCAGGTGTTGATTGCTCACGATTCGAAGTGGTATGAGGAGAACAAGGGGTCTGCCTTCTTGCCTGGTAACATATTGCCATTGGCTGCATGAATATCAGTGATCAGTTCATTTGAAATGGTCCTCTTCGCGGGAGAAGTACGAGGTCGCTCTGAATGATAGAGTGGAGTCCCAGAGAAAGAAAGATGTCAGTCAGGACAACATGCTACAATCATATCGCCTACATTGTACAAGCCTAGCTAAAGCCGGATTACTGGTTATGGCCAATTTATAAATTCCCACGAAGCAGGTCAAGTTCTACTTCGATGTTCCTTGCAGAAGGAGGAATGGCCTCGTGTCTCGCATTTTTACTAGCATAGGCCTCCAACGCCACCGCGTACGTACGGTCTTGACGTGTTTTCTATTCCACTTGCGCCATCATGGATAGTTCGTCGGTCCTGAGCGACGAGGACTATGATCTCATCTCTAACCCTGGCCAGCGCTCCTTGGAGTCCAGCATTGCCGACTTGCATCATATTCCAGCCTTGAATACTTATGAGATTCCCCCGTCTGATGCAGCCAGGGAACGACTCAGCGCGGTGGCGCTGAGTCCCGGGGATATACAAGCATATGTGCAGAATGCACTTAACGCGTCTAGTGCAGGAAAGTACCCACGGGACAATGTCACTCTTAGAGTGTATGTTGACGGCGTTTTCGATGTGTTAACTATTGGGCGAGTACACCACTAGTAACTGCTGCATGATCACTAAAGTTCATCTAGGCACGTACATCAGCTCCGTCAAGCGAAGCTCTCGTTCCCTTCCGTACATCTTATCGTTGGAGTGCTTTCGGATGAGCAATGTCGAGCTCACAATACTACACCTCATTTCTCACATCTTGAGCGTTGCGAGCTTATGCGGCACTGTCGCTGGGTAGACGAAGTGCTACATGACGCACCTTGGACAGTGAACGATCGCTTTATTATCGACAAGCGTATCGATTATCTTGCGTTGGAGGAAGGCTCTTCTGTTAACCCTGAATTTGATAAGGAACGACTGAAGGGATACGACGTAGCGAAGAGACTAGGTATGATCCATCCCTTCTCGCAAAAGTTGCACATACTGAAGAAAGACCCAGGACGAGTATCACCCACCCGAATGACTACCGGACTAACTGCTGCTCCGCTTTTGGTTTCTTATAATGCATCAGAAGACACCACACCATTCCGAGAACTTGCCGAAATGGTGTTAGAACAACCTGGTCGCAGTACATTTACGCACCCACCTCCGACAACTTCTACTACCACGTCCGCCGACAGCAAGACTCATGACCTCGAGGCCCTTGGGGCGATGGAGGCCCTAGAAGCCATGTCGAACGAGCTGGCAGAGAGGTGCGCTCGGAAGCAGAGGCAGCCAGCCAGAGGGTAGATACCGGGGAAATTGATGCGCGCTGTTAATACACAGTAATTATGTACGATGGGCTTTTATCAACCTGTGCTGTGTTGCTACTTACGCTATTTAGCCGTTCTTGCTTTGTCATATTGGTTCTTTATGTCTAACTTTCTGGACGTACATATTGACCTGTCATGGAATTTGTTTTGTTTTTGGCACTACTTAGCCTGAGCGTTCTCACTTCGTGCCTATACCTACACCTTACACCCATGCATCGGAACTCACAGGGCACCGTTTCTTAAAACGCATGCTACTTATCATAGATCATGCATATGTTCGATTTGAATTGTGTCATCCAGGCATACCACAGGTATCGTTGTTTCCATCTCACAGCCAGTACTACGTGTGGATTGACTGCTTGCATAAGATAAGTTGCAGGCATACCACTGGTTCAACTCGAGTGATTACCTGGACCTGCACTTGACAAGGATTCCACGACTCAGATCATATATAGCAAGGGTGGACGTCGGACGACCGTTTTAAATTTTAAAACTCGGGCAAACCGGCACGTGATGTTGTTACTTCCAAATAGGGGCGACTTATTTTGAAGTTGACCGGGAGAGCACCTATTTTGGAAATTGACCGGTGACTCCTAACCGCGGTTCGGCGGACACCCTTGCCATAACCAAATTTCCCGTACCGTACCAAGGTTAACGTTGAAGAGGACCTCCACAGTCACCAAGCCAATAAGGCTCGCAATGGAAACCACCGCAATCACACACCCAGTCAATCAAGGGAACGTCTCCCTTTCTCTAACTCATTATTTTTCCAGGTATTCATCATATAAAGATCCCCTTGGCTTGTCGTCATCGGCGTCGTTGAGGATCAGCCCACCTTACCACAAGCTTTCCGATTTGCGGACGAGGAACACTTATTTATTCATGCAGCTCCATGACCAATCATTCCGCCCTTATGACCTCCCAGACTTCGACGCTGGTATGGATTGTGGAGATTCATCAATTCACCCGCTGTATCCGCCGTGCTCACACTGTCCACAAGGGTCGATGAATCAATGCAAAGAAGCAGCATGCCCCATACTAGAGATGACCTCGCAGTGCACTGACCAGTGTGTCGTCGTCGCCTGTAACGATCCTACCCACCCCGAGCCCAGTTGCCATGTGGCTAATGACGACGTAGTCTGCGATGGCGCATGTGTCCCTGATGAGGACTGTGGCAATTGTTCTGGTCTTGAAGAATTGGTACGCCATATTGTGTGTCTGCACGCACTTTCTGATTCCTCGCATTTTAAGCTGCAATGTTGCACTGACTATCATTCTTATCTGTCTCAGCCAAAGACCCTTGACCCAAGCCTCACACAGTTCAACTGGAACCCGCAGTCTGCAAATGATTTGTGTGGATGCGACGAGAGCGACTACAGCGAACAACATGTGTCCCAATTCTTGTCAGAACGCAGTGACATAGCACAGCCTTTGGGTGTCGCATCTCCCGAATGCCCAGTATCATCTACTAGCTCAGCGTTTTCTTCACCCCACATTTCCCAGGCGGCGACTCCATTCACACCCGTTGGCCTGCCGCAACACCTGCCACAGTTCTCACCACATGTGTTTCCTTGTTTGTGGGCAGACTGCAAGATGATATTCCCGTCCCTTATGGAGCTAGTCGGGCATGTGAACTTGGACCATCTCCGCCCCCCCAATTTAACGAAGGGATCAGCCCTTCAACAGGTATGCTCAGACGCTTCCCAGAATCAACAATTCGACCCCAATGCTTTGTCGTGCCACTGGGGAGACTGTGCTATGCTACCATGTACAGAATCAATTTCAAGCTCGTCGACAACTGGGTTTACGGATACTGTCCTTGACGTTCTTACCACGCATTTGATGCAAGATCATCTTGGTATCAATTACCCCATCCGGGCCATCCCACAATCGACGATGGTGCGCACTGCACCACCACCGAAAACACCACCAACTCGCACAGAAATTATTTCCTGTGATGAGTCACCCACAGACGCCCCGCCTTATCCTTCACCTCGGGACAAGTCTTATTCGCCAGACTCCTCGTCCACAGACGCCATCAAACCTTGTAAATGGAGCGGATGCACGCAGACATTCTCTTCTCCTGATGACCTTACCAACCACATCCTCTTTGCCCACATCGGCAGCGGTAAAGCGCACTACGTCTGTTGCTGGGAGGGTTGCTCTCGGAATGGCACGCAAGGATTTTCAAGTAAACAAAAAGTGGCGCGGCACATGCAGTCACACACAGGACATAAACCATTTAAGTGTAAAATATGCAATGCACATTTCTCGGAAACAGCTACATTGCAGCAACATATGCGGAGGCATACCCAAGAGAGTGTGTACTTTTCCGTTTTCTGTCGTTTCGTGTTCGACAATAAGCTCATTGGGCGCTGTAGAACCATACGTCTGCGATTTTCCCGGGTGCGGCAAGGCGTTCGCTATCACGGGTGCACTAACGATCCACAAGCGGACGCACAATGGCTTCAAGCCGTTCAAGTGCAAATATTGCGAGAAGTATGAGTTTCTTCTTTTTGATGTTGGAGTGCTGATTTATTGTCTTTCTTCAGGGCCTTCGCTGAGTCGTCGAATCTGTCAAAACACGTAGGCTTTTTTGTGGTTATTGTAGGTCTAGTTTCTGAATTAAACCATGTTTCTAGTTACGAACACACACGGGTGCACGCCCTTACCCCTGTCCTCAGGGTGGGTGTGAGAAGTCTTTCGCGAGGCCGGACCAACTTGCGAGACACATGAGTGTACATAGAAAGAAGGGCTTAATAGGACTGGGAATTGAATGAACACTTCAGGATAAAATGTATTTAATCACTATGTGAGACGATAGGTTTTCGCAGTGACTCACCTGTGGTGCTATCAATCACGCGAAGGCCTCCCAAGCACTCGTATACCTACCTGCAGGAGCTCATTTCACTCTGCGGGCAGTGGTGATGTAAATAAGGACTTGAAGACAGTGGGGATGAGTGCCCCAGTGAATGGCTTGGCACCTCCTCCATATAACCGTTTTTTTTGCAGTGCTGTCGCTTGTGCAGCAGAACAACATACCGTGTAAGTAGTCTTTCACTATTGCTCCCAGTTAAAGTACACGGAGGCCGCGGAACCTCCCAGTGATGAGTACATACAGTTTGTATGATAGGGATGAGGACCACATGAGTCTAGATCCATTCCTCGGAGAGGATGGCTGTAATAATTAGAAACAATGCATAGTTCTAAAGATGAAAGTTCATACATCGCGACTAGCTGCCCTCCTGTCTCTCCTCTACCAAATGTGGGTCGAAACGATGTGGCTTCAACCACCCCTAGCGCATCTTCCGAAGAAGATTGTTTTCATCCATCGAGTAAGTGTGAAGATGGCTGGGTATGTGTGTTGAGAGGGTCTTGATGCAAACGGAACGAGGAGCGTGGTGGATGGCAAGACGGATACCCGCGGAACGTTTGCAGTGATGATTATTTATATGAATGGTAAACGTGCGTTTGGAAGCACCCAATGATTATTGATTGGCTGGACTCCCAATACTTCATGCTGGAACGTTATTGATGGCCATGAAACAGGTTAATCAAGCAAAAGGCCATCAGGAAACCTCGCCGTTGTTCGGTGCAAATACTGGGTCAACCGGTCAGCGGTGCCCAACAAGTTGTACAGTACTTACTAAAGTTGATTCAACGTTCATTCAATATTGCTTGTGTGGACGGGCGAGCCCGCCTTTTATTTATACATGTTTGACATGTCGGACACCGACGTCATCAAGGAGGATACATGATCTCGGTCATTATGAAGTAACCCATTTCTTTCCTCGCGCTTCGAATTCTTTAATACTATCACTGAGCTAGTGCCTCTACCACAACTTTCACGCCCCATGCCCCAGGATCAGTAACCCGCTCAGCCTTTAGTTTTATGCTATCGACATATGCGCTCCTGCCAGCCTTTGCCTCCATGTCTTTCGTCCCTTCAGCAGCTTCTCTAGCGGCCTCCACGGCTGCCGCAAGGCCGGACGACAGCGTACCGATGAACGCAGCGAGAGGGTCGACCAGTGTACGAGAAGGAGGACGTGCCCGGGTGTAAGTATACAAACGACCTAGAGCAGCTTCTAGCGCTGTGCGCCATACTTCTTGTGTGGCGGTCGAGGAGGAGCTTTTCGCAAGCGCTTGGGCGAGGGCAGAGAAGAAAATTCTGACGCATGAGGATTATGAGATATGAATCAGACCAAAAGGGGACTTCACTGACGAATAGAGGGCTCCGCTAGTTCCTCCCATCGCGTCCTCTGCGATATGAGAGATTGTGATGACGCTGCCAAGTACATCATTGCCGGAGATGCTGCCTTTGCTCAAAGCCTCAAGCACAGCTGCATGTATATAATGAGCATGCACACATGTCATGATCATAATGTGAAGTACCTGTAGCACCACCTTTGAGCGTAAGTCCACAGTCCCCATCACCAGCGATGCTGTCCATGTATGTAATCTCAGGCTCAGCAGTAATGAGGGCCCGGCATGCACGTTCTACGGCACTGTTGAATTGATTGATATTGGGGGCTTTGAGTGAGGCTGACCAAGCCTTCGCGTGGGTTACAGTCGGGAGGGACGAAAAGACAGATGGTGGCTTTGGGACAGACCTAGAGGACCACTTCCATCCTGGGGTGTTGGTACTGTCGTCGAGTAAGGAAAGGATGAGATCGACGGATGGAGTTCCCGTGTCGTTTGCGGCGGGGAGAAGGAGCACAGTAATTGAAAATCCAGGCATGTTGAGACTTGTCTAGTAAGGGTTATCATCAATTCTAGCAAATCTAAAGGGGTCCAACAAACCATGAAAGAGCCAGAAAGTATGCGCATGATTTTAATTCCAGATTTGTCTAGAGCACGCCTTGCTTCGGCGACTACTCCGCCGAGCTCAAGTTCACTGAGACCTCCAAGGTTATTGACGAGAAGAACAACACGGTCTGTGCTGTCGTTCTTGAAGGGAATGAAAGACCGCTCTTTGTCTGTCGTGGAAGTGATCATTTCGAGGAGAGTGGGGATGAGTTCATTGAGAGGTGGCACAGGAGAGATGCGGCGGTGACCACTTTCGTTGTGAATTCCGAGGCCGATTTCGAGCTCATTTGCACCTAAATGTGTATCGGGAACAGCGGTGCCAGGAACCTGCGTGAAGCGATAGAATATCGTGAATATAACGATGCCCTCGATACCCGAACGTTGACTCATACATGACAGTGGTCCAGACCAACACCTATAGTGCCGAGCCTGGAGGAAACGTACTGGGCGACATCGTAGACCTCATCTACAGAGGCACCAGTTTGGGCGAGGGCGCCCGCAATTTTGTAGACGAGACAAACACCCGCGAGACCACTGTAAGATGTTCAAGTGATGTAGTGGAATTTCGAGAGATATCCATACCGTCTTCCGACAATACTACCCTGGGTTTTTCCTACGGCAACGTCATCTCCTACGATGACGAACTTGACACGGTCAGCTTTGTTGGGGTAACGGGCCGCATATTCTTCTTTGGCTAGACCAAAATTGAGAACATCGCCGGTGTAATTCCTACATACAGAATTCGTAAGTGAATCTCATCTACAAGAGTCGTCCCGATGAGTCGGACTCGCACTTGACTACGATGATAGTGCTAAACGCAGTCACTGTTAGCAAATGAGATTACAGCTATAGCAATAAAATCACCCTTTTTCGTTATCAATCAGATCTATTGCACGGCGAACCTGACCAGCACTTGGAGAGGCAAAGACATTTCCACACACAGCAGCTTCGTGGATGTTGGTAAGGTCACGACCGCATGAAGGATATAACGATTCTGCTAACCAGTCAAAGCCCCCTGGCCTGCATTCAAGTCAGCGTGTACTGGAATATAATGCGGTGGCTTATTTACCTACGAAACCTGAGTGGGATGGCTCATGGCCAGAACCACCTCCACAGAGCAGGGCGACTTTGGAGCGGTCCTGATCAGCGAGGTACACGACTACATATCTTTTCAGTAAAAGATCCTGAACATTAGGAGTCTGCAACTTTACCTCTATGAATCGGATCAAGAGCTAGATGTGTATTGATTGTACACAGTCCTTCTAAGGAATCGAGCACGAGAGAGGGTGCTGTGTTCAGGAAATGCTTGCCTATGTCCGAAGTTGGTGAGCAGTTATTACATTGATAAGGCCTTACTTTGTACGACCATGATGACTGCGGGGTGGGAAGAAAGGAGTTTACATGTATTGGAAATCTACCCCGAAGCGAGGTACAAGTTAGGAATGAAGACTTCGTTGTAGCGGCTGTGCAGCACGTGGCTTCTCTTCTCCACCTACCACACACTGGCGCCGCTAGTATCAAGCTCCAGCGCCACTGCCTGCGGCTTGCCACCTTTCGGATTTTCTTTTCTGCTATAAACTCCGGTGAGCTCTGATGGCTCAGATCCTTGTATGCATCTGCATGTAATGAAGACAAGTCCGGCGGGGAACCCGGCCATGAGTAGAGAGCACTCGAAAGTGCTATAGTGCTGGTCTCTCAAGCTTACTGTCACGGTAGGAAGTTCCACCTAGCCCATCTAACATATGTAAGGACGGAACAGTTGATCCCGCGGAAGCAATTCGCGTGCCACTCGCGCCACCTGAGCTTCACTGTTTACTCTCTTTCTGTAGTATACCTTTTTTGAGCTCCGTAACGGCCATACACAACACAATACCGTAGATAGAGATACACCAGGTGATACTCTTCGTCCTCTGGCTTGCGCGGGAGACGGACTCGGACTACCATCCTCGACTTTAACGGGATGGCGAGCTTTGCGCTTGCGAGACTTAGGAGGTGCCATCCCGTCGAGTGCAGAAGAAAGTGGCTCCAAATTGGTGCTCCCACTAGATCCCGTCTGTAACTGTCCTTGGGAGAATGCCGCGTTGGGGTATTACGCGTTGGGCAGACCAGCATGATATCCATGCTGGGACCATGTATGGCCTTGCAGCGATGCTTGAACGACCGCAGGGGCCTGCGAAGGGTACGCACTGGGCGAACACGTTGCCCGGGATTGCAGGTACCGACTGTAGTGGGGACCTGGATTATCGGAACCATGGGCATGGTAAGCAGCATCATATCCATTTGGGAATCATAAGTGGCCTTGCAGTGGTTCTCGAGGGACGGCAGAATGCTCGATTTCAACCAATCTGCCAAAGGCCGTCAGTTTGAGTTGATGTTTTGAACGAGGTAGAACTAGTACACACAATTCCGATCCAGAGAGCACGGCAGAAGTGACTTCTTCAGATGACAGAATGAGACCACACGATTCATCCAGATAGGGGATTTCTAGAAGGCCCTGGGAGTCACGTCAGCGTACAGCTGGAGGTCGTCTAACATATAGGTAGGCCTATTAAGAAAATCATGAGATGAACTGCATCGTCCGACTTAAGGTTGAACACTAACATATCGAACAACGCCAGAAGATCATCATCATCATCATCATCATCATCGAGACTGAATACGAAAGGCATTATTAGCATATAAGATGCCGAGCGCAGGTACCTGTCCAAGGATCTCATACGTAGTAATAATTCCTTCAGTCAGATATTCCTTGCATAGTCACCCTGTCGGATGATGCCTTGTTAGATCTAATCTCAACATTGGCTAACGTCATGTAGTCAGAGACCATGTACGCATCTGGGGGCCATGCAAGGTCAGAGAGGAACAAGCCCCTTTGTCACGCCATATGTGGTTGCAGGTCGCAGAATGTTGAACTCGTCGGCTGGTCCCGATCTATGAATTGATTTACATCGTGTTTTGGAATCGAGATCGTCGGATGAACTGGTTCAAATTCTGGCCATAGAGGCACAGATCGGCAAAAATTGACATGCTCCTGGTTCCTTTTTAGCGCTTTCTCGATAGCAAACTCAAAAGTTTTTTAGCGTACCATGATGCTGCTGTAAGCTGCACGTACGGATACACATGTTTTCCTGAAGCGAATATATAAAAAATGCACCTGCTTTTGCGGCTGAGCGGCTCACGCGCCGTGTGATCTGGAAACGGAGATGAATTCTTGATGTACCGGACATAAGTATGTATAAGTCTGTGACCCGAATATGCAAGAGTCTAGTCTAAAACGCGATGCCTATAAATTAGTGCCCGTAGACCATACGTCAAGAACTGAATTGAAATTACCTACAAAGTCTGAGCCATGGCCAGGGTGCTACTTATGACATAGGAATTGGGTCGCATCGAAGATCACTAGAAGCGTGATCGAGGTAATATGACTCGAGGCCATTAAATACAAGGCTGTGGCAGTCACGAAGTCCCCGTTGATGGCCATTGGCAGGCTTGCGGGATGTCGATCCGTATCCCCCGTGGGAAAAAAGAGTTACATACGCGTTCTTGTTTGTCGAGGAGGTTTCTCATTTAAATGTCATGAGTTTACCATCACCTGCAGCATCACCTTCCTTGAAACCAACAGAATTGATTTCCGCAAGTCGAAAGAGACAGCGGTCCCAATCTATGCAATCAGATTCTTCATCTTCTATAAAGCGCTCTGCTTCAGAAGGCCCTTCATCAGCTACACCTATCCCTATCATGACAGATCCTATATCTTCGGTTGATTCTGCAAGAGAGCAAGATATTGAAATTGACGCTTACATGGCAGAACAGGGTGAAGATATCTCAACTCAACCAGCTTCTCTCACCATCGAGCAGAAAGTGGCGCGCATCAAATACCTACGTGACAAGTCTATGGTCGCTGGCGACACTTGGTATATCGTATCTCGTCAATGGTTCAGACCTTGGGAGATCGCTTGCGGAATCTTGTCAGACAAGTCACTCGAGTCATTGCAAGAAAAGGATATCGGTCCACCAGACAACTCCTCTCTATTTGACTCTCAGGGAAATCTTACCTCAAATCTAGTCGAACACATTGACGTCGAGTTCTTACCTGAAGAAGCTTGGTCTGAGCTTGTGGCTTGGTGCGTCTCACTTCTCCACTTTGATTCACTTCTTCATATCCCTTCAGGTATGGTCAGCCGATACGTCCGCTCCCGCGATCTGTCATCGCCAAAGCCTTCTTGCAGACCGCCTTGGAACTTCGCCCTCCGCGTCTCAAGGTCTTAGTGCTCAAAGATTTGGGTCCCGATGCTGATATCGCAGGACCTGCGCATGCCTACGTTACTGTCTCTATCAAAGACCCAATGAAGACCCTTTTTAAGGCGCTCGTCTCTGCCGTCACCGCTCTCAGCAACGTTCCTTACAGAATCTGGAAGATTGAACCCGGCGAATTCTCTGGTTCTCACTTTCCCGCATCGAAACTCGCATCGTGGGGAGCAGAATTAGTGAGTGAAGGGACAGACAAGACAGTCGAGGACAACATGATAGAACCGGAAGATCCGTTCGTGGTCGAATTTCAAGAGAATGGCGCTTGGATCGTTGATGCTTCTCAAGTTGTGCGAGCACCTCCACCTTCTGCAGTACACGTACCGCCACCCCATTATAGCAATGACAACGATTTCTTCAGCCGTCTGAGTAATCAACGAACATCAGCATTTCAAAACAGTCAACATTTTCGCACTCCGTCGCCATCACGGCGAGGCTCTTCATCCAAAGCGAAGGAGTCATCAGTTACTCCCTTCAAATCATTCGGATTTTCCAAGGGCAGCAGTAAGATTATCCAAGAACCTGGCACCCTCGGCCTGGGAAACATGTACGCCTCGTTGTCAAATAGTAGTCGATCCACTGACATAAGTGTAGGGGAAATACTTGCTTCATGAACTCAGCGCTTCAATGCCTTGCGCATACAAAAGAGTTGACGGACTACTTTCTTTGTGAGTATTTCCCTCGAATGGTTTTTATTGATGCTAACATCGTATCATAGCTGGCGTCTATCAGGAGGAACTCAATCCCGACAACCCGCTTGGTATGCACGGTGCCATCGCAGAGGCGTTCGGACTCCTCCTGCATCGTATCTGGGCACGGGATTCAACGAGCACTTCGTACTCGCCGCGCGAGTTCAAGTCTCAGCTACAGAGATTTGCCCCTCAATTCAGCGGATACCAGCAGCACGACTCACAAGAGCTGGTTGCGTTCCTACTAGATGGACTACACGAGGACCTAAATCGTGTCCTCAAAAAGCCCTATGTCGAGAAGCCGGATTGGGAAGGAGGCGGTGATCTCGAACTCGCTAAATTAGCTCAAACGTCTTGGGACGGATATATGAAGCGCAACGATAGCGTTATTGTCGACCTCTTTCAAGGCCAATACCAGAGCACTCTGGTGTGCCCTGAGTGCGAGAAGGTACGTATTGTGCGAACTTTTACTATCCTCTGCTGAGTATTGTTCTTACAGGTTTCTATCACTTTCGATCCATTCATGTATCTCACGCTTCCTCTCCCCGTGAACAAAAAATGGTGGCATGTTATCCATTATGTTCCGTGGGACCCGTCTATTCTTCATAAGAAGGTAAGATATCGGTCGCGTTCTTTATTTGTTTCGCTAAATACAATGTACCAAAAGGTCCCCGTCGAGATAAGTCGCGATAGTTCGTTCAGAGATCTGAAGAATCTGCTTGGCCGATGGATGGGAGTTAAGCCCAAAAAAGTCAGTACATACTCGCACACTATCGAGGTTCTCTGCTGATCACTTGAGCTCCAGTTGCTAACCATCGAGGTGTTTAATCACCGTTTCTACAAGAATCTCGATGACAGTATCCTGTGCGGCGATATGGCCGATAATGACCAGATTTTCTGTTTCGAACTGCCCTGTAATTCGCGCCAGAGTCGCTCATACAAGCCAAAGGACAATGATCCTTTCATTGTTCCTGTGATTTTGACGGATGTGGTCCCTCCTCGTCCTGCCTACTCCCATTACTCCCGTCTTACAAACAACTTTGGTTTTCCATTCATCGTGGTGATCGAAAGAGACCAAGCAGTATCTGTGAATGATATGTATGATGCTGTCATCGAACGCCTGCAACGATGGACGGTCCGCGATAGGGACTTGTATACCTGGCAAACCGATCCTTCTCCCAGTGGTGCTGTCACGATCCCTATCTCAACAGTCTCGCCCATCGACTCCGTCGCAGAGATCAAAGAGAATGGGGATGTTAACGAAGTTGACGGGATGATCATTGAAGGCGACATCGCAGATGAGAAAATTTTCGGCGAGGATGATTCTGGGACGGAACCTGGCGCATATGTCGTTGGCACGAAACAAGGTGTCTTCACCTTGCGCCTTTACACTGGCTACAAGGATTATGTCGCAGGTGGCAATGGCTCCAGTAACGGCCGATCCGAGCAGTGGGAAACCCGTACTGAAGACACCGAATCGGGAGCTCCATTACTGAAGGAGGGTGACGCTTTCCTTTGCGAGTTCGATGAGAACATGAAGGCATACTACTTCGGCGCCTCTCAGTTCGAGAACTCGCTGTGGGATGCATGGGTGCCTTTCCTGCATCTCGAGTACTTGGAAGCCAAGGAGGTGGCTGCAGCACAGAAGTCGAAGGGGATAACACTTGATGATTGTTTGACGGAGTTCACGAAGGAGGAGCAGTTGGGTGAAGATGACTTGTGGTACTGCCCGCGTTGCAAGAAACACCAGCAGGCTACAAAGAAATTTGACCTTTGGAAGGTTCCGGACATCCTCGCTGTGCACCTGAAGCGTTTCAGTAACAGTCGCACACTTCGCGATAAGATCGACACTTTTGTCGACTTTCCTATCGAGGGTCTCGACCTTACTGGTCTTGTTGGTGAACGACGAGCGGGGACTAGGCTCGCACAGAGTGGAGCCAACATCAACGAACTTGGCATCAGAGATGTTGAGGAGCCTCTCATTTATGATCTCTATGCCGTCGATGAGCACCTGGGGGGACTTGGTGGTGGGCACTATCGCGCGTATGCCCTCAACCATGCGACAGAGCAGTGGTATCACTTCGATGATTCGTATGTCACGCGGTCTGATGCCAGTCATGCAGTGGCAAGTTGAATTTCTGTCCTTTTTTTTCCCACCAATTAATAATCTTCAAAGAATTCCAATGCCTACCTGTTGTTCTATAGGCGTAGAAGCAACGCCCCGTTGGGGGGCAAGACCAACGAGAAGATAGAGGAAGCTGGTCGCAAGGCTGCCACCGAAGCAGAGGAAGAAAATGCTGTAGAACCAGAGGCGCAGCTTCCGACACCACCCAGTGAAAGCGACGCAACTCCTTTTCCCTTTCCCTCCACACAGCCTAGCAATGCTGGATACCTCACACCGCAATCCAACACAAGGTCGACTCCTACATCATCGCCACCTCCCCTTGATGATGGCGATCCGACAATGTTGGAGGCGCAGAGCGATGATCTGATTGCTGAGGATGGTCTTACTCTTGGTCCTCTCGAACTTGCGTCTCATCAATTTGATTTCCCTAACCCGTCAGGGGGGGCCTCTCCGACGTCCTCAGTCGAGGTGGAACCTGACTACGATGACGACCCCTCGCGCACTTCGTTATTCCGCGCGCATGCAAATATTGACTCTTGGGTTGGTAGTAGTCAGAATGGTCTACCCTCACCAGCAGTTTCCGATCCTGACACGAACCCGTTTTCCGACATGAATTCGCAGAAGAAGAGTGCCGATGATAGCATGGACGTTTGACGAAATACCACGATTAGTTAGAGCTACAAGTTGTAATTTACCTGCATAATCCCGTATCTTAATTAGTTACTACTTTTCTTGCACCGTGGGGTAGCAGTTTATAAGGGCGTGGGTGATACCCGCTTCAAGTTCACAATAAGCGACCTTCCCCTTTCCACCATAACCAACCAAGGTTCGCTACATGAGCAGGCTTCATCCAGCGTTGCTCTATCTGACGATATATAACCCGACTTTACATCCCAGTGAAGAGGTATCCAAAGACGACGAGGATGCAGAAGAGCAAGCACAGATCCTTTTCTACAGTTCACAGGAACGCGCTACTTCGCGTGACAAGATGCTAAGGCAGGTTGGACTTGCCAAGGCGCTCGTCAATTTCTCTGAGTAGGAGCCCCAGGTTTTGCCCCTTGTGCAAGATACTCATCGTTTAATAGAATATTCCATCCGACTGACTCTTGCCACAATGTACATTCTCAATCGAGAAGGATGATAATGCTCAATCCCGAACCTGACTTCTGGATTCACGCAGTACGCCGACTCTCGATCTGTTGATGCGCTCTCATGCTAGTTTTTACCAGGCGGTAGAACTTGCAAAGACACCACGGACGCTTCTGCCCAAACCGAAGGATAAGGGCAAGGGTAACGGAAAGGGAAAGGGAAAAGAGAAAGAGAAAGCAAGCACTCTGCAACCCTCTTATGACTATCACGAAGGCTCGTTTCACGATTACGCACTTCGCGCGCACCTGCTCCGGGGATACGAGCAATTCAAACTTACGCATGGGTCCTTCACCTCGATATTGAATTCCTTCGGCCAGGAAGCATTAGAGTTGCAGCTAGAAAGATTCTTCACTGTATGGGCGTGGTCATGGGATTTAAGCAAGAGTTTTGAGTTGAACGAAGACCTTGGTGCGTTATGTGTCTGGGCATCGCGTATCGTCGCTAACTTGCCGATTCGACTTAGGCTTGTCGCTTCACCCGTTATACCCCGCTATTCTACCTCTACTGGATACCTTTTCATCGCAGTTACCAGCTGGACTGGATGCGTTGTTTCTTTCTCCTCCTCACGTAGTTCCGTCTACAGGATACAGACAATCTAATTATCCACCTGCACTCTCGCGACACCTTCTCTCTCTAATTCCACGCCATTTACCACATCATGAAGCGGATGATGGCACGGAAGCCTTTTCACCCACTGAAAAGGGAGCGACCGCAAACACGGCAGCCAAAGAAGTCGGCTCTGGCGGTAATCCCTCCAGTGGGTTCTTGGGCATGCCTTCTAGTCTCGCCATGAGCATGGATGTTCGGAACTGGAGTTGGCCCGGGGCGTTGACGTTTGGGAAGGGAGCTGAACCAAAATCGCCAGTGACAGAACGAGAAGGAATGAAACCTAATCCCTCCGTGGCCGAAAGTGTGAGCACTGTAGTGGAAGTTGACAGGGGCGCTTTGGGGGATGCGATGTCCTCTACTGATATACATTGCCTACTGGAGAAGGCAAATGATGGATTATCTGTCACAGATCCTGATACTGCACGTGAAGGGTGTTCGGAGATGGACCACAGCAGAGACACTCCACGACCTTCTCGAGTCCCATCACCGCTTCCTGCAGATAGCTCATCTACGTCCCCTCCTGAACCCGAAAAACCCGATCGTCACCGTCAATTGGACTTCGCTTGTACTTTTGTGTTTCTACCTGAAAGTGGTGACCCGTTGGAAACTCGCCGAAGGCAAGTTATACATCTAAGAGTAAGCCCAGACTCATACTCATTCTTCCTTGCATTCACATTACCTTGCTAGTGTCAAAGCTTGGCCGTGGCTCTCATAGCGGATGCTGATAACGTAGAAGACTATGACACACATGTTATATCTGAAGCTACATCTCAAATGTTACATGACATCGAGAACCTGATTGCTGCAGAAGCGACGCGGTACGTATAAGTACTTAAAGTAGAAGAGCAAAACTCACATGGGTACGCGCAGGGCTTCTGAGATCTTACCTTCGGCGACGAAGATTTTGCAGCCCAGAGATAACTATCTCATTAGTTTTGACCACTTTACGGCAGCCAGTCCTGACTTCGTTGCGAAGTCGGATTACCTACACAACGGAAAGCAGCTATTGGAGCAGTACGTGTTATGCCTTTTCTATTCCAGTATAATTTTGACGGGCCTTGCAATAGGGGATTGCACATCACCGAAGTTTTCTCTCGAGGTCAACAACCACAGCACTGGCATGTTTCGAAAAGAGACAACACCGGCGGGGAAGAAAAGGAGGTTTTCCTCGAAGTTGCTCGGAAGGAGACGAGCTTATCTGATGTCGATAATATCCTCCAAAGGCTTCAGTCATACTCATTCTAGCTTGCGTTAAGGATCTTCTCCGACCTGTGACGCAGGCGCCTCCCTCAGGCTAGCAGACATTGTTTTGAGTATCATTTATCCGATCGACGATTCGTGGTCAAGTTACGGATACCTATAGCCTAGCCATAGTAATTATATCATGAAACCCGTTAATCACGTCCATTCTGTCAACTTTCTCGCAATCAAGCTCGTATTTCGGAACCTAGGTGCCCTTGGTTAAGGTTGATTTCCAAACATGTGACTGACGCGTCCGGGCCAAGCGCCGCAGCTGACTTAAATCAACCGTGACCATTGAGACCATGATCATTATACTTCTGCACGCGTCACTGTCACCAGCTGTCTCGCTGTCTTTTTCTTCGTCGTGTTCGACGCTACCCGTCGGACACTTTACGACACGGACGACCACCTCTCTGTTGGCGCCGGAGATTCGAAGTTCTACCTCTCGACAGCTATTCTGGTTCTTGCCCTCCCACACAACCGCGAAGAAATTAGTCCCTCAGGGAAACTTCTCACTCCCTAGCCGCCGACCATCCGATGAGTTCTTTAGGGTGCGTTACGTTGATTGTGGGGCCTTTACGTCGTAATGGATGAATTTATATTGCTTTTAGCGACGAAATAAAGGTCATGCTCTGCATGTAATGTAAAACAATATAACTCACCAGTCCTCCGACTCGGATGCCCCCCCCCCCGCCGCTGCCGCCCTTTTCGCTGGCGACAATATCGCTGACATCTACACGCTCGCTCCATCAAGAATCCAGAGGCACAAGCACTTTTCCATAGGCTCGGGCACAACGTTTGTAGTCGACAATGATGACCATCTCAAGGGCTTCGATGCCTTCGCAACCCCCGACCTTCCCCTCCTTGCAACCCCCAACTCATCGTCGACAATATCAATAGTGCCCTTTTCATCAGTACTAATCTACCGCCCTACCGCCTAGTCCTCTGGATATGGTGCGCATCTCCAATAGGCGCAAACAACAGGTATAACATGATCACCAAATTTATCACAACGCTCATCTTAGTTTTTTCGCATTATGATCGTTTGCTTGCCGCACGTGCACGGACTTACATCGGCGAGCAACTTCTCATGATGTGCACAACACTTACTGATTCTAGACAGGCCATCTCGAGCGATTCCGTGAGGAGATCCTCGCCGACTAAGCGGCTCTTGTCGATAGCTGGGCCGACGCCATGACCGAGCTCGGCTTTACATCCACGCTGGCGCCCCCAACTAGAGCGGTACAAGTTTATCCACAACCCTACTTGCATTCCGAAAGATGCACACCGCCCTTCCTCGATGTTTCCCACGAGATTGAAGGTCACCGCTGGCCGCCCACGCACTATCCCTACGCACCGCTTAGCATCTGCGTAATATTCGATGTCAGAGGTCCCCTACAACCGAATCCTGCAACAACCTATTGGCCTTCTTCTCTGTCCGCACGACCTATAATTCCACCGCCCAAAAAGTTGAAGGCACCGCTTGCGGTCCTGCATGCACTTCTAGTCTGAGGCTCTTCTCTTTCCCTCATTGCTCAAAGGTTCTTGATTTCTTTTTCCTTTATCAGCATGTACTTGACAGATGATGGATTGCTCCATTATTTTTTTACCTGTAGACCCCTTATTCTTCCTTTCTTGTATGTGACAGATGATGGACTGCACATTTCTTTTAGTACTCATGTACTCGTCTCTTCCATTTGCGTTACAGTTTGGTTAATATTGACAACGTTCCACATTTATGTGCATGATGATGAGTTACATATCGACCGCCTGTAATTCCACACCCAGTTTAAACTCTTGTGTGCGCAAGTGAAACGTGACTGGTTGTCTCTTTCTATTCTTCTCAGCCTCTTAATTATAAGTACGAAGTGGAGAATACACAACCGGTGCTACCGTGCTATGCATGCTTAACGTTAGTCAACGATACATCATTTGTTGGAAGCTGCGTCGCTTGATTTCTGAATTGAGATTGAGAGACGAGATTTCCGACATTCCGTGATGTATAATGCAGCAGATCGACGCTTGTTTGAAAGCATGCGACCGCAAGTGCTGCATGTGCCTCCCGATATTGTGACTAAAGTTCAAGCGAGCAAAACTCGGATACATAAGACCCGGGCAAAGGCTTATGGAGATCATTCCAGCAGAAGTAACATTAGCACAGTCTTGGTACTATCCCATGTTGGTGGGGAGTCGGATTCATACATGCCGGGTCTCCCGATCGTTTTTTCCATTCCAATGAGTCATTCCTAGCCCGCCATAAACGGGCATTCGAATTGGAACGACCTCGCGTTGTGCACGGGCAGTGTGGGTTTGGTCACATCCTTCGGATGTTTGAGTAACAGTATCCCTATCTGGCAGTTGAAACTGATTTGTGAAATGGTTGTATCGTGTACGTAGGAATCCCCCCAAGAAAATTTAATAATGGAAGACGGACTAGTACCTGATCCATACTATGTTCAATTATATTTTTAGTGGTGCGCACCGTGACAGCGCGAGATTCAGTAAGTAGGATGTAAGCTCCTGTAGTCTGCAGGAATTAATCACTGATATGAAGAAACATTGATCCAAAGGGTAAGACAATCCCGAACACGGGTAGGCCAAGAAGAGTAGAGGGGATACGGTCGGGCGAGGGGATAAACGGATTTCGATCGTGTCCAATTAGGGTACAAGGAGGGCACAGCTGGGGTTAGTTGCGGCGTAGTGATCGCTAAAGGTTGGGGCATAGTTGCTAAAGCTTGATATGCATGAGCGACTAAATTTGCTATGGATGCAGTTCCTGCCTGTGAAGCGCATGTAGAGTCTTGGCCAAGTTGATGAAGCTCAGGCTGTTCAAAGAAGTTACAATTGTAGTCACATTTGCAGATATTGACATCGCACCCATTTTGCGTACGCCTCTCCAAAAATATAGTGGTAGCTCGTTTCCTATTGCAGGTTCAATGGTGTCGCTACTAAAGAGTAAGAACGCTAGAACGAAGTCATCCACAAGCGAGATGTCATTAATAATTCTGAACCCGATGTCCGCGGGAGGAGACAGATAGTTCATAGTGTTTCCCCTTTCACTTGCCATTGGTTTATTGTGCTTGCTACTATCTAGAATACATTGGAACAAGTGATAGTGAAAACGTAACTCCTCTGCATGCTCACAGATAAAATTCTGGTTTTTTAGCATTAATGCCGTACTCGGCCAACGCGGCACTCAAGTCATCCATGGTTAGCGCGGTCCTCGTCTTATCCTAGAAGCAAGGTGATTTATGCAAGGCAGGGCAGTGAAGAACCGTGGCGTACCTTTGACCCTGGTCCAGTAAGGGGGCCCCGAGCGCGGCCACCAACGGCGTTCGTACGTATACGAGCATGCTGGTAGGCATCGGCAGCAATATCGGATACGAACTTCTGCGCGGCTAGGGAAAGCAGGCGTTTTCTGCATATGTAGAATGAACGTAATGAGTCTATACTAGAAAACATCCTGGAATACTCACAGCCGCACATCTTCGCATTCAAATCCTACCCTCTGGAGATAGTAGTCTGTTACTTCATTGGGAATCTGGACAGCACTTTCAGCTCCACTTGAATTACGAAAGCTACACGAGTACCAGGGGTTCATAATCATCAAGCATAACAAGGAATTCAGCTAGGGTACGATCCTTGCGGGCCTCCTCGGCTGCCTGACGGGATTGTGGTTGAGTTGTTGCGGCCGTAGAGGAGCTTGAGCCTGGAGCCGTAGTAGCAGTTTGAGAGGACTGCGTCTGAGATACATCAGGAAAGGTTCCCGGTGGGTAGTATGTATAAGGAGAAGGCTGGGATTGTGCCGTTGGCGAGTCTGCAAAAGCTGCTGGGGTCGACATGATCTACGATGAGTTACAGTGAGCGCCGGAAGAAGCCTGTCGGAGTTAGCCAGGCGAGATGGTGGCAGTATAAAATGTTCCCACATGCAAATTTTACTGTTGTACTCAATCGGTCGCATGGTGAGTTTTTTCTATCGATTTTCGAGCCTGTTAGGTTCAACGTACATGCATATGATGTTTGAGGCATTTGGCTTTAGCAGGAGCGCACCCTGCGGTGCAGAAATTTATCTCAGCTACCTTCGGGGGAGCTGCTTTGGCAGTATCCTTCCGCTTTGACTGATTCATTCTTTTTTCTACGTCTCACCTAGCGACGATTTACTGACGATTTTCTTGTATAGATACTCGCCTCCAGTTCTCCCATATTGTAGAGTACAAGGCAACGTTGTCTACATAGAGTTTAGGTTCAATGCAACATGTTTAAATTTATCTGTTGATGAACGGCGCGGGATCGGCGTGAATGTTTGCCACTGGACGACAGGCAACCGGGGTCAGTATCACTTTGTGAAGTGGAGCACTTGCACCGAAACGGAGACGAAACGTAAGATCATAGGCGTACGGCTGTCTCGGAGAGCAAATGAGTAACTTGTCATCTGAAAAAGTTGATTTAATTGCTTGATGGCGGCCGTGATGGGCAAGTACGTTAGTGTCCATACAAAACTCTAAATGTAGGCGAACTTAACTGTTGGGCGTTTACAACGCATTTATATAACAATGATGTATTAGCCCGTCTGGCAGCAGCCCTATCGTCGGTCCTCGGAATACCATAAGACTGTCGATCATCCGAGTCCTCCATTTTAAATCCGCGTTTTTGTAAACTGAGACTAGTGTTCTTGTCTTGGCTCCACTGCCGCGGTAACTCTTCCTACTGTCTTCATCACCACTTTGGCTCATGGCCTGAAAATAGGTAGCGAATCTCCGGCCTACCCTAGGTCTCCGGTACGTCCTGCCAGGAAGAGGAAAGGGGACTTCGTCACTAAAACCAGCTGATCATGGCCAAAATTTCAACTTGAATGCTTACCATCATACCTTCACCCTCACGACATAATCACGACATTTATGTCCCACCATGAATATTGACGTCGAGAGCAGTATACGCGTTAGGAACATCACTCCTAGTATGCATAATGTAGGCGGTCCCAGAAAGTCTGGATTGTCATGCGCGGAATGTCGCCGGTATGTCATATATGCTATTCACTTGGAAATACTAGTCCTACTTGAACTTGAACCCGTCTAGATCCAAGCTCAAGTGCGACAGGTAAGTCCAATAAGCAAGTCCATCTGCATTTCGATAGCTGACTTCTGCAGAGTGTTCCCGTGCCAGTCATGTATGCGACGTGGATGTGCGAATATCTGTCCAGAGGGTAAGAACCTCGCTCTTATAATATTCATTCATCTCATCCGCTATGTCCTAGGTACTCTCGCCGCCACGAAAGGAAACAAGTGCGTCCTTCTCGGCTCCTGTACCTTCACCCCCGACTCGGAATCTAACTTTAACTTCCTTTATGAAAGGGTTCTTATGGCTCATGCACAGCGGCTGTCAGAACAGGTAAAAACTATGACTGGGAGAATAAAAGAGCTTGAAGAAGCACTTCATGAAACTCAGAGATCCAATCGTGATGGAAGTGGTCCACATCCTCTCCTACAAACTTCCTCCCAGTCACACGAACACGTTGAAGAGCCAGACCTTCGGACTATCTACGATGATGAAGTTCACGATGTAACAGAAACCATCGGATCTTTATCGATCGATGGCGATGGCCGCACCAAATATCACGGCGAATCCGTTGGATCGGAGGTGAGGCAACCCATTCCGATCGTTTTTGTGCTAAGCCCCTGATTATATGCGCCATCCAGTACTTTCAACCATTGTTTCCGGTTTGTTGAACTTCATTTTTGGAAGACAACATCACTCATGTAAATCACACAATAGCCCGACGGTTATCCATCACAGCAGAGCGTCTCGGCTGACCCAAAATACTTGGGACTTCCATTTGAGATCATCGATCTCTCCAATGCATACCCCTTTGGTCTGAAGGACAGTCAATATACGAAATTTCTTTTCTTACCTTTTCTGCCTCCCCGTGAACGAGCCTTGCAGCTCATGGAGCTATATTATCGAAATGTCGCATGGATGTGAGCTCGTCGTGCACGGCTGCAGCCGATGATCATTGACCTACAGAATCTTAGGTTCGACCCAATCGTACGAGATGACTTCATGACAAATATTCTAATCCCACTGTATGGCCACACCGGTTCCCCTAACGTTAATAACATCCATTCGCACCGACTTTCCGTTTTTTTCATCCTGCTGGCCTCAGGAGTCCTTCACGATCAATCACCATCTTCAATGGTGCTTGCTGAACAGTACTATGCCCTTTCCCGCGCAGCGTTATCACTTGATCCGATTTCGCAAGACGCTACTTGCGCTACTGTACAGGCCCTCTTCATGGCCTTTGGACATATCTACCAGTCTGATCGTACGAACAACGAAGGCAGGTGGCTTCTCATGGGCATCGTGGCGAGAATCGCACAATTAGTGAGCATAATGCTGCCGTTTCGAAGAACCAAAGAACTCACGATTACACACTATCTCACAGATTGGTCTACGTAAGTGCCTCCCCACACTACATCGGTGCCGCACACTGATGGACAAATCACAGAACGCGATAACGCTGGGTGGGGTCTAGGGCAGGAAGAAATACAAAGACGACGCGTTTTATTTTGGGAAATCTACTCGGTTGACGCGTGGACGGTGCGCTCTTTGGTGCTTGATCTCTCTGCCCGCTGAACTGTTTCAAAGAGTATCCTTCATGGTCGTCCACCTGCATTGAGCATCAACCATACAGACTGCCGGTTTCCAGAAGATCTCGATCCTGCGATCAAACCTTCAGGTGCTGTCGAAATGGGATGTGAGTTTCATTTGACTATTTTCTGTGCGAAGCGTTTCATGCCCACCCCTTTACGTGTTTTAGGGCATCCCTGGAAGTTCCGCTATTCGGCAAGCTGTTTAGGAATTTCTGTGCAGCATGTGTTCAACACGCGTGTTCCAAGCTATTCCGCATTGCTCGAATTGGATCGAAAGATACGGAAATTCAACCTGCCGGCACATTTACAATCACCAATGGAAGCCTCAGAAGCAGGGCGTGCTTGGTCTCCAGAAGCCCCTAAGGCAATGCAGCAATATGCTGCACTGTGTCACAGGGAAGCAAGTAAGTTGGGATCATTGTGATTCTGATCAGTAAGAGACCAATGATTGACAGATCTGATGTACATCCATCGGAGCTGGTTCGTACAGGCTTTTCGAGAGGCCCCTACCAACCCCCTTCAGCACAAGTATGCGCCCTCAGTCTTGGCTGTATATCGCAGTGCATGTCGGTTGATATCCAGCCTTAATGGGTTGTACCGAGTGCATTCTCAACCGACGGATCGAACGTGGTTCTTCTGGTCGGCCATATTCTCTGCATGTGTGAGTCTAAACAGTTCATTTTGACAACGCGTCTTATGTGGCGAGCAGATCGTTCTCGGAGCTATAGTGGTGGATAGTCCACAATGTACTCTTGCGTCGAACGCATTGCAAGAACTGGATCAGGGAATGGTGCTTTACGAAGAGGGTTCACTTCCCTGTCGGCCTCCAGCAACTATGGTAATATAGTCTGAGCCTCACGATTGGATGCTCTTTTTGATGCGTTTCTAGCTTGTCCTCCACAGACTGCGTGAGCGTGCCTTCACCTCCCTCCAGGCCGCACAGACAGACAGACAATCACAATCTCATCGGTCGTCTATAAACCCCGGTGATCCAGACGTGCTTGGACCCCGGAAGAGTGGCATCACCGGCACACCATTTGGCTCGTCAGCTTCAAGTACAAGCCCATCCGGTTCAGACCGACAATCGTCAGAACTGTCCGATGGCGATATACCCATCGCTCAGTATTACGCAGCACTAGCAAATCCCGATCTCGTATTACCAGCCACCAGGGAATTGGAGCTCCCGTTTTCTCGGACATTCGAGCCGTACTACCCTGCAGCTTCAGAAGAGGATATCAACGCGCCTTCACCGTTCTTCGACCCTGGGCTACGAGCCGCGGTCATGGAGTCAAAGATGCAGCCCAATGAAAGTAATGCAGGTCCCAGTTCGAGTAGGCCTCCGCCACAACCAGTGCCATTATCATTCCAGCAAGTGTACAATCCGGACCATGCATAATCATCCATCATGTTTTGTTACCTATCGCACTCTCTTTCTTGTCACGCATACACGTTTTCGCTGTCCGCTGTATCCCGCATATTGCAACAACATTACGATTATTTTTTCTACCGCACTTGAATTTTACAAACTAGCCCATCTTGATTAAATTCGTGTCATCGATTGGCATGGCGTTGGCCTCAGCTTGATCGCGCAACTCCATCGCATGAAGGAGTGTATCTATTTCTGGCGAGACGACAAACCGCTTGTTGACTTCTCCCATGATGTGCAAGCGTTTGTTTTGCAAATCCAAATGGACAGCTTGCTGTAAAAACGATGGCTGAGTTGCGCCAGTTACCTAAATATAACTGTCAGCATGCGTGATATGAGCAACAATATAGGAATTAGACGTACATCCATGAGGATGCCGTTACTAAGGCGCATTTTGACGGCCCCGCTGCGATATACTTCGAGCTGCCCGATGACACCATCAACTTTTGGTAGTTCTTTCGTTTGTTCTGCCTCTGGCCCTGTGGATGCGCCTGCTGGATCTCCGCTAGGACCTGGTGGCTTTACGTCTGCTGCGAAAGACACTTTACGTGGATGGCTACCTGGTGGAGGCTCATCAACACTCATTGCCGTCGGACTGGTCAATGGGACATTGGGGACGAATGTTGGAAACGGCTCAGGGAACTGGAAGAAGTAGAGACGCTCTTTCCGTATGTCTGCGTCCTATACTGTGAATGAGCGCGAGTACCAGATAGAGATTTGGGATAATGACCTGGTCCGCTTCACCTTGCACCGCGAAATCATCTATAAGGTCCTCGAGTTCTTCCTCTTCCTCGCTCTCGCTAAGATCAAGGGCATTAGCCAAATCTACTTCCTCGATGTTCATTTCATCTTCTGATATTGTCTCAGCTTCAGGTGGCAGAAAAGTGTTAGGAAACTACCTTTTTTCTTTATACTTGAAGGTGATGATGGATCCTCAATCTTCACCTGAATTTTCTTCTTCTTTTCTTTACGTTCTTTGCGCAAGCTTTCTGGAGCCATCCAGTCCATCTGTCTCACGTTCTCCATGTCGATAATCTCGACACCTTCGTCCGGATCAGAGTAGTCATCTTCGTCAATGAGCGGTGCTACAGTCTCCTTCTCCCTCTTCAACAAAGGAGCGGCAGCTCCAGAGAGACCAGCACCAAGAGCAGTTGCATTTCCAGGTCCCAATGGAACGATGGGTGTGAAATTGGAGCGAGGAGCGCTGCGCCGGGCTGAGGTGCCCGCGAGAGCAGGTCCCATAGCGAATGGCCCACTGGCAGTCATTTCTACTGGAACTGGACGGGGAGCGGCACCACGACCTTCTCCTCCCCTGCCCCTTCCTCGCCCACGTCCGCGCCCTCGATCAGTAGATGCATTAGGGATGGTTGGTGGGGGGGCTTCCTACGTCCAGTTCAGGATGATGATGATTCGCGTAGATGTACTCTACGATACTTACTTGTTTAACTTCCCTGGTAACGACGTCATGAGAAACCGTGGATTTAGATTTGACAGAATTGGCTCACTCTTTCTTTCTTCGTGATGGTAGTGTGGGCACGAACTTGAGCTTCTGTGATCCTTGCCTGGTCACGTCAGAAGGCTTTTTTGCCAAGCTGCCTATGGCTTTTGGTACAGACGGTCCTGGAGTGCCTGATGGTGTCGAGGATGCGCCCGCATTGCTCGTAGATATGGTATTGTCTGCCATGAAACCAGATAAATATCGCGAAAAAGTCACCCAGTTACATAACGTTCAACACGTGTGGACAGCCACGTGTTTATCTACTTCCTCAGTTGAATCTGATCAACATTCAGGCGCACAACTGCAGTTACGCCCAGTTCGCAATTTTCCGCACAATGGGAGAACCAGAGCACCTCAGGTCCACTTACAATGACATACACAACATCATCAGAGGAACCTCGAACAAGATTGCGTCTGAATTCAAGCCTGACATGTTCATTGCGATCGGTACGCTGAACTCGTAGTCCGAGTGCTTTCATGATACTTCTAATGCTCATATTGCCCACGAAAAGGGGGAGGGTCAGTTCTATTCTATCTAATCGGTAACTCGATCTCAACTCTCATCCCACAGTGGCTTTTTCCCAGCTCGTGTACTGGTATGTCGCACAGAAGCGATACAACCGGACCGACCTTCTAATCCGCCTTGTGTCCGGTCTCACAGCGCACATTCCTGAAAGATCCTTCGACGAAAAAAAACATCCCGATTCAAGCTATTGGTCTCTCACTCTATGAATCTCTTCCTGGTACAACGGTAGAGCAGCTTAACGGCGAGGTTGTTCGCACCCAGTGGCTGTACGGTGTTATCAATTGTACACAGGATCTAATATTGACACGGGTAATCTCGACAGAGGGCCAGACCCGGGCAAAAGATTGCTCGGAAGACGGGCGTTAATCATCGTAAGTTCTAACTCCTCGGTTTTTATTATGTGAATCCAACCAATAATTTGAATAGGATGAAGTCGACGATACGCGCAAAACTCTCCAGTAAGAGCTCCACAAAAATAGTCTTTGTTGGTTCTACTCATTCTATCCACTGTTCAGATATGCATTGAATGAGCTCCAGAAAGATGTTGAAGCAGAACTTCAGCTACTTCCAGAGTCTGAGCGTGACTCGAAACGCACCAAGTTTGCAGTCTTCGTGGTGCACAACAAGCTTAAGCCAAAACTTGGAAAGCTGCCACCGAATATCCCGTGAGTACTACAACGAGTGTTGATTTCACATGATTTCACAAAATTTCCACAAGATACTTCGCAGGTGCTGAAGTGGAGGACGTGTGGTAAGATTTATTCCTTTTACTCCAGTCTGATGGGAGTCTAATCGAATCATAGGCTTGATTATCCGTGGGAAGTTATGTGAGTATCGTTTTCTAATCTCCATCGATGATGAATGATTCAGCGTATTTTTTCGACCTTAGTGATATTGAGGAGCATGATCGTCTGGCAAAGGAGGACGAGGAGAGGAAGAATATAACAGTTGATGAGCACTAACATTACTAAGGACAAGAAGACACGTGTATGCTGATCCCATCCCTATAAAGTATTTGCTGGTGGGCCAGTGGCGTCCGTTTCGTGGTTGATTTAAATTTTACTTGTGCTTGGCCGTGTCATTGTGGTCCATGACGGACTTGAAAACGGAACCAAATTTTAGTCCGAGATCTAGAATTGGTATTAGCAAACACCGGCATTATTAATAATCGAGTAATTTACTGTTCACGCCGGTTTTGTTCGGACGAGTCGCGTTTTTCTCTGCGCGATCATACTTCCGACAAGACTCACAAGGTTGACCTCTTCCTAGTCCTGCCAACAGTTCTGCACTAAAGACACAGGTTCAGTCTCTGTACGGCGAGGTGGTCATCCTTCGAGATTTTCGTCGTGCACCGCTACTACTCCTTTACGGCGAAAAAAACGGCCTTAAGGCTTACATCTTCACTGTCCTTCTTTTCTTCCACATAGATTGCTTGGATGGCTGAAGAGCTCGACTATGAGGCACTCCCATCTGACACTAGCGTTGGGGTAAGCCATTTAGCTGGTCTATCATTAAAATTTGCACCAACTAGAACTACAGGTTAACATGCTCGCCGGAGCTCTGGTAAGTTTAGAGTTTTCGGCCCCCACCTCGCACTCGCGTTCGCGACGGATTTGCGCACTATAATGTCCCAAGGACGCATACTGAACTTTTCGCTCAGGCTGGTATCACAGAGCACGCGGTCATGTTCCCAATAGACAGCATAAAAGTAGGATCCAAACTTCGTCAGTGACATGAGGTTGACAGGATATTTAGACACGAATGCAAGTATTCGCCACGTCACCTGCTGCTGTTTACACAGGGATCGGAAATGCATTTACTCGGATATCATCTACGGAAGGCATGCGAGCTCTATGGCGAGGTGTCTCTTCAGTGATATTGGGTGCGGGACCAGCCCATGCAGTCCACTTTGGGACGTATGAGGCGATGAAGGAATTAGCGGGTGGCAATGCTGCCGGAAATCAATGGCTTGCAACATGTATGTTCACCATTCGTATTCGTTCACTATCGACCATCGCCTTCTCCTTCCACATCGTTTTGTCATTCATATCTGGATTCTAATTTCCTGGCTGTCTGCTACGTAGTCAACATGTACTTACCATTGCGTCACAGCACTGGCAGGTGCATCCGCCACCATTGCTAGCGATGCCCTCATGAACCCCTTCGACGGTGAGTTCCCAGCTACTTGTGCCGCGTTCTCCAACTCATCACACTTCTTATAGTCATCAAGCAACGCATGCAGGTGCACCAGTCGGAGTTCCGTTCCGTGTTTACTGCATTGCGGGTCGTGTACCAGACAGAAGGCCTCGCCGCGTTCTATGTCTCGTATCCCACAACTCTAACGATGTCAGTCCCATTCACGGCCGTGCAATTCACAGTCTATGAGCACATGAAAAAACTTTTAAATCCATCGGGCGACTACTCGCCAATCACGCATATGATCGCAGGTGGTATGGCGGGCGGTGTGGCCGCAGGCGTCACCACTCCTTTGGATGTTGCGAAAACCCTTTTGCAGACCAGAGGCTCATCACATGATTCCGAGATTCGAAGAGTTGGGGGAATGTTGGATGCACTTCGTATAATATGGAGGAGAGACGGAATAAGAGGGTTTGGACGGGGAATGTCGCCACGAGTTTTGACGCACATGCCCAGTAACGCGTTATGTTGGCTATCTTACGAGTTTTTCAGTAGGTCCATTCTCCTGGTCCAGTTGAACGCCCACTCATATTATTTACAGAGGTTGCTATTCGCGAGCAATCATAGAGTCGCCCCATAGACAGTAAGGCACGGACCGTATTTGCATGATGTCACTCTGGTGTCATTTCATCACTACCGTTACATTACTATCAGCTTATTCCAGTCAGTTGCTATATAACACTGACAGTGTTGAGAGATCCGCATGCTCCTGCATAGACCTGTCAGATCTGGAGGTTCAGCACAAGACCAGTGAGAATTCTGTAGATTGAGTTCAGTTTGCCCAAGAATTCAGTGTATATGACACGATAATCGCCAGGCACATTTATGTCAAAGTCATGCGACTGCTACCCTACAGACTGAGTATAACAGCTACTGTAGCTACTGACTCTGATGACACCATGCGACGTGTTTTGATTTCAACGTTGAAGATATCAGAAGGCTCGGAAAGTCTTGTACATGGCCCCTTGGCCACCTCTATTCAAATTTCGGACTGCGTGGACTAACGTCACGGTCAGTTAGAAAAGCTGATTCGGACCCTTTGCAATGAATGATATGCAGAATATGTTGGCTCGGGATCACTGGGAAAATGTGGGGTATACTACGTATCCTACAGTAGTACGTGGCGGTTGGGTATAATTTTTTCTCCATTTCTTCTACACATGCACGACACAAGATGTCTAACCGGAAACCATGACCAGATATCAGTTACGCAGCTCTGCGTAATGTGTGACGGTTGCCCCCATACAGAAAGGCACAGTATAACTGGAAGGACAATATCCTTCCCTTGTTATACTTCTCTCTCTCAACATACCCCACATGACCCACCAGTCTTCAGCTGCGTCCCGCGCATTATAGCCGAAGACCTCGCAAATCTCATCCCACTGCCAGCGCATTTTCGTCTCGTCCCAGCCCTTGTGCCCTTCGATCATCATGCCGTAGAGGGCCTGATCTCGTGCATCACGCTGTGGCCCAGGACCCACCCATACCGTATCAAAGGCCTTCGTCTCCTTTGCATATATGGCGCGCGTACGTGGTTCGCGCAGCTCCTGGAACGCTTCAGCTAAGTGAGGTAGTTGATCCCAGGCTCGTAATCGAGAGAAGAGGGTGCCGAGCACTTCAGCGTCCTCTATTTGCATACTGCAACTTTGTAGAACGCAAGGCTGCAGATGGTTATTATTATCGTTCGGAGTTCGGAGTTCTGAGTTCTGAGCTCATATAGACTTACATATAATGGATGTGCAGCTTCTCCCATAATGAGCAGTCTTCCTGATTCATCTGTCCATTCTTCAGCGCATTCTCTTTGGAAAAGTCGCACCCTCTGATACGTAGCAGGTATATCCAACAAGCGCTGCAACCTTATCAAATAATGATGATGATGATGTGTTAGATCAGTTGTGCGGATGCCGGATCAAATAACGCACTTCGGTTCAAAATGAAAAGGGAGCTTTTCCCGAGGAACGATCACATCCCAACCATCCTTGTCACCAATGCCGTCAACCTCGCTGTCAGGTAAAAATGCATGGATCGCAAATTCAGCCCCTCCCGCCTGTGAAGATTGAGTCATAAAGAGACCACAAAGGGAAAGCCATACCACCGTGAAGGCTATGACATGTCTAGAGTCTCCAGTCCATATCGGGTACTGAAATGTGCAACATGTGAACTCCCATTGGAAGGAAAGGGCGGGCAACGTACGTCAGGTCTATTTTCATGAAATCGCGTCAGGTCGCTGAGCTCGGGGTCATTTTGAAGGACATCCCGGGATATAATCGCACTGCTCCAGGTTTCCCTGTCAGCGGCCGTTCCCGACATATGACAATGAGAAAGGCAGATTACACGTAAGCACTGTGCCCTTCTGGCACCTCTTCGCTTGACCACCCTGCGACCGTTTCACGGACTGTACTTCGTGGGCCATCAGCGCCAATAACCATATCTGCTTTGAGGACGGTGCCATCCTGAAGCTCAACGCGGGGCGGGTTTGCGTGCACGCTGGTGACCGTTGCGCCGTATGTAACACGGGCACCCGCGTTGATCGCTGCACGATGTAGCATATCGTAGAGGTCACGATACTGCAAAGCAGAATGAACACCTTCTAGGATGCTTGGGCAGGTATAAATAAACTTACACGTATAACCATATAGTCCGCTCCTGTCTCCTGAAGAACGTCTTCCTTCCATTCGAGGCATCCTATAACTTTTCCAGTATCAACTGCCAGGTTCAGTTTATGAGTTGGAGTTCAACATCAACTGCATGATACGAGTTCCTTACTTGAAATGAATGTGCTAGCACGTGTGCTCAGTCCGTGTTTCAGTAGTTCGTCCTTGAATCCCCAATCCAGCAAAACTTTGGTAGCATTAGGTGGGAGATGGGTACCACCAGCGCGCTGCAAGATTTAATTCAGTGTTTGCCTTCGCTTTCGCACACACGACCCACTCGGTTTGGCCCTGCAGCCTTGTCTAAAACACGAACACGATGCCCTGCCTGGCATAATCTAAACGCGGTGGCCAGACCGGCAATACCTTACGAAGACAATTGAACACAAGGACAACCTGCAAGTTGTTCACGTACCAGCTCCAACTATTATGAAGTCAATGCTGAGCGGCGCTCTCCGTTTTGACGATGACATGAAGGTACACGGCGGAACTAATAGTGTAAATTGTACAGAGGGATAGAGAACGGGAGTGAAAAGGTAGAGGTTGATAGAAATGTCAAGGTGCAAGAAAGAAAGGATATTAATCGCTTTCCTTACAATATTCTTATGACATTCGGGCCTTCGGCTGATGGCGTAAAGGCTTCCCTTCCCATATATGAGAGAAACACAGTACTGGTAAGCGAGAACCGTCCGTATCAGGGTATCCGGGCTAATCCAGGAGGGCCCGGGCCCGGCAGAGCATGACAACGTTATGGTTTTCCAACACTGACTGATCTGTGCGAATATCTGTGAATATGCATGCTACTAGTATAAGGGTCTCAAAAGACTTACATCGAAATCAAATCAAAAGCTCGGAAATTTATCTCAGTGCAGATTGATTAGAACATATATGGGGAGAAGCGTATCAACTATGAGTCAGCGCTATCAGCGAGCGTGACAACCTCACCACTGAGCGGCGACTCCAGCGGAGGCTAAGAGGCTAATAAAAGAAGCCGGCGGGAGCGTGGGCCCGGCACGAGGTGCAGTGTGATCAAGGGCATATGGTACTTACGACTTAATAGACTGCGGGGGGAAAGGGAGGTACGTGCTGTAATCACTACGGCATCGGTGAACTTTGAGTCTGGCAACCCAAAAACAGACCAAGGAACTTGCCGCGAACCACTTTGCGCGATAAGGTTATTCTGCAGTAGAAACTCAGGGTTTGTGGTCGACAAACCATCCCTTACGCGGGGAAATAAGCTACACACAATCATACATTTACAAGGCCGTCTTTTTCGCTTCGAAATCGGTGGAAAGGGCGCCCATTTACTTCGAGACTGTTATCTCTCGTCATAGTGGCCTGGGCTTGTAAACGCTTTGCTAAACAGAAGTCTCGTTTATCGTTCGTTTAAAATTATAAAATGGATCACATCGCACCAGCTTGCTCAAGCATAAGCGACAAGATATCACCAGAGTGCATCATGATCGCCCTGAGGACCAGAACAACCGTGTCTTCGAGTCAATCCCAAGGGGGTCAGATGCGATCCAAGACTCGGGAACGCACATCTATCTGGTCTGGTCCCATGTTCTACCTTAAGTTTGCCTCGATAATATGACGTGGCCGCCCACCCCCATCAAGAGCGTGCCACAACGGTAAGTACGACATTCTAGAACAATGCCACGATGTCAACTTTAACAGGTTGCCCACGGTCATAAGTCAGAGTTGGTTGATGACGCGCTCTGCAGTGTAGGCATGTAGGAGCTTGCAGGCCAAAATGATACATCCCATCGCTCCTTCCTACCTACGTGCCTATATATGATACGATGATAGATAGAATCAGCATTATGAAAAACCGCGGTAAAATGGAACATACATCGTGCACGAGTTTTACTCCTTGCAGTGGGCTCTCAGGGACTGAGGGGGACTTGTCCCATCAATTATATTGGGCTTCCGCGTTTCAATCGTGGTTTCGGGGGTGTGGCGAAAGATAGGCGCGCAAGTGTCAAAAGGAGTTCCCAAAAGCGGTACACCGAAACGGACGAACTCCATTCTTTCACCCACACTTGTGACGTGACTAAGAAGATACGTCTCAGTCAGGATAGACCCCCAAAGTCCCAAGCCCAAATGCGTTTATATCATTGTTTGTGTGCTCGTGCATAAAAACCTTCCCATAAACACTGTAACTTCTGTGGGCGATCAGAACTATCAAAATCCACGAACCTCGAGATTGCCAAGGTAGCTTTAACATCCTTGGCTGTGAGAACCTGAGCTACTGTGAACCTGATACGCAACGTAAACATCCCCCCGGGCCGCATAAACCTTGTGTACATAGTGCAATCAGGCGCAACAAATGTTGATCCCTCGACCATATCCGAGTCAGACCACCTGTGAATCCACTTCAAGACTTGATAAGAAAATATAGACAGTCAGGCAACATGCAAGCTCGCCTTGTCACTGACAAATTCCTCTTCTGTCTAGTGGCGTGACGGTGAATATTTACAGGGCATGGCAGGGCCTGACTAGTTATAGTTGAGTTTTGAGTTTGGCTCCCGAACCTAGAATGAACCGTTGCAGGGAATGGTGTCAATGCCGTCGCACTGGTAAGTGAGCAATCGTTGGCGACGAGCTAGGGATAGACAAGCGCGGCTTCGACTAATTTGCTGTCATGCATGGTAGATCTCGGTGGCATGGATAGAGAAGAGTGTGTCACACTGACCGCCTTGACTAGCTCGACGACTAGCTTGCTGCAGGCAGTGCCGTTAGACTGGAGTAAATATCACTAGGTCCGTACGGTCCCTCGCCAGACCTATAAAGGAAGAAAGACTGTATTTCCTTCTAACAGGTAGCATCAGGATTCGATTTCATAATGAATGAGTAAGTGGTGGTCCGTTTCACTGAGAGAATGCGAGGTACGCAACTTAAGCACTCGTCGGCCAGGGTAACTGAAGCAAATTCCATAGCGGTGAGCCGTTGATAGTACATGCGACTTCATGGACGGCTTGGTAATGAATTGGCGGAGTACAATATGTGACGAGCTTACAGTAGCGTGCGGAGATCTTCTTGCAGAAGAGACCCAGGAAGGCAAGTCCGTTTTACTGCACCATCCAACATGAAGGTCGTTTCCTCCGTACGAGACAACGTAACTATGTTTACCGGAGAAACCCTACAGAATCAGTGTTAAGAACTCGTAGAACATCTAAATATACCAGAGGAAAAATCAAGGGCGCTCCGCCTTCTTCGAGTCAGTCACCGGTGGAGAACACCGTAAGTCTTGCTCTACTCTTTGAGTTTGCTCATTAATATCATTGGGCCTTCCGTGTCACGGCGCAACCTCGTCATGTAACTGTCAATCAAAAGATCAGCTTACCTCCGAATATTAAGTACCAAGGTTCTCGCGTAATAGGCAAATGATTATCCGAACAGACTGATTTGTACTTCGACCGAGCGCTCACCGCTCAGATAGAGGTGTCTGTGAACCGCGTCCTAGGAGAAGATAGAACAGAACTGCTTCAGTAATGTAGCGCTGGATGTTGCATGACATAGACGTCCACCCAGAGCTGTCTAACATGGCGCATAGTGGAAATACAGGTGATTTCGACTCGTAGTCATGCCTTCCTTGACAGCCGCGGCCTCCGTGGCGGTTCCATATTCCTGGCAGTCAGCCAGTCGTTGCACTGTACTCGAAAGGCGGTGATAAGAACGACGACCACGGTGCAGCAACAGAAGTGCTGGCAATGACTGTGATTTCGTATTATTTCGGAGTTCAGCTTTACCAGTATATTTCCCAAAGCTCGCTGGAGTGGGGCACCCCCTAGCAGGGGGTGATCGAAGGAAGTCAGCAGAGGCAAATAGGAGCAAGCAAGGGTTGGGGTTAGCTTGGTCAGTAATTACAATGTCGTAGTCAGAGCCCTTCATTCCAGCAGGCCACAGTTCTCACACACTGGTTAGAGCTGCGGCTCCAACGGTATCTTTCAGGGTTAATGATTTGCCCTATACTGCATAGCTCTGTCTGATCTTGGGGTTGAGCTTGGCTGATGGGCCTTGTTTCAGTATCCTTCGTGCCTAGGTCCGAAGTCGTGCACGGATTGGAGTAACCCAACCTTGTTGCGGTCATAACAAGTAAATAGAGCGGTATACTTCCATTCAATTGTATGAAAACACACGTACGAAAGTTTACGTATTTGGTTTCGAGGACAATCCAGAACAACGGCGTATCACTTGTGCCGAAATGGGGGGGATTCCCGTATCTCCAATGAGAAGCAATGAGAGATGGATAGTCATGACAAGGTCGCAAAAAAAAACTTACTGAATGGTCGAAAGTGTTCCGCGACAGTGGACTGCTGTTGACAAGTGTCTGGTGCGTGGGCCATCCTAGTACCAGGTTTAGCAAATGAAAGACAGCGGCTCATGCGTGACTGGTAAAATTATTTTTTTTCGGCTCTCTGAAAGGCACCGACCGAACTGTGCTCTGGAGTCTGGATCGAGTTCACCGCTCGGCGGTATAACGAATCCAGGATTTAGTCAAGTATTTATAAGCTAGTTGAAGAACGCTGTCCGTGTCAAAAATCGGATCTGTGAGTCGGTCGGCGAAAAGGGCGGGATGAGGTTCGTGGCTTGGTTGCGATCTTGAACATCAAGAAAAAATGACTGTGGGTGGACATAGATGATCATCTCGCCATAGATCGTTGTCGTGCCGGCGCGTAGTCAACCGAAGGTGGACAGAATTGGGGGGCAGGTTGGTTGGCTGTGTTCGAGCCAAACCCTGATTAAGCCCCTTTACTTGCACACAGGGAAACTTTGACGCGGAAGATGCAGCATCACGCCATGGACATATTTGTCGGTGACTCGGGTACCAACAATTATAGGGCAAAAACGAAATGCGCAAACAAAAAAGCATCCTCCGCTCCTACTACCTAGGCATGGGTTAACTGCAAGTGCGGACTCGAGTCGAACGTGTTGTGTTTCAACGCTGTCGTCTCATGAATCATATAAATGCGCGACTGCATGAAATGGCATTGTGCCAATGAAGTTGTGGACGATTTGATGGAAAGAAGCAAATCCTGGAATATTATGACTAAAGCTTTGTACCGGCTATTAGTAAGGTAGATTAATATTGGCCGCCATTTCAACGTGACTTGCGCTCAACTTTCAAGCCCTCCAGATGCTTGCAGTACAACGTTCAGCTGTAGTTCCAGACTCTCTATCAGTTCCTTCAAACGCACCGGAACACTGCCCTGTAAGCCCCAACCAAGTTTACTAATGTCCTGACTCGACTTCATCACTGATTACACTGAATGACAGGGCACAGAATCTGAGTTAGCTGGCAAAGCCGATGCCTGCAACGGATGCGCAAATCAAGATATTTGCGCTTCTAACACACCCAAGGGTCCAGACCCAGCGTTGCCATTGATTCGCGATCGGATGGCCACCGTAAAGCACAAGATCCTCGTTCTATCCGGCAAGGGCGGCGTCGGAAAATCTACCTTCACCGCCCAGCTTGGCTGGGCATTTGCTGCAGATGACCAAATACAAACTGGTGTCATGGATGTCGATATTTGTGGACCATCTATACCCACTATCTTCGGCGTTGCCTTAGAGCAAGTGCACTCATCTTCATCGGGCTGGTCTCCAGTTTATGTACAGGATAATCTCGGAATCATGTCCGTCGGTTTCATGCTGCCCTCATCACGAGACGCTGTTATGTGGCGTGGTCCGAAGAAGAATGGGCTCATTGCGCAGTTCCTTAAAGATGTTGACTGGGGTGATCTTGATTACCTCGTCATTGACACACCTCCTGGCACTTCAGATGAGCATCTTAGTGTCGTTCAGTACTTGAAGGAAAGCGGCATCGATGGTGCTGTGCTTGTGACCACGCCGCAGGAGGTTTCCTTACAGGATGTTCGGAGAGAAATTGACTTTTGCCGGAAGGTGGGAATACGAGTGCTGGGCCTTGTGGAGAATATGTCAGGTTTTGTTTGTCCTGGATGCAAGACGGAGAGTCAAATATTCAAGCCAACTACTGGGGGTGCCGAAAGACTAGCAAAGGAAACTGGCATTCAACTGCTGGGTAAGGTCCCACTTGACCCACGAATTGGGAAGAGCGCAGATTATGGTGTTAGCTTTTTGGACGAATACCCCGATAGCCCCGCGTCGGATGCATACCTTGATATTATTGACAGTGAGTGCTGACCATCCTTTTGGTGTTTTACTCATGAATTTTTAGAGATCAAAAAGATATTGGGAAACGAGAGCACCCCCTAATATTAGCCGTTTCAATTCGCAGCAACCTCATTGAAATTTGTATATCATATATGTATCGATAGATTCTACACTGGAAGATCGATGATTCTATGCAAGACAAAATTATGTGGCTAACTCCTTCCCCCCTCCTTCCTGGTGCGAACACTGAACTCCATCGGCATCTCACTGGGCAGGGCATCTGTTTCGGATTCTTGCCCCACAATGAATTTGCCGATGGGTGCTACACCGGCCAAACCACCCGGCAATCCTTCTACACTCTCATGGATTGATACCGTCGACAAAGTCCGCAACATTTTCCGCACTGCTATTTCACTCCCTACTGCCGTTGCATTCGAGGCCGCACGGGAACGAGCAGGTAATATGTATCCTTCGTTAGGAAATACGATACCACTAGCACCGGTCGGCAGGCCATCAAACATGGGTACGAATGGGTGTTGCGTAGTTGATGCCGGTGGCGAGCTATACGTAGACGTAGACGGCTGGCGTTGCGGTTGAAGTATGCTGGAGCGCCGTGCATAATTGACGACAGGATCTTCAGGCGTGCACGGGCGAAAGTAGTCCAAGGCAGCTGGTAGGGCAAGACTATCCGAGACCACATCCTCCCTCACAACTTCGGAGCTGTCCATTCTTCGCGATTCAGAAACGCTCTCCCGGGACTCCAGAGACTTTTCAGGGGAACCATGAGTCTCTCCGCGAGCATTTTCACGTGGACCAGGCTCTGCCGGCTCGCGTGTGATACCTCGCACTTCCATTCTGTAATCCTCTATTTCCTCCCATAGTGCCTTCCTAAAATCTTCAAGGGTCTCAAGCTTCTCGATGTCTCTCCACTTTTCAAACTTGGTAGGACAATCGGGTTCATCAGTTTCTTCATGATATGATGCCAGCCAGGGATGTGCGAGCGCGTCAGTAACTGAGATGCGCGTTGAAGGGTCGAAAGACAACATTTTCTGCAAGAGATCCAGGGCTAGTGAGCGGATAGTCATTGATCAGTATTGACCTAGTGCCATGGAAAAGCTGGAGTCACCCTGCACATCAGCAGTCGGAAGCAACTTCCACAGCGGTACGGGTTTCTTGGCTGGAAGTGAGCGGATATAAAGTTGTGCCTTCCCATGATGTCAGAACTGGACTCATAAAGCTACGGCGTCTATCTCTACCTTATCGCTGCCAATTCGATTGATAACATCCTCTTCTGGTGTTCCTTTACAAATACCGGTCAGATCACGAACGAGGGGGTGGTTTTGTTGAACACTCACCGAGAACATCAAGAATCTTGTTTAATTGATCAACTGTTGAGAGTAAATGTAATTATGATCAAACGTCGATTCAATTTGATGTTCACGATATACTGACCATAGCTGTACGCATGGTTGTGAGCTTGCTGGAGTTGATACATATCTGAACTCAACTCACTCTTTACCCTTGAACAGGGGCCGTCCAAGCATAAGCTCTGCAAATATACAGCCTATCGACCAAACATCGACTGTATCCACGATTCACATCTACAAGAAGGATTGATTTATAGGACGAGCTCACTGGCTCTCGTGTATCCTCTGATAGCACCCTGCGTAAAGAGAGACATTATGACAGTGGCTAAATAGTCGCACCTGAAGGCCAGCATGATTTCTGGCGCCCTGTACCACCTGGTGGCTACATACTCTGTGAGATGGCCCACTTGCTCGTCTGGGGCAGAGCCAAATCCCCGACTCAAGCCAAAATCGCATATCTTCAGTTCACAATCAGAATTAACGAGTAAGTTGCCTGGCTTCAGATCGCGGTGAATGACAGCGGCCGAGTGGACGTATTTCATGCCTGTTTGTCAACATATCGATAATGATCAGGTAACATAACAGAATGAATTACCACGAAGAATCTGGTATAGGAAGTACTGGACATGTTCGTTGCTCAAATGCTGGCCGGACTTTATGATTTGATGTAAATCCGCTGCCAAAGATTTAGCGCAAGGTTCAAGTCATAATCTATAACGTTACCTTCCATGGGCTATATGGAAACCATTATAGCAGTATTTAAATTCGTCGATGGCGGGTTAACGCACCTCCATAAAGACGTAACTAGAATTAGGGGTGAGCCTCTTTCTGCCAGCACTGAACGGACTCTACTCACATCTCCTGAAAATCGGGGGAGATGGCATCCACATCGATCAATCCAGTAATGTTCTCATGACTTGAGAAATGCCGAAGGAGAGTGACCTCTCTCAGTGCCCGTTTCGCAAGCTGGACTTTCTCAAATATTCGAGTGACGAGTTTAATGGCCACCGTTTCACCAGAGATCTCGTCCACAGCGGATCTATCTCGGGCACATCAATACAATCAACCAATAAAAGTTCCGAACCTGTTACTCACACGACGACGCCATATGCACCCGAACCCATTTCTCGTACCAGCTTCCAGCGCTTTTCTACGTGAAACATCTTACCAAAGGAAGTCATAAAAGAGTGGTACCCTCTGGTGCATCTCATCAATGAAGCTGATAATAGCAAGGGTAAGATGGATCTCACCGTTTTCTCATGTGGTGTTCTGGGAGCTGATTAGAAGGCCGCCGTGTTCTTGATCGACCACGATCCTGAGTGCCAGAACCTGGTGATGGTATCGGAGAAGATGACTCGTCATCGCTATGTGACCTGCTCCGCCTAGCATCTGCTGACATTGTAGAGCAGGCCGCAGTGCTTAACAAGGACAGTATCAAATGTCTGAGCTAGTGCAAAGAAGGGAACTCGTAGACGTGGCAATCTTTCCCCACTAGTATCGTAGAAGAGGTCTGAAACTGCAGTAGAATTGCCCGACACCGGGTGCTGAAATGTTGTGTTTGAGAAATTTAGCCACCCTCACCGCATTGTTCGACACTATTGATGCATTATGACGATAAGCTCTGGGAGAGCGGATTGTAATTAATACTCCGTCTTCCGAATATACACGGGGATAAGCCACTTTACGTCCGACGCGTAACAATTACAATGAAATAGTGGAATACTTAAAGAATATTCATGCGCTCGACATTCTATGCAGGAACCGAAGACATGACTACATCCGGAGTCGCTGGCGCAACAGGAGATGCATCATCGTCCTCACCAAATATATCCAAGAAACCAGCCACTCGCGCCTTGTTTCCAGCCCTTTTGGTGACATACTCTCGCAGGCCAGATTTTAGACTCGGTTGCTTGTCGACAAGTTCGCGAAGCTGCTCTTTGGGTAGTTGCAACAATGCACCAAAGCTTGCCGGCGCAATAACCTTGGCACATCGTATAAACCCTTCCCACAGATGAGGATTTTGCCAAATTTTTTTGGTGATCAGGCGAGACAGTAAGGTGGTAGACACAAAGCCAACCAATGTTCTATACGTCGTGACGGCCTGGATGACCTATTTGGCTGGTTATTACAGCAAATGTAAATAGCGAGATTTACTCACCGTACGAAGGAAAAGAACAGGGAGCACAGGTTCATCCACAATCTGTTGCATAACCACCGCTAGAATTTCGGAGCGGAAGACATCAGTCATTGAGAAGCAGACACCAATTGCTGCATCGCAATAGGTTAGTAGGAGGCCAGCGAGAAGAACATCACTATCACCTTCGATCGCACTCTTGAGACCAATCTCCTTCTCAGCTTCATGGAGTAACACCATCAACTCAGCTGGCGTCAGCAGCTCACTTTGCCTTACACGAGGCAAATTTGATGACACACTCCCGAAAGTTTGTGGAGGCGTCGTGACAACAGAGCTGAATACAGATCGAACCAGATTTTTGGGTTCTTGTTGACCGTTCAGGATGGAGACAATTCGGGGCAGGTATTTCAGGATGTCCGGCTTTGAATAATTACATTTAGCAACGCCACGATCAACTTCCACGGCGACATACCTTGTCCATCTCTGCGATGATTGGAATCAGGAAGCGAGCATCGAGATCACGGTCACTAATGAGACCCTTCACCAACGCTACGAGTTGCGCGCTCGGTCTCCCATGCTCTGTAAAGATCGTTAGAACACGTAGGGCAAGAGATTCACTCCCCGGCGGGCATGTGCGCATGAGGGTTAACAATTTGCCATTACTTGAACCCAAAGATTTGATCAGAGCAGTGATCAAGTCTTGAATGGCTTCTTGAACTGTTAATTCCATTTGGCCATACGCCGTGAAGATCCTGAAAAGGCATGATGCAAGAACTGCGACTATGAATCAGGATCGACGTACTCATCCAAGAACTCAGGGATCTTGACAGATAGAGCAAATAGGAGTTCAACGTGTTGCAGCACGTGAGCCTTCCGGGCAGGTAACTCTATCTCTTCTTGTAGATACGGCGTCTGCAGAAGGTCCTCGGAGGGAAGTTGACCATCTTCCATATTTTCGTCGCCTGCGCCGGCTTGTTCATCAATGACCCTTGGCGCCTCTTTTGGTGGACGCTTTTGCAAGCGGCGCAGTATTTGAAGAGCGAAGTCACGTATCATGCTATCCATGGGTTCAATACCAGGAACCCATCTTCGCACGGTATTAATTGCTGCTCGCCTGGTCACAGGATCTGCAAGAGATTTGAGATCGGGGTTCAACAAAAACAACTTGACGTACCTGGATGAGTAGTCAACTCCAGAAGGACCTGGAGGGCTTCTGCTCGGAGTGATGGACGCTCTAAAACAAACTCGCGAAGGCTGGTAAACCCGACATGCATCCTGTTGATTGCTCGAACCGAGTTATGGCAAAAGAATACACGAACGTACTTGTCAGGGTCGACGGAGAGATCGCGTAACAGACCGAGGACATCAGGGGGCACGGAGGGCAAATCTAGCAGGAATCGTGCAAAAGCTTTGTCCCTGCCATCGGGCTTACCCTCAGGCTTGCCTTCCAAAACGGTTTGATATGTGGAAACTACTTGATTGAGCCACAATTCATAGTTTGGTCGCTGGAAACCTTGCCGTTGGCAAAATTTAATCAGAGAGAGTAAAGACATAGTACGCACCCAGTGAGGGTCATCCGTCATTCTAATACGATCGTTGTACCACTCTTCATTCATCCACGTCGTGACAAGACGGAGCCTTCATTACCGTCAGTAAATAAATTTGTGATAACGCAATATTGAAAACATACCGTGAAGGGAAATCAGCCATAATGTAATCGCATAACGTTTGTCGTAAATTATCTTGCCGCGAATAGAAGTCAACTTTTGTCTCGCCGTCCCCTCCATCTTCTGACGCTGATGATGGGTCACCATCAAGATGCGCCACTCGTGTGACCATTCGAACAATAAGTAACATCCACATATCGGTAGGAGAGGTACCAGGCCATTGTGAGGCTACGGCAGAATCAACCTTTAGCTCCTCCGCACCATCCCATATTCGGCCAACCGATCCACGCATCAAAGCATTTCGTTCGACGTCAGTTAATTCTTTTGGTCCGAGTAGTGTAGAATCGGTAAGGTCAATGGTGAGCGCTTCTGGGAGATCCGCCGGAATTGTTTCTTCCTCCGCAACGGTCTCGTCCCCCGAAAGCTACGGCATAAGATTAATTGCAATGAGCGTACGTCACCTGTAGGTAAGATGCTCTAACCTCCATATTGAGCCTATCAGGCTCGTATTCCATTTCCTCCTCATCCATGTCCATTTGAAGTGGGTCTACTGGCTCATCTTTCACAATAGGTTCCGCAGAAGGCCCGGGGGTGGGCGTCGCTTCCGGTGTGGGCGGGGCGGGTTGTGGAGTTCTAGAAACAGGAGGGCCAAGGAGGCAGGCCTCTGCTTTGTCTGTAGGTTTGTACCAATTCCAGTAGGGCTGGCTCTGTAAATGCTTGCAGATTGGCCACAATGAGATCGGTTATGAGTGATATTGGAAGTGTGGTGAAGTCAAAGCTAGCTAAGAATGCAGCAGACGCGTTTCCAGCAATGTCGACGTCGACTCTCATACGTTTAGCATCAGATGGATGCTCTGCCGGTGTGGAAGAAGGTCGTTTCTTGCTAACTTCTGTTGCAGAAGCAGCCAGGGCGGCCTTTCTTGCTTTTTCCTCTGTGGAGGCTCTTTCCATGCGGGCAACTTGTAGGGAGAGCGCCTCATTGATTTGAGCTCCAAAGGAAGAGCCATGGGGTCCTCTATGCTCGACTTCAGTACACCTGGCTTGACACCACCATGACGTCACTCACCTCGAGATATGGATGAGCAATATACGAACAGCCTTTTCGACGCTCTTGACAGATTGTGCTGGGAGTCCGGACAGAGCGGCGGGAGTCCAGGAAGAGAGCGACGAAACAACTAGTTGTACCAGGGCGGGCCTTTGTTTGACTAAGTTGCTCCAGGAGTGAAGTATCGCGCTCAAAAGCTCAGGATTCCTTATGGCAGGCGTCAGATACGCGAGTTCTTACAGATATTTGATGAAGATGCTCACTGGCTGGTATACAACATAGTGATCACGCTCTCAAGAAGTTTCATGCCTTCCGCTTCTAAGGTAGGACCCGGAAGGAAGGGGTGATCGACAGGGACATTTGAAATGTTGGGATCATTCTTATTCTGAAGCTATATGTTATAGAACGGATGTCACGGTAAGCGTGGGTATGAAGGAGAGACTGGTGGAAGGGTACCCTAGGGTCCGATATACCGCGCGTCTGGACAATAATGACACGCTGCATGAACTTAATGGCAGAGACCTTCACACCGGTACTGGCGGTTGGCGACCAAATAAACTCTAGGATGCGCGCCTTGCACTGTGATAGTACATCCCATTGTTGGCGTAGGGTACGGTTTGTACACCTGTCACACAAGGTGATATCAGACTTTTTGTTGACTCCGGCAACAGATACGAACTCACAAAGAACGAAAAAGGAGTGGGTAGACAGTCGTCAAACACTGAATGGACACCTTGACAGTACGCGCATTTAAGTCATGCAGCAAAATGGCCAATGTTTCGACCGACTGAGACGCGACTATGAAGTAATAACATTAAAAGACTTAGACGCTGGCAGTACTCAGAGATTGAACTAACGTTGTGTGCGAACTTCGTTGGACAGATTAGAGCGAGAGATAGCAAAATGGAGGAGATCAAGAACCCATCTCTTGAGGAGAGAATCACCGGCACTTGACACAGTTTTGATGAGCGTTGTACAGAGGATGGGTATGGGATTTGGGTGCGCTTCAAGGGATTCACGTAAAGTAGCAAGTATATCTGCTTGTTCTTTAGAGTCTGCCGGTACTGCTAACGCTGCAGAAAGTGTCTGCAGCGGGTCAACCGGATTTCCTGCCATCCTTGCAAGCTTTGGTGTTTGCAACGTTAAAGCTTGTCTGCAGCTCTTCCTGAAAACTATATCCCGTCGGAGTTCTAAATCACTCCTCTACCGCAATCATGGTATGGCGACGAACAAGCATATGACAGTGGAGACTCACAAATGATTATAGGCAGCTCAAAACTCACAGGGAATACAGACTCTTCTTGAAGCAGAGAAAGAAGCTGCTAAGATTGTGCAGCAGTCACGTCAATGTCAGTGTCAGTCTGAATCGACTTCATGTGACTGACTGTTTCAACTAGATCGCCTTCAGAGATTGAAGGACGCGCGTTCGGAAGCAAGCAGAGAGATAGATGAATACAGACAGGCTAAAGAAGCCGAATTCAAGTCATTTGAGGCATCGGTGTGACATCCACTCTCTCTTCACTCACGCATAGTCTGACATAGCGAGCAGCATGCAGGAGTCACCTCCAATGCACAGGCTGCAGTAGACAAGGAGACAAGTATAAAGTTGCAGGCTATCACAGATGCTTATGAAGCAAACAAAGATGCGGTCGTGAAGAAACTATTGGACCGCGTTCTACTGATCAAGCCCGAGCTGCATCGGAACCTGAAGAGGGTTGGTGGTGCAGAATTACAATGATCAACTTCATTGCTATGGACTCGACTTGTACAATACTACATTGGGTGCTTAATGAGCAATAATACCCTCAATCTGATAATTAAAGGTTCGTACGAATTATCGAATAAATATCAAAGAACGACAAGATTGCAAGGTGCAGACCAAAATAGGTAACGGGTAGCAATAATAAATGAAATCAAACGCTCAAGAACCTAGCCAGCACAGTTATGCTAGCTTAACCTAGAGACTGTCGACTCGCTGGCCAGCCACGGTAAACCGACAGGCATGCTAGTTGAAGCCGTGGCCATTACAGGACGAGTAGAGTAATCTATGTGCGAGGCTGAAGGAAAGGGTGGCCCAGTTGTGTCTCGTGAGCCCTGGCAAGGGGCTGGAAGATGTTGCCCGGACGCTTGCCAACTTGCTGACGAAGGTGATGGATTGCCTTCGTTGGCTCGTTGCCAATCTAAAAGACCGCTCGACTTCAGTGAGGGTAACGAAAGTGCCGGGGATACGGCAGAAACTGGTTCCGTATTCATTTGTCTAGAATTTGGTGGCATTTGTAAGGCAGGATCGATATTGGCATCATGCGGAATGTTTCTCTTCTCTCTGGGATCAGGTTGTGGTGGATGAGGCGGATGTGCATGGGCTCGAACATCACCAAAAGAAGGCTGGCCAAAGAACCGGGCATCAGGAGGTGGGCGCCCCGGCGGTGCATATACCGGAGATGCAGCTAGTTGGGGTGCTGCGGCATCCAGCGAGTTGCTGGAAACGGGTGTAGAACCATGAGATCCGCCAGAGTTGGATGCCACTGGATGCATGCCTTCCGCAGGTTGTACGTCGTCGGTGTAGTCAGGTGCCGGGGGAGCCAAGTCTTGGATACGAACACCAAACACCTCTTCAAACTCACTAGATAATTCCATAAGTTTTTGGCTTTTATCTCCACAGTATTTGGACAAGGGCTGTGACATCGATCAGTGTGAGATGATAGTGAAAATTTAGAAAGCATACCCAAATTGCAACTCCCACTACAGACATGCGTCATTAGTGAAATGCCCAACGAAGCATAATCACATTATGATACTCACGGATGATACTTTTTTTCGCTCTGTCGCCTAAAGCAGCGAGAATCTTGTTCAGGCGCTCGCGCGCCCACGTTGGACCTCCAGGCATAGCTGTACGACAACGCATCCTAGCCTATACGAAGTATTGCCATATCCGTCGTCTTGTCAGCATCTGAACATATAAGTTAAACATCAAGATAACTCACCTGATTCAATGCAAAAACACACGAGCAGTGGATAATATGCATAGCACAGAAGCACCACGCTCCCACGTTGGAACTCGTGGCAAACAACGACATTTGAATAGCAAGATTCTCGTCGGTGAAACAAAGACTGTCAGGAAGCGATTCGTCCCACGCCTTCGGAAGCGATCAATATGCTAGATCTGTATAAACCCTGGAATTTCATACTTACGTTGAGTTTGGTGTCAAGATCCAACAATGTGTTGACGGGATGTCTGCCGGACTCGCGCTCTAAAAATAAGATTGAATGAGCACATGCGGGCTCCCGCGAAGCAACTAACACTCACTGTTGAATTCATCCATGGTCTTCTCTATCCTCTCGTGTATAGAGAGGACACGAATTAACTGCCCGGTCTCGGATCTCGATGAAGGACTGGGTTTGTCCAGATATTCTTGACGAATCAAATGAGCTCAAGGCTGAAGCGATAGCTTGGCGACCAACCTGGGACAGCATCGTGTACAGTGAACAAGAAGGTTGTCTCATCTACAGGGAGACGCAATTTCAATTGCGATTCCTCTGCTAAGATAGGGCGTCGGTAGAGAACAGACCCCAGAGCATCGGATATATGTATGAGCCAGAAAACCCTACGCGCGCATTCCCGCTCGATGGACGCATCAATGAACTCCAGTGAAGGAGTAGGTGTCAGGATCGGATTGTCAGCCTGATACACGCCCAGTTGTTCAAGGATATCAAGTGCGTATACTGCAAAGTACATGGCGTAAGCGCCGACAAACCAAGAAATGGTAACTTTCCATACCATGATATTGCCCTGTCCAGGATGACTTGGCCATTCGATCATGCAATTGTAGCAAACATAGAGCCTGGGCAGTTGCAAGATTCCTCTCGCAAATCAAGTTCTGCCCTTTATCAAACATAATCGACATTGCCTCTGAGAAGAACACCTCTCCAGCAAATCTTGAACCCCCCTCCTTGAAACAAGGACGCTGCGAGAGAGGCGCAGCAAGGGCACATATTGAAAGGAGAAGGTAAGAAGGGACGAGACCATGAGATAGGGCATGATGAAATGAAGGCTCGTGGATGATCATACGCTGAGGTTGGCGGTGTGCAAAGAACACTGCATCGGCGTATTCATTAGTGTCAGCAGTGTACCGCCATATGGGGTAACTTACGGTGCACGAGCTCTCTTGTGAGTGACGGGTCACGCTCCAAAGAGCGCTGAGTGCTTGGCAACGAGGGTGGAGCCAAGCCTCTGAAAGACGTCTCAACGGGAGACGTCGACTGACCGAGGTCTGGCCTGAACCGCTTGCGCAATGGAATATCTTCATCAGGGTCGACCTGGGTCCCAAGTACCTCATCTTGCTGTAGTCCATGAACAACGAAGGATGGTTGGTTACCCTGAATATTTTCCGGGTATGTGACACACGAACCCTGACGCGGATCGGGTGGTGCGTCTGTGTTACCCCCTTTGCGCGGCCTAGGTGCAGGTACAGGTCTGCCCGAAGCGTCTGTGTAGGTGCATTTCTTGGAGGCGAAGTAACTAAAAACATGAATGAAACGACGGATTTGGAAACGTCCAAACGTTTTTTTCCGGTGACGTACCAGTTGCTGCAAGGAGCTGAAAACAGAACAGTCAGAATTAGCATAAGCATGGAAGCTGTTTATGGAGTACGTACCTGTTCCGTCACATCGTCGTTTGCTTTTGTGGCAAGCATCGCACGCCTGTGTAGTAAGAGGCTTGGTAGGCATCCCAAACGAGTTTAAGGGTGCATACCTTTGCTAGGCGTTTGCGCTTTGGACCCTTCATGAACGCAATATTAGTGTCGGTCCTATCAGGATCCTGGGGAGTGTCGATGAGAAAACGGGAGCCATCTGGAGGGGGTTGGTTTGGGGGAGCAAAAGTGATTGCCTGTATCGCCGGTTGCTGAAGAGAGCGAGCGAAGTGGTCCATTAAAAGGCAAATAATATGGACTGATTATGCCAGACGACGAGGAGACATACACAAGAGGTGGAGAGGGAGGGAGGAAAGAGGAATACTCGGCGTCTAGTACTAGAGAAAGACGCGAAGAGGATATGAGTTTGAGTTGGTTGTTGGAGTTATTAAAAGGAGAGATACAAGTCCCCGGAAGATTGAAATGACAATTTTGAAAAGAATAATTTTTAAAAAGATAACTTACCTAGCAAACTATGGCTAGGTAGATAATAGTTACTTAGTGTGAAGAGATTGTAGACCGTGGAACGCACCAGTACTTAGTAGACTCACAAACCGCTCACGGCAGTTGAGGAAGCCTTGCAATAAACCGATCAGTCAATACAAATCGAGCGAACCCGCCGGCCGCATCCGGCTTTTCCCACTTCCTCGCGCCGCCGGCTTAGTTACACCCTGCTATTACGACCGATCCTGCGGCATACCATCAAATACGTTTTAGTATAACCATACACGCCCAGTTACATTACATTTCATATTATTAATATTACGGTCACGAAGAACCAGCTAAAGGCCCCCCCCACCCGCCAATTAAACTTACAGATAAGCGAAACGGCAGGTTTCGGCGGCTTTCCATTCTTCTCTTTTCTTTACGTACCCAACGTGCCTCATTTTCATGCCGCCGGTCATTACTTAAAAACAGAATTTCAATATTTTCTGGTAAAAATTCCGACCACAATTCCGGCGGCCATTGGCTGTTCGGGACAACCTATTATTGTGCAATATATTCTGATTCGAACGTTCCAAGAGAATTGCTTATTACGGTGCATCTGCTCGTGTTTTCGTACAGGAACAACATTTCGTAACGTACTTAGTCGAAAAGACCGAAGCCCATATCGTCGTCCGATTCCTCCTACGATGTCAAGGTTTAATTCTCGTTCCAAAAAATGCACAATAATACCACTAACCTTCTCCTCCTTCTTTTCTTCCTTCTTCTCCTCCTCGACGGCAGCAGCAGGTGCTGCACCACCGGCTGACGGAGCAGCAGCGGCAACGGCGCCACCAGAAGGAACCTAAGCATTGCGACCAATCAGCCCCTGCTACTTGTATATAACCTGATCGAGACTCACGGACGACAGCTTAGCAGAACCCTCAGCAATCAACTGCGGACAAATACGTCAAAAACGGGTGCAGTGAAGCATAATCGGGAAAAAAATCTTACAGCATTGATGTCCTTATCCTCCAGCTCGGAGATAAGTTTTTCGAGCCTGTCATCATCGGCCTCTATCCCGACAGCACTCAACACCTTTTGGACGTCGCCAGCCGAGGGAGAGGCATTGCCACCGATTTGGAGGAGAAGATAAGCAGCAATATGACGCATCTGGCCAAATCACAGAAGTTAGCGTGTTCTACAGGCGTCTCATACGCGAGGATATTCGAGACATACTTTAGACGAGTGTGATTCACAAAAATATGGGAGTGCGGGCAGCTACAAATCACTGAAAATATGTATTTAAAATTCCATTCAAGTCCTGTGCAAAAATACAAATCATACCTTTAATCCTCAAGGGAAGACCTGTAGATTCTATCCGACGACGTTGATGATGTTGTTCCCCTCTAATCTTCCGTCAAACTTCAGATTGGTACTATACAGCACCACGTGGTCAAATTCAGCCACAATTTCCATATTTGATTGTTTTCCGACTCCGCCTCAGGATTGCCGAAATCCTTGCTCGCTGTTATCTACGACAACCGCAAGACTAATTCACGACGCAACATGGTGCGCATTGTCCTCGGAAGTAGCAAGACAAACGCTGATTTCCGCCTGAATGATAGGCGGATTCATCGGTTACTGACCCCTCGGTCGCTGCTGAGCTCAAGAAGAAGAGAACCTTCCGCACGTTCTCCTACCGCGGAGTTGATCTCGACAAGCTCCTTGATATGAACAATGAGGAGGTGAGTCTTTACCGCGGAACCTCTCATTCTCTGTGCTAAACCTTGAATCTACAGTTCGTTGAAGTATGCATCTCGCTTTCAGTCGCCGTTGCCTTAACCTGATCCACATATTTTCTCAATGATAGCTCGTTCACGCACGTGCCCGCCGTCGGTTCGGTCGTGGCCTCAAGCGCCGCCCCATGGGTTTGATTAAGAAATTGCGCAAAGCTAAGAAGGAAGCTCCCCCGAATGAAAAGCCTGCAGTCGTCAAGACCCACCTCCGTAACATGATCATCGTCCCTGAGATGATTGGCAGCGTTGTTGGTATCTACAACGGCAAGGTTTGTATTGTCCTAACCCTTTTTGCGATGCACGACTGAAGATACCACTACAAGGTATTCAACTCCGTCGAGATCAAGCCTGAGATGACAGGCCACTACCTCGCTGAATTCTCGTGTTCGTACCGGCCCGTCAAGCACGGTCGTCCTGGTGTGAGTGTATTGTTCTTATGTCTTTGATGATGTCTCAATGTCTTTTGCACAGATCGGCGCCACACACTGTAAGTTTACATGGGACCCCTTGCAGAAATCGAACTTCATGCTCATTATTTCCTCTCACAGCGTCTCGTTTCATTCCTCTGAAGTAAGGCACTGGGTTCTTATATCTTTCGCATGTCCCTCCACTAGCTTTACTACTTCAAAATATATGCGTATGCCTATATGCCATACGAAACACATGTTGGTGTCACACTTTGTAATGGTCGGACGCAAGGGCACCATCGTCTGCATGCAAGAGTCGAGCATCATTGGCCCCGCGGGGCCGAACAAATGAATGAAAGGTACAAGATAATGTTTCGGTTGGTTAAATTCATTCAAATTGCGTACATTCGAATGCACGGGTATAATGAGTATACTGCGAAGTATTCGTCCGTGTCATACTGATAAGTGAAACCGCACGGTAAACTACAGATAATGCGAGAAACCAAAAGATGCTTAGGGCAAATGAATGTCAGAGCAGCGGCAATGCACAGCAAGGCAAAAGAGTGGAAGTGAGTCGCCATTATGATGACAGAATTTAGAGTCCAACGGGGTTATCGTCGGGGCGCTGCGGTAGCAGGAACTCCGTTGGGCGGCGATGACGAGTGTAGGTGCTCCCCGCTACTTCGCGGATGCACGTAAGACGATGGTCGAGGAGATGAAGATATGGTACCAGTGATGGGTCGTTGAGCAGTGGGCCAATCTGTCTCGATCGGCTGGGGATAGCGAGGTTGTTGCTGGCCCTGGATCATAGCTGCGCCTTGCGACAGGGAAGTTGGATGCGTAGGAGAAGTGTACGACGTGGGTGAATGAATGATACCTGGATGTGGATGGGGCGACTGCTGTCGGCCATTCCGTATATGAGGTTCACTCGAAATTGATGTCAACGGCGGTCGATCTCCAGGTGGCGAAACGCGGGGTGAGTTGGTAAGGTTCGGCGAACCCATTGATGCCAACGGTGGACGCCCGTTTGCTCTGAGGCGCATGTACGTGTCACATTTCTTCATGAAATCTTTGCTTGGTAGCTCAGTGCTATTTGAGAAATATTCCTGATCATGAAGGATAGGCAGGAACTCCTCGGGAACCAAATAAAACTCATCCTGGTTCTCGAGTAACGAGGTTACTACGCGAATAGCCCCAAAGCTCTCGTCTCGAACGGCGTCACGCCCGCGTGAGTATAAGATGCTAGGACATATGACCGTTGCTAGGTTTGATAGGTCCATCTTGCTACCAGTGGACTCGTCCATGTGTGCGAATGACGCCACCCATTTGAGGAATACAAATAGCACCTCCATGGTGTCACGATGGCTCTTGGGAAGAAGCAAGGAAACTAGATGGAGACAACGCCTCCGCTCTGCCTCTGTGGAAAGAGCTGGAGATTGTATGTCAGATTGCGAATCATGTGAAAGTGTGAAGACAGACACTGCGACGCAATCAGTAATCGGTGTAACTTGAACGTCATGAGTGGCTCCGGCAGTTCGCGGAGGAACTTCTTCAAGAGAGCAGCCAATTGCACCGGGTTGTCCTGCGTGAGATCTACTGATGATAAGTCGTGGTCGATGGCCTCCGTGAGATCCTTCAACCGCCTGATATTACCATTCTTGCGGAAGACGCCCTCCACCGACATATCTGTAAATGACAAGACATCAAAACACAGTTAAGATCACCGTAAATAACATACCCATCTGCCTCATGGCTGAGACAACATCATCGATAAAGCTTGGCACCCTCAAGGTTGCACGGCTGGCTCCCAATAAGGAATCTGACCCTTCTTTCTCAACTAGGAGCTCAAGTGGAACACCAAAAACGCCTATACATGATCGATAAGGTGAACCTAATACTTGGGATTCGTGAAAACTCACCCTTCTTCTTGACGTTCTTCTTGTCTCCAGCCTTGAACAGCTGTTTCCAGAAGCCTCCCTTTTTTGTCTCGACCAGTTCGAGCAACTCATCCAATTCGAGCTGATCCCGAAGCGGAGATCGCTGGAGGGCAAGGACAGCAGAGTGTTTGACGATAGTAAGTTCGAGTGCGCTCAACTCGGCGACATGCGGTACCGTGCTCTGGCGTGGTAATGAGCGCTGCTGTTCGCGAGCTTGCGCGGCCTCCATTAACTGAGGTATGTCAGCTAACGTAATACCGTCATCAGGGGTGTGTAACGGGGCATCGTCTGGGCCGCCTGCTGGAGAGTTTGGTACCGACTCGTCCACTATCTTCACCTCTGTGTTGCTCCGTCCGATAGTAGAACGGACTACTTGCGCTTGATAACTTGTGTCCAGTGTACCAGGAGTACGAGTTTGCGCCCGTGAAGGAGGTTGTGATGGTATCCCCGAGGAGCCAGGCTGGGAGGGTTGACGCCCTGGAACCAGCGTCCCTGGTGGAGGCGCCCTCTGAGGTTGTGGGGTTTTGATATCTTGTTGCGATCGTTGAGCATGCAGTGGCTCCGAGGGCTGGACGGTTTTGCCTGATGGACTCTCCACAATTGTTGATCGTTTGGGTAGCCGTGCTGTAGCAGATAGCTTTCGATCCAGATGTACGGATTTCATGCGCATTATATCGCCAGAGTTACGATAGGGATCTTGGTCCCCTGACTTGGGGTTGATACTTGGCGTCGTGGAAGCAACTGACAATACACGCTTACGATGCAGAACATCGAGTATGAGAGATCGGAACATACCTGGTGACAGAGGAACCACACCCTGTTGCTTTAAAACAAGGTACAACCTACGCAATGCAATGTTGAGCAGAAACGCATACTGCTCCAGCCGAGAGACAGCCTGGAATCCATCTCGACACCCTGGATGCACGTGGTCTGTGCACAGGATAACGGTAGGCACTTCACCATATGAAGGGGTGTCCTTGACCGAATCAAGCTCGTACACAAAGATGCCGACATTTGCCGGTGGTCTTCGAACAGAAGATGGCTTCAATGGGTCCTTTTCGCTCCTTTCCTTTTCTTTATCTTTGTCTTTATCTTCTAGGGACTTGAGTGGCGTCGGCTCTTTCGGTGCCGGAATAGCAGCTACTTTGTCACACCTGGCGCATTGCAGACACTGGGAGTGCCAACGCTGATAAGTTCCCAACCGAACACAGTCTTCTTCTACTGCTTGTGTACACTTGACGCACCGGTCTGAAGGCGGATTGGTGACTGTCAACCGAGATGGTGAGTTTGCTGAGAACGGAGATTCTCCTGCATTTTCTGGTGCCAGACTCCTGAAGCCGTAAGTGACACCCTGTGTGCCAATATTCGCTCCTCTCATAACCTCACCACTTCCACCTTTAATGATCCGGCGAGCCGCTGGGTCACCACCTTGCACCGCGAGCAAATGTAACTTATCGAGGAACGATGGCATAGCCTCTCGGACGCTTTGTTCCCTCTCCAGTTTTAGTGCGCCAGTTAATGCTATTCGAATGAGGATCTTGAGGTAATGGGCTATTCCTGTCACGAGTGCAAGTAGTTCCTGAGTCATCCCCATTCTGCGCGACCCAGTTTCCTGGGTACGTGAAAGAAGGGTGAACAGATCAACCGTTTTTCGGCAAAGCATGCGGGCTTCTCGGACATGAGACATTCCTTCAAACCATATAAGCAATACCGGGGATATAACACGAGACATACACGCACCTTTCAAGTTAAGCCTAGCGGAATGGCATTCAAGGTCATCGATGGTGCCGAACAAGACTTCCACATGTAGAATAAACTTCTCGGCCATCCTGATGGCATCAAGATATTGTCCGTTGCTGACCTGTCGTAGCATATCAGATATACACGCAGCGCTTGATTCCTCGAACGCCGAGAGAACCCTGTAATGTAGACGATCAGTTGTGTTTCAGGCCACGTGGGAGTACTCACGTCCAAATGCGATAGACCAGCTGCTCCATCCTGATTTGCTTGTCCTTCAATGTAGTGGGAGTTTCACGCTTCTCTTCCTCGACGTAGGATGGCTCCAATTCCGACCCATCATTAATCAACACGCTCGATCTCCGTGAAACTACTTTGACGTTCCAAAACTGTAAGGCTGAATGAGAATTGATATAAGATTGCGACCTCCTAGAACGAGAACCTTATTGATCATGTAACATTCTGGATGCCAGCACTCGTCCCTCATGTTGCGATTTATCTCAACGAATTGCTTCAGTATGGCGCTGCTGCAACCTGCACATTTTGTCGCAAAACGTGTCGAGTAGTGGAAGTGACAATAAACGTCCCCATCGTGCTCATAGTAGGAGTCCTGTGGGCCAAAAAGGGTTGGGCATAGGGAGCAAGTGAAGTGTTCCACATGATACTTCTTGTCTGTATGGGGATATTAATTAGCAAGAAAGGAGCGACGAGTAGAACCACTAACTGCATGCCGTAATATAGCTGCCTCGGAGAGCAAGCCCACATTTGGCGCATATAAGATTCAGGCGACGGAAGTAATCCCGTTCACAGAGGGGATGTTGTTTACCATCAGGCCCATCAATAGGAAAGAACTTTGACGCGACGACATCGCCGCAATCCTAACAAATTATAAGCGGAACTGGGTACTTGAAAGGTCAAGATGTTCGTACCAAGCATTTAAAGCAGTTCAAGTGGTATACAGTGCCTAATGCGCGGACGAAAGCACCTTGCATCGTGTTTCCACATGCGGAGCAAGGTCTACAGGGAAGAAGTGTCAGATAATGGATCGAAACCACAGACTACTGTGGGAGTGTTTGTAGAGGGAATGGCGGACTCACGATTGTGAGATGTTAGTGGATGTCGCAGAGGAAGTGGATGTCATGGGACCAGTCTTGTTTGGGGAACTAGAGCTGGAGGACGCAGAGTGTCCGGAGGAATATGAGATTACACTGTCTCGACGCTTCAACTCTACATTCCTTTCGGTGTATGAGACAAGATTATACGGAGTGGAGCCATTGGGAGTGGTAGGACGACTACGCGAACGAAAGGCGGGTGATGGAGGCGGGAGAGAAGCGGGGATACCATTTGAATCATAAGGCCTGCTCGAGTGAGCATGATTCAAGTCATCACTATAAGCATGAGGGACTAGATCATGCTTCGCGGAGAGATTATTACGGTTGAGGTCCTGGGTAGAGCCAAGGGTAGAAGCTCTTGTAGGAAAAAGGGGACGATCAGGTAGGCGAGTAGTGGTTGTCGGTGGAGCATAAATAGAACCACCGAGATGAGATAAACCATCTTGCTCTTTGCGCAGACGAGCCGTTTCTGAATCAAACGACATAACGGATCCCAGGCAGGCCTGACTACGATGATTAGTACCCCCAAAGTTAATTGGAACAGTTCTGAGAGAGATCCTTGACGATTTTCATGCGGAACCTAGTAGATTTATGTTCCGGAAA